CAAAGGCGCAAGCAAGCGGGCTTTCTCCTGGTTGTCTTTGCCTTTTCGTTACCAAAGCAACTCTATCCACAGGAACTTGCACACCTACATCGAGCCTACGTCTAACTATCAGAAACACACCACATGCCAGGACTAGCTGCCTGCTAGACCGGGAAGTAGTGTCATTTTAGCTAGTACTTTGCTGCCCTCGACAACGTCGGAGTTCAGTTTCCAGGGAAAAATGGAAGGGATGGTGTTAGGCCAGCCTATTTACAGAGTCTGCTGCACTCAGTAAAACTAGAAATAAAATAGAAGCAGGACCTTTTCGAAGTCAAATCCCTTGGAAATTTAAAATCAGTCTCCTTAGTGATCCTTAGATTTAAGAGGAAGTTAAGAATTATAATGCCATCTGTACCAATTATAATTCTAAAAGCCAAAGCACATGAAATAACCCCAAAGTACTAAGATTTGAGACTTTATTATTATTACATTTTTTTTAAATAGAGAAATATTTCAGTTCTTTTTTATGAAACTGGTACAGCCTTATACTAAAACCTGTAGAAGGAAGGAAGGAAGGAAGGAAAAAATAACAAGTAGTACTTATAAACATAATACCAAGCAAAATATAAATATATTAAATCTGGCTCTAATTCAAATAAACAATTTACCACCTCCAGAAAACTGTAAATTGCTAAATATTAGAAAAAACCTATGTATATAATTTGTCCTATTTACAAACCAAATCTTTTTTAAAAGTATATAAAGGCACCCAATAAATACAACATCTATAATGGAAAAATCATTAAAAGCTTATAAATAGAAGGAAATTTCCTGGTTTTGGTAAAAAGTATTAATCAGAAATCACTATTAAATATAATTAATGATACAACAAAATTATTGACAGAAAGAAGCACACTTGATTTCCTTACAATTATCCAACATTCTCAAGTTTCTGCCAGTGCAAATTGCAAAAAAAGAGTTAAGAGATATTCATCGTACACAATGAGGCAAATCATCATCATTTTTGGCACATGAAATGATCGCCTACCTGGAAAATCTTAAATAACCAATGAAAATTTATATAACTAACAGTTCCTGTTCAAAGACTATTATTAGTCCTATTACAACAACCATCAAGAAATGTAATAAGTCTGCATCCAGGAATTTATACCAAGAGGATTTCCATTTCTTGAAATTATTTAAAAAGATGCCTACTGCGGCACAGCGACAACAAACGGAGATATTCTAATTACCAAAACAGTCCAACACCATTAGATAAAATGCTGTGGCGCCGTTAAAAATGAGGCTGGGGATGTGACGCCATGTCAGAACTTACTGCAAAGTGAACAAGGAGGCAAACCCCTGGCTGAAAACCATAGTTAATTCTGAGTGGGAAGGTTATAGAAATTCATTTTTCTAATTGAATTTCTATTTTTCCTAATGAACACATACTGTACGTGCAATTTTGTCTTTAATATTGTATGAGGCAAGTTGGTGCCAAGCTGCAAAAGGCCTTGTGTTCCAGGCTAAGAGGGCCTCGGAGCCCTTTAAAATGCAGACGGGAGGTTCACAAACATCCGGGCGCTCTCTCCTGGCTGGGCTCTCCTCCACCCGCCTTTCCACTGAGTTCAGCGTCTCACGAATGTGGTCTAAGTAGGGAAGAAACAGAATCTCAGGACCCCACAGGACGTGTGTGAACGGAAAACAATGCTCAGAGAAAGGCTGTTTAAAAGGTCAGTTTTCCTGGACGGATTTAAACAACGGGAGACTTCAGGTGTTTTAAGTTTGCTAGAACTCTCATGCAGCACCACCAACTGCGGCATTTCAACAAAAGAAACTTACTGTCTCACAGTTCCAGAGGCCAGAAGGCCAAGATCAAGGTGGCAGAGGGTCTGGTTCCTCGGAGGCCTCTCTCCTTGACTTGTACAGGGCCAGCCTCCCTTGGAAATGGTTTTCATCTGAGTCTGTGTCCTCATCTCTTCTAATGAGGACACCAGTCATGTTGAACTAAGGCCCAGCCTAATGTCCTCCTTTTGACTTAATTACCCCTTTAACACCCGACATCCACATACAGATTCTGAGGCCCTGGTGGTTAGGCCTTCAACACAGGAATTTGGGGGAAGGGAGCACAACTCAGCTGATGACACACGGTTACCCTGGCTGGGCGGCCTGGACAAAGGTAGGCCCCGCCTAGGGTGGTAAGCAGTATGGTACTCAGCGTGGGCTTCAGAGCGGTCCTCCACAGGAATGCGATTCTGCCTTCAGGACACTTCGAGTCTAGGTGTGCAGACTAGATCCGATCATGAGACTTGTTCAGGGAGGGGCCCGCGCTGTTCTCATTCCATCCACGAAGCTGTGGACTGAGTTCTGTGTTGGGGGTAGAGTAGGTGAAAAGAAAAACCAAAGTTAAAGAGGCTCCTTTCTGAACTGTAAGGAACCACAGGATGTTCTCGAACAGGTCAAGGGAAGATTATTTTTTTTATTTTTTATTCTTTTTATAAGTCAAAGAAAATTTCCAGTTGACAACAGAGAAGTAAATCCTATCACGCCTAGCACAGAGGAGCTGGTGAACAGACTTACTTAGATTTAAATTCCTGCTGCTCGGTAAATGGATAAAGAGATTCTAGCTTCTCTGTGGGTCACAGAAACTAGCCCAGAGTGAACACCTCGCTCTCCTTTCAAATCTTGATGCATTAGCCACACACCTGAAACTCAACCCAGAAACCAACGTTCTGATAGTCCCGTGCGCCATATAACCTGACATTACCAAGACTGAGCAGTAGATGGTGCTCTTGAACCAGGGAGGTAAAGGTCCCTGAAACTGGGTTTTTGTTCATTTGCTTTCAGTTTTGTATCACACACAGTGCGACGCACGGGTGATGTTACGGAACTGTGCACTTGAAACCTATATAATTTTATCAACCAGTGTTACTACAATTAATTCAAAAAATTAAAAAAGAATAAACCGATGGGTTCTTGCTGCATGCTTTAAAAACTATAAAATTCAAGTGAGGCAATAAAAATAATAAACGTCCCCCATTAGGACCTAAGAGAAAGCGGGTCTGTGGGGTCTCGTGGAGCCCCACAGGTTCCCTAAGGCTTCCAGCAGCCACCTTTTCCTCCTTCCTTGCTCCTCACTGACTGCACGTTCAGCACTCCCGAGCTCAGATATCCCGACCCTTAATCAGCTATAATTAGCCTTCGAAAAAATTAAAAGTAATTCATATTCAGAAATTTTAAGATTGTCTTCACAGATGCTGATTCATGAATCAGAATATTACATTAATTTTCAAATACTTTATTCTTCCAATGATTTTTGTACAAGCTTTGTATCCTTCGTTAGGTGAAAAATAAGTTACTTTCATGCCTTGAGAAATATAGCCCAGTGCCCTTAAATGCCAGAATTACTTGACTCCCCTTTCTTTGACCAAACCACTAAGAGGCTTCTGATTACAAACTGGCTGCCCCTGTAGCTCCCCTAGTGGCGAAGGAAGAGAACAGATGTTTATTATTCCTGCAGTCTGTTTAGCTCTAAAATGACTGTATGGTCATTCTGCGGGATTTTTCATGTTCTTAGTTAATTCTCCTGCAACCTCTTCGAATAGAAAGAATTTTCTATTCTTATTTTAACAGTCTGGTAGAACCACAGCCATTTTGAATTCTAAATAATTGGCAGGGATTTTCCTAACCGTTGGCAGAGTTTTATGGTCCTATCACAACACGGAAGAAAATGTAATCAATATTTTCCGGAGGAGACAGCATAAGAATAGAAGCTAACAGAAAGTCCTTGTTTCTAAGAACGAATCGGAGACAGACTTGAGGCCTAAAGCAGGTGAAGGACAGTGGTATACCTGGGAAGTTCAGTTCGGTTTTCTATTCTAACAGTAAATACTCTCCACTGTGCCGTGACCATTTTGCACCAGTTACTTGCACCTAATGATCAGGAAGTGACATATAGCAGACCCTCAAAAAAACTCTCCGCTGGTAGGGATTTGGCGGTGGGGGCAGGGAGAGGAGAGGGTGCAAACACCCCGAAGGGAACTTGTGAAAACACAGGAGAATGTATGAGATCTAGAAGCCTCTGCTTTTGCCTAGAAGCATGCCGCTTTGTCATCTACTTTGCGGAACTATAAGATTCTACATCCTTTGCCATTAAAGAAACTTTACATCTTCTGTGTCTGTTGGAGGGTCTTTCTATCAATCATTTCACTGTTGTGACAACTGCACATAATTGGAAGTTAAAAAAAACCCTCATTGAAACTGGTTTTACGTAAGAGAATGTAATGCCTCATGTATCTGAAATATGCAAAGCAATGCCTGATTTTAGAACAGGTATGAACTGGTAGCCCAGAAATGTCACCAGCAACCGGATTTTGGTGCTGTTTCTACCCCGCCTGGCTCAGCGTCGGCTCCACTAAAGGGTGATTCTTCATGGTCCTAAAATGGCTCCAACACTCCCAAGGTTCATGCTTGCTCAGTAGTAACAGCAGGGGAAAGAGAACACACCTGCTTCTGCATTCCCACAGTAAGTCCTGAGATGCACTGTGACTGGACAGCTTAGGTCACGTGCCTAACCCTTATCCAAACAGTTGCCAAAGACTAGCTTGGTTGAGGTCGCAGGTGCCAATCACACATCCAGGTTGGAATTCTCCGGAACCCACCCAAACAGGCCTGCTGGGAAGGCATAAATTCTACTACATAATCAAAAAAATTAATTTTCTCTCCCCCTCTATGTCTTTGGCATGGGACTATACCATATTTCATTTAATGTTCAAAGCTGTGCTTAGAGTAGCAGAAAAACTGGAAGCAACTTTAATGTCCAATAATATGAAATCAGCTAAATCATAGATGTCTATATAATACAATACCATATCAGCAGTTTTCAACCTCCTAGATATCACGCCCTTTTTATTCTCAAAAATTATTAAAGGCACAAAAGAGCTTTTGTTAACCTAGGTAACGGCTACCACTATTTCACATTTGTAGAAACCAAAACCAAGGAAAATTTTTAAATATTTATTGTTTAAAAACAGCAGTAGTAAATCCATTACATGTAACATCAATGCGTGTCTCTGAAACCTCACCCCACCCCACCCCGAGTGAGAAAAGCGACAGCCTCTGGTTTAACAGAGAGACTGGGCCCTCAGATCCGCTTCCTCACTCAGTATGTTTCCATCCGCTGTTTTGGCTGAAGTCTGTGAAGAAAGATTGACCTCAAACTGGTATGCAGTTATAAAAGAGAAGAGTATTTTAGTAGCCTTCCCACATAATTGTAGATATTCCTCTTTGAAACTACATCCGAACTGGTCAAGGGTTAGATTCTTAAAGACTGGTTGCAGTGAACAACCCAAAACGGCTTCTTTCATACTCTGCTTTGTTACAGTTCTCAGGTCCATCGTGCACTTGGACTGACTCTTTTACCCTGCAGAACATCGTAAGATCCTGTGTTAATCCTCCAGAACATACTGGTTCACCGAGTTATGCAGAGCTCCTACATGTTGACAAAAATCATTATATAATGTAAAAACAAAAAACACACCCTACCATCTCATTAGGAAAGTCTGTGCTGTGGGAAGCTGTCAAACTCCTGGTGGCAGACATGAGTTTTTCAAAATTATAAATTTTGCTGGAAATCTCAAATTTTATCATTGGCAACAAATAATCAGTTTTCCTTGAAGTGAGAGGTTGACTTTGTTCAGTTTTGAAAGGAAATGTCCACCAAACAGCCACGTCTGAATGACCATAGTTCCCGATCGGCCACTGTTCTCGGTAAAAAACGGTGTTCCGTGGGGGAAAAAAAGCAACCAATTCAGCTCACAACTCAAACGATCAGAGCAGGGCTTTTCCTGGAGAAGACCCTCATACTCTGGTAGCGGAGGACCTTTACGCAAACTTGCCTTGTGTAGTGTAGAATACTGAAAAGGACTGAGAGTTAATAGAAACAGTAACTTGGTGCCACTGCTTTGCTCTGCACTGAAGCACCAGTGGTTTTACTCACTATCGCTTTGCACCCTCATTGCAAAATATCAACGGAATACAAAAGACAGATAACATCTGGGCCCCTGGAAGGGTTACAGGGAGTCCTGATGGCCTGCAGACCACACTTAGAGGATCACTGTACTACATAAAGCCACAGAACGAGATGCTGTGGAAGACTATTTAATGACAAAAATGTCCAACATATATACAAATGAAATACAACAAACAACATGTTTATGTTTCACTCTAATTTTACTTCTAAAAACAATCTACTATAGAAAAATGACAAAGCAGAAATGACCAATAGAAAAGGGATTATACAAATTATAGGATATAAGTCTGTAGCTGTAAAAAACAATGAGACCGATATACAACTAATGGGAAGGGCTTCACATCATATTACGTAAAAAATGTGGTGCAGAAAATTGCATATAGCATGATCTCATTTGTGTTTAAAAAGATAAGAACGTGTATAGCTACCCATGCAAAGGCCTGTAAATACAAAACAAATGACTGAAGAACCATATGTCACACATATAATAGAAGTCACCTTCAAGTTTAGGGCAGGTGATGGGATGTGAGAAAACAGGAGTATGGGCACTGTCATGTTTTAAGTGCAACTTGAATGTTTTACAAAGAAAATTCTGTCATGTATTTTTCATGTAACAAACTTAGAAAAAGTGCATAAAAAAGTTATGGCAATGTCATAGAGGGAGTTAGCTGGTGGGATTACTGGTGATTTTTTTTTCCAGTTCTCTGGATTTTCTAATTCTACAACAATCATGTATTTCTTATGTATTAGTGACAGTAATTTTTATTTACAAAAGTCAAGGAAGGCCATCTGATAAACTGCTTAAAGCCATATTAACTGTGGTTTACTCACATCAGTATCAACAGTACAGGTTTTAGATATTTCAGTTATATGTGCCACATAAGTAGATTTTACGATCAGATTCTGACATCCTCAAACAATACGATAATTACATAAATGCTTTAATATATTAAAACAGGTTAATGTATAATCTTTATAACATTCAGTATGAAGGACATTTTTTAATTTATTATTTTAAAAAATAATAGAAATCATGTAGAAAAGACAATGTTCTAGTGCAGCCGGTCACCTTTGCTGTATTCTTCTTCCCTATTTGCACGGGAGCCAGGTGTTCCGCGTTTCTGCACTGGCGCCCTGACAGCACCTAACGGTGTGTGGAGGTGCACTGTGTGCAGATGGCGGAGACGGCCTGTGAACTCGCTGCGTTCTTCCCGCACGAGACGGGAATCTGGGTGACGCAGGAATGTCTTGCATCACACACACACATCACCACCTGACACCTGTATCACATCACCACACATCACACTTTCCAAATACATGCCCGAAATACAGAGATTTGAAAGCGAAGCAATGACCGTTTCTTAAAGCAACCCTAAAGGAGACTCGTTTGGAACCCTACGATGCACTCACTCGGGTGACTCAAACTGAAGGGAAGCACACAAGCCTGTTTTAAGATGCCAGTTGATTAATGGACATGTGAGTTTTACTTGGAGAATAGAATGATTTTTAAACTGAAATGTCATTCCCCAGTCTTTTCAGAAACAAAATACAGCGCCTCTGTACAGCAAGACAAACATAATCCTCCGGCAGCTGCCATTTTAACCGAAGAGACCCTTGTTTTTGGTTTTGGCCACTGACTTCGTGCTGATATCGGATGAGGTCACACTTTCTTTAACAAACCATGGAGGCAGTGTTCTCTTGGAAGTTTCAGGTGAGGTCTATAAGAAAAACAAAACAGAAAAGGAAACATCGGCACTGTTAAAACGTGTCAGAAACGACACTAACACATTATCCAATATGCACCCACCTTCCTTCCCTCGCCAAATAAAACAAAAAAGTGAGACCTTTCTAATTTATTTCTGGGTCAGAAAGCAAATTTATGAAAAGAGATACAAAAGTCGCTCTATCACTCATGCAGGCAATTTCCGTGTCGTCCGGGTGCATATTCTTAGACACGCGGGTGCAGACACGCATCTGGGAAGGGAAGGACTAGGGGTCGCTCCAGGTCTGTCCCCTGCTGCGTTTGCTCTGGGGTGACCAAGGCGGTGAATTGCACGTTCTGAGGAAGACGGCCGCCTGGGCACGTGCGTGCCTGCACGCGCGCACACGCGCGCGCGCGCACACACACACACACACACACACACACACAGAGCTGCCTCTGGAGAGCACGCAGCTGCCGCAGCTGTAATGGCAGAGGGACTGGGGAGGGTTCAATCATCAGTTCCTCGCTGAGGTACCGGGACACACCAGACACTCAAACAGGTTCTCTGAATAAACTGTAGAGGTTGTTTATCATTCCACAGACATTTAGAGAACCTGTTAAAAACCAGAGATCCACTTCTGAGAAAAAAAGACCAAGATAACTGTACACAACACTGCGTGAGCTCGGGGAACCACACCCCACAGGAGGCGTCAGAACCCTAGGTCAAACGTCTCTGAGAAAAACTGTTTTAAGACAAAGACACAAAGACAGTGGTTGTGTACTAAACAATCTACATGTGAAAAAGGCTAAACAATTTTAAGTAGGTAAGTGTGCCATAAGCCTACAATGGTGTTAATCGGCGTTATCCTAGTTTGAGGACGAGATGCTCAAACTGGATTCTCACACTAACACGACAGAGAGGTCGTTCCGACATCAGTCCACCTTGGCATCCAGCAGAGTTAATGTGGTCGCTGAAGCTGTTTGAAGGACTTCATGATAAGGTGGCCACATCTAAGGTATCATGTCTGTTAGCCTAAGGTACAAATGTATGATTTATTCCATTTCAAAAATGAAGACTGTATCTATATATTCTTCCTTAACTCCTTGAACTTTAGTATGTTTAAAAATGGCTTCAAAATACTTAAGGATGGGGAAAAAGTAAAAGATCCTTGGCAAAAAACCCTCTAAAACTTATATTAAAAAAAGGTAAAAACTGTTAGCTGTTCCAGCTTAATTAAAGAAACCCAGCGTAGAGGAAAGGACTATGCGTACTTCAGCAAAGGCTTTTTAAAAAATGGTTAAGATGTAAGATAGCACCTTTTCTCCCAAGTGCCTATTTCCTCACAGGGAGGAGATTAGATTTATTATAATGTCTGCCTTAGAAATAATAAACAGTAGGGATATAAAGTAACACAGATAAAAGGCATGCGGGCAGACACAAAACGGGCCCAGAAAGAATCATTCTTCCCTAAAGACTTGAATATCAAAACCCCGCACAGCCAGACAACGACCGTTGCTTACAATTAGAGTCTGACCCTGGAGTGCATTTAGAGGAAGGAAAACAGTTTAGATTATAACAAAAAGTAACACACAGCATGAAATCTGAACAGTGACAGAGTAGAAGAAAAAAAAAACCCAAGGCCTGTTGTAGCCAACTGCTACGGATTAAGCAGGGACTTTGAAACCAGACAGAACTAGGTTGAAATTCTGAGTCGCTTGCTGAACGTGTGACCCTGTGCCTGTTATTTAAGCCTCAGTTTCACCACACAGGAAATGACATTGACACTGACAGCACATAACGTGACTAGACTATTTGGAGAATTAAATAAGCATACAGGCGAAATATCAACACACATTCTGATTTATTCATGACCCTCACTAACTGGTAGCTAATATCATTTACTATCCAGAAAACGTTGAATTTTATTGCCTGTAACATTTCTGTAGAGCATGATCTTTGGCATTTTTCCTGTAATGACAGTAACGATCTTATTTCATAAAGAAAGGAGGAACGGCTTACTCACACTGACTGTGTCTCTCGAGTCTCACAGTGAGTGTCTGGGGGATTTGAACTGTGATGTCTAGGCCCCTAACAGAAGCCTGCCCGAGACGACTTCCTTCCTCGTGGAAGACTAAGGTTCCATCAATCCTGATAACATTTTAAGGTGATGTCTACATCTTTTTGGTACTCTAAATTCTATTAACAAGCTCTTATCATTAAGTTGAGCATATAAAACATTACATTAACTCACTAGCTGATTGTATGTGCATATATATGTAAGCAAACAGAGAAATGTGTATGTTATATTCATATTTAATTTCATCTAAAACAAAGATATATCTAAGCATTAGTTTTCGAACCTCATCGATTTGTCACAAAAACGGTCACTAAATCGACTTTACCTGTAAGTGTGAATCTGTAAAGAGATCTTCTGTTTTTGGATCACTGGGTGGCTGATGCCAAGAAGTCAGTGAATTTCCGTTACTCTTATCCTTCAGCGAAAAATCACAAGGATGTTTTCCATCAGTCTTTAATATTATTATGGCACACAAAATAGTTCAGCATGCAGTATTTTCTTTTTTAAAAAAACCATGCCTAAAAAAGTAAAGCTTAAGGAAATTCTTATTGAAATACTACCATTTGCAACAACATGGATCGATCTTGATAATATCACACTAAGTGAAATAAGTCAGATAGAGAAAGTCAAGAACCGTATGATTTCATTCATATTTGGGATACAGACCTGAAGACAACAAGTGCATAAGGAAAACAAACGAAGACTCACAGACACAGACAACAGTGTGGTGATCACACAGAGAAAGGGGGTGGAACAGACACAGTAAAGGGTAAAGGGGGTGAAACACATGGGGACAAAAGGACTCTGGGTGGCAAACACACGATACATTATACAGATGCTGTGCTACAGAACTGGACACCTGAAACCTGGATAAGTTCATGAACCAATGTCACACCCAATAAATTTAATAAAAATGAAAATTATTACTCTGATATGTTGAATATTAATAATGTTACCCATAGGGCAATTTTTTGAGTGTCTTAAAATAATGTTTTCTGAGTGTTTATAAATAATATTGTATATATTAATTTATAATGAAACTCAGTGACAGGGTGGGAAATTCTATCTTTTCTCTCTCTCTCTCTCTCTCTCTCTGCCTCTCTCTGTCTCTCTCTGTCTGTCTGTCTGTCTGTCTGTCTCTCTGGCAGTCAAGAAAATTAAAAGGAAAAAAGTGAAACAGGAGGAGAGGGTTCTGGAAGATGGTAGAAACACCAGCATAGTTTTTTAAATTTCTCTGAATCCCAGCATAAAAACAGAACTAGATAGAAAAACAAAAATTCATCCTCTACATTTACAGTGAAGAAAGTTTAAAGACATCCTCAGGAAATTGAAACTATAATCATGCGAGAACAAACCAACAGCCAAAGACCTGTGTGGTATAAGCATGCACAGGAGAGAAAGCAGAGGCAAGCAGTGAGGTGAACTAGAAAAGCCCAAAACAGCAGCCCACAGGTATACACTGGAAAGCATGACAGATTAATCTGAGAACAGCACCTGAAACAGGAGTGCTTTTGCAAGGGTCTGTAAGAGGCCTACAGCAGTCCCTGAAGTGGCTACAGCGGCTTGCTCCTATGAGCTCTCCTGACCAGGCCATGCCACCTTCCAGAAGGCCCCACACTCACGAGAAGTGCTGGGGTGAAAAACCCAACCCAAGCCAGACAGGCATGAGAGCAGCAAAGGGAAGAGGAAGTCCAGGTGAAAGCGGCAGAGGGGTCTATCTCATAAACCCAGTTTCCCTATTTTGAACAATACACAAAACAACACAAGAGAGAACTCTGTGCCCTGGGGAAAACTATCCCGAATCACGCCTTGTTTTGAAAATGCAGGGAAATTAATTTCACATGAAAATGAGCAACAGCAAAGGTCAAGTCCTACAACCCAGAAAGGCTTTCCACTCATAATGGTAAATGAGCCACAACGAAGGCCTTCAACAAGGTCAGTAGAGACAACGAATGTTAATTTAACATGTGCAAGGCCTCCAACAGACAGCACTGAAGAAGTTTTCTACACTGAGGCAGAAGGAAAAAAATACTTGGGCTGGCTCCCTCACCTCCTAATCTACTTCCCAGCCCCCCAAATCCTTGTTCTCCTAAATTGGGAAACAAAGGGTAAATCCGGCACCACCCCCCCCCAAAATCTCCCCACTCTGTTGGTAGCATCTGATGTTATTTCAGTAGAAGAAAAGCAAAAAAGTGATATGTGGCTAAAATAATACATTTCATAAATGTTGCTTCAATATTCAGGAAAAATTAATAGTTATACCTTTTCCTGTATCAACAGGTAAGAAGTTGCGGAAATATAAGGTCTTAGGCACCCGGTCCAGATCTCAGAAATAACAAGGCTGGGAATGGAAGCCACATTTCACCAATACCACCCTGCCTATATTATCCTTAGTGCCCTTCTTATGGCTAACTCTATTATCAACATAATCTAAAGAGCTCCAATAAATCAAATTTCACTAGGTTATCTAGAAAAGAATATATACAAACCTAACTGAAGTACAGAATTAAATGAGACCAGTTCCATGCTTCTGAGCTAGTGAGAAAAGGAAACTCTACAAAGATTACTTTAGAACTGGAATGAGGCTCTTCATTCTCTACCCAGACACTGTCAACCACTTACAACCATGCTGAATTTATCATCCATAGGAGCTAGCATAACTTTTTAGTTAATTATTAGTTTTCACAAACAGGTATCACAGTCATGTAATTTTAAACCTGGAAGATAGTGAAAGCCAAATTTTCAAATTTATACAATCACTTAATAAAGTCATATTGTCATAGAGTAGTATTTTCTTCACACCAGACACCAAGAAATAATTTTCAAAGCACGTGATTTTAATAAAATGTACTCTCTGAAATGATGGTACATTCAGGGCCTTTCTCTGATCATGCAGATGCACTGGGACCCACTCAGGACCACCAGCTACAGTGCTCCTGTACCAGAGAGAGTCACTGCCACAGCCACAGAGCATGAGGGGTGACAGCGTGAAAGACAAGCCGGTTTGGGAGGTACTTAGAATTGGTTTTCGTTTTCATTAAATACACGAACTGTCACATGCTTAAGCCAGTATTAATTACACCTACAAAAGAAAGATAATTTCCAGGCAATATAATATGAAATAGAGAAAAAGTTTAAGCTAACATTCTACACAATAAGCTAAAAAGACAAACTACAAACTATATTCACCTTTTCTGTCACTTAAAAAATCACTTTTCTCAGCTCAAATTTATGAGAAGCAACAGAAATACGGCACAAAGATTTAAAAAGTAACCCTGTAAATACAAACAAAGACACTGAAGTACCAAAAGGAGGACAGTGACCAAAGGGGAGAGGAGAGGGAATTTCAGGGGAAATAGCGGAGGGATTTAGAGGAACAAGTATAAAGGACCCAGGGACAAGAACTAAGGGGGGTGGAAATGGGAGGGAGGTGGGGGGCACGGGGGGGGGGGGGGGAGGGCGCTGGGACGGGAGTAATAGACAGAAAACTGCACTTGAAAAATAATAAAATAAAATAAATAAAAAGTAACCCCGTATCAGAACTTACGGCAGTTTAAAAAATACAGGATTTTAAGTGTTCGAATATGCAAATCGAACACAGTGCCATTTTATGAAAATCCTACATACAATTAACACCTTGCCATCAGGGCCTGCTTCTTCTTTGCTTCTCTTAGGACTTGAACAGCTCCCTTCGGAGTTGGGAAAACACCTCTTCTTGTTGGGATCACACGAAGGCTGGTGTAACAGTCTGTTGTCACAGTCATTTCCCAGGATCTCAATCGCCATATGGATAAGGTACGTGTCAATGTTTTCAGGAACATACATTCTAATTAGTTTAATTTTGCTCAACTCTGTAAAGGATGAAAAAATAAGATTTAAAAATAAATTACACAGCCTTGGCTGGCGTACTGAGTGGATTGAGCGCAGGCCTGCAAACCAAACAACCACGGTCCGATTCCCAGTCAGGGCACGTGCCTGGGCTGCCGGCCAGTTTCCAGCAGGAGATGCACAAGAGGCAACCATACATTGATGTTTCTCTCCCTCTCTCCTTCCCTTCCCCTCTAAAGATAAAAAAAATCTTAAAAAAAAAATATATATATATATATAAATTAAAAATATATAAATTACACAGCACATCCTAGGAAACTATGGGCTGGAAATGGTGGAATGTTTTGGAGGAAGGTGGCCAAAGAAAATGTCCCCTTGCCAATGCCACCAGCCAGATGGAAACGGAAATGGGGTGTGATGTGCACCTTACTCCTGCCCCCCTTACCTGCAAGGTCGAAATCAGGTCAGTGCCATCAACTCTGCATGAATTACGTTTCACATCGTCTGCGAATCAGAGCCACCCTTCCCAGAATTGTGTCTAAAGAAATTATGTATGCTGCGAATTCCACCAAGTTTTTTTGGAAATAATTTATTCTTGAAATAGAAGCTACTCACGCTGGTTAATAAGATGCCAAAAAAAAAAAAAAAAAGATCCTTTCAATGGATATTGTAGCTAACAAAACACTACTTAAAATGCGTATTAGTAACTAAATTAGTTTTCTGGGAAAAGTGTATCTTATTTTCAGAACCAAGGAATTTTTAGTTTTTGTAATTCAACAGAACTGATTCAGATGGTGTCGGTCTCTTCAGACCTTTACAGATGATACGCCAATGACCACTATTTGTATCTCAAGTACTTCCTTCCAAGTTCACAGTCATCTGCAGTTCTCTGGAGTATGGTAAAACTAAGCAACTTAGAACCTATTCACTTGTACCTTCATGTAATTTATAAAACTGGTATCGAAAACTTTCTGATACCCAATTCAAATGAACAATCAGACCAAATATTTTTAAATGATACTCTGAAAAGGTGGTCTTTCAATTACTGCAGTTTTCAGGTTTATATTCTTCTTTCTAAAGTTCTCATCTTGCTTAGGACTTTCCAAACAAAACTGCAGGTTACGAAAAAAAACAGGAAGAGAAAGTGACACAGCTAATAGATACGAGGACAGTGGGTTCTTTATTACTGGGCTGGTGCTGTTCCTAATTTTAAAGTTTTAAAATGTAAAACAAAAGCAAACTAAAAGGACAGCTAGATCAGGAGTGGAAACATAGAAATGAAGATCTCAAGGAGGGTTAGCAACAGGGGAGTGGGAGGAGGAGAAGGGGGGAGAAGGTACAGAAAATAAGTAGCATAGATGGTAGATAGAAAATAGACGGGGGGGGGGGAGAATAGTATGGGAAATATAGAATCTAAAGGACTTGCGACACATGGTCATGAACTAAAGGGGGGGTAATGGTGGGGAGGGGATGTGCAGGGTGGAGGGGAATGAAGGGGGGAATAGAACTGTAATGGCATAATCAATAAAAAAATAATAAAAATTTTTAAAAAATGTAAAACTGATGCTAATCAAAACCTTAGAAAGATAAGATTACCTCTAAATGTAATAAAATCAGCAAGGTGACTATCACATCCATCAACCAAACAAAAATTTCATTTGTCCCTTGGTCATAATACCGCACTAATACCACTGAAGTTCTGTGCATTTTACTACTTTATCATTTTTAATCATCTTCTTTTGTATGTATCTACCAGAGTTTACTTTGCATTCCCTTTCACTGGTCTTCAATTTTTCTTTGGAAAAAATGTTCTGATGAATATTTTACTTAATACAAACATCTTTCCAGATTCCCAGGAGTGAGGTCACTAGTTCAAAGGCCCCAACCGTTGATACATGGAGCCAACTGCCTCTGTGACTGTGCTGCCTGATACAATAACCACCAGCCACACGCCGCCACTGAGCATTTAAAACGTGGCTGGCTGGCTACAACAGCTGAGGAACTCAAATTTTTTATTGTAAGTAATTCTAAGGCAAGCATGCAGCCCTCGAATATGACAGAAAAGCAATTCATTGACAGTGGACCACTCCATTCAGAAGGGTGCAGTCTTAACGCACAGTGATGAGAAACCGTTATTTTATGAATTTTTCATTAAAAGCTTAATTGAAAACTAAAAATAACCCTTAAATTTAAAAACTGATGCTTGATTCAGTAATCACAAAATTTTTAAGTATGTCTGGCACAAACTGGGTATCTTCATTTACTTCATTCAATTGCCAATTCTATGAAAGCTAAATAAAGACTAAGTATTTCAGATTAAAATTTACATCGGCATTGAGATACGCTGCGAATGCAAAATACACTCCTGATTTCAGAGGCTTAGTACAAAAAAACCTCATTAGTAATTTTTACATTGACTATATGTTGAAAGGACAGCATTTTTAATATATTAAGTTAATTAAATTATATAATTAAAATTAATCACATCTGTTTATTTTTACTTTTTAAATGTAGCTACCAAAAAATTCAGAATTGCGTATGTGGCTCCTACTATATTTCTTTTTGCAGAGCGCTGCTCTAGAAAACCCACTCCGGTTACCCTGTGCTCAAGCCAACTAATACTCCACACTGCACAAAAGTCACTTTCTTCTGTGGGTATTTAAATACTGGATAAACAAACTATACATCCTTAGTTTCATCGTACTGTAAATGTAAACTTTAGAAACCAATTTTTTTTGGATACATCCACATTATCTTGTCCTATCACAGCATCACTGGCTAAATAAATTTTTTTTCTTTTTATCATTCAAAGTATTTTAATACATGGGGGACTTAATGTATCTGAAAAAAGTTCTCTTACAATCATTTGAAAATATCATTATTCAAGTGCTTTTTACATGGTCTTCCTTTTTATTTATTCATTTATTTATTTTTTAATTATTTTATTGTTGTTCAATTACAGTTGTCTGCATTTTTCTCCCCACCCCTCCCCCTGCAACTGGCTAAATGATTTTGAAAAGAAAAATAAGATATTTTTATTCCAATTGAGACAATATATTTCTAAAATTAGAATGCCTTCCTTTCATAAAATTATGATGTATAAACATTTATCTTTGGTATTAAACCACTATTAGTGATTTAATAAATTTACAGTGGTTATATTGTAACTAGAATATAATTTTCAGATATAATTAGAAAATTCATCTTATTTACTTACACGTTTTTATAAGTGCTCTTTATATTTATATCTTAAAGTCATCCTACAATATACATATGCAAATAAAAAAGTGGCATCAAACTTTAAAGATGCACATTGTTCTGCCCTAACTTTCCACGCAGGGTAAGTGCTGAAACTATCGGCTGGAGAGTAAGAAAACAATCCCAGGCCAAGCTCCTGCACTGGTTCAGAAGAGATCGTGTTACCCCTACTTCTGTGGCAGGGCCCTTGGAACCCACCCCTGACTTCCCAGGCATAAGCACATAAATAGGAGAATGAAATTATCCCAAATATTATCCAGATACCTCGTTAAATTATCTTGCCTCATGTATTATTAAGCATAGTTAGAATTTCAATTCCATTAAAGAAGCTTAAAATTATGTAAACATGGTAAAACTAAAAAAATTAAAGGGTACAGAATTCCTTTAAATATTAAGTTTACCAGGACAAAAATCTACTTAGCAAACTAGATGTAATTTATTAATCCCAATACTCTATTTTTTGGTTTAAGATTATACCAGAATAAAATATAAAAAATTCTAAATTCAGTATTGTGTGGAATTTAAGTGCCAATCAAACTTGTTCATTAAAACACCAAATTATGGAATATGACTACAGTTTTAAAAAAGATAAAAATAACATCTCTGAAACATTAATATACTACGGATATCTTCATTTCTTATTATAATTTATAACACATTGCTCCAATAAAAGAACAGATTTTTAATGAGGCAGAACAAGAATTCAAAAGTAAAATTTCACATCAGTAAGTGGTATCTTACAGGCTCTAAGTGTACAATCGAATGAAATAAAATTTGGAGCTCATGGTTCCTGCAGTTGTACCTTGTCTCAATTCTGGCTTCAGAAGCAAACCACAACGATACACTTTTTCACATTATATGTACAACATGCATACAGTATACAGACAGAAAGTGAAAAAGTGTTTTAAAATGCTCTACATTGTTTGTGGAATGTCAATTTAATATTTATCTCTGAATGAAAACTTATTTGTGGTAAGTACACAGTGGTGAAGACAAATGTTTTAGTCACTAATGACTACACATACTTTTCTCATCTACCTGGTGTTTGTTGAATCAGGCTGTGCAATTATAAATAGAGAAGTTTTCATGTTCAGATAGTCTGCTTGATTTTAATACATCTTAATTTAAAAAGCTGTAACATAAGAAATTAAAGTTTCTAAACTCAGGATGTAGAGCATACTAGATACACTGGAGAACGTTTAAAGATATTAGATATATGGAGATAGTAAACCGAACCTAACTCAGCACTTAGAGGTTTATAAACCCAAGTCCTCTGTCTGGATTGGAAACTGTGTGTTTCCTTGTTTTAAAGGGCTGGCAGCACATGTGACAGGGCAGAGCACAAAGAGACACTGCTGTCATTCACTGCGAGGGGACGTGAAATCGAGGCAAGGCTCCAGGCCTCAGGTCCCTGTCTCCGAAGCAGCATGGGAGAAGGGGAGTGAAAATGTGATAGTTTCCAATTTCCTTTCCAAATCAAAAATCCTGTTAACTTTACCACGATATGATTCAGAAAGCAATTAGCAGCATCTTGATTCTTCACCGTAGCCCAATAAAATAGATGCTGTCAGTACTTGGCCAGATAATAGAATCTTAAATCTTCCTCTACCATTTTCCCCTGCCAATAATGAACTGAAATGAGAACATCCACTTTATGTCATTCAAAAATATTTGCCCAAGATTTCTTCAATACTTGAGGGGAAAAAACCCTGATATAATTATAACCTGCCTGAATTATTGAAGTTGTTTATATAAAACAGGTTTGAAAACTCCCTACTGGTATACTTATTTATTAACTTCATATTTTCTGAATTACCTTCTATAGAGACTAGTATATTAATCATAAAAGGAGTCGTCAGATCTAGCCGTCTGCTTCTTCAGTCACCATCACACTCACCACTGCTGCCCCGACCGCCCCCACCACCACGTAAGAAACACAGTTGTCCCTGGTTCTGGCTGGGAACCGGTCCCAGGGCCCCATGCTCTGGCCCCTTATATACAACAGCGTAGAATCTTCATATAACCTACACATGTCCTCCCCTATACTTTAAATTGTCTCTAGATTATTTATAATACTAACAATGTAAATGCTATATTAGTTTTATATTGTATTGGTTAGGAATCAACTTTTCTGGAATTTTTCTTAAAGTATTTTCAACCTCCAGTTAGTTGACTCCATGGATGTAAACCCGCAGATTCAGATGGCAACACACTTACCGAGTGCCAGAGCATTCTGTGCAGTATCTAATTATTTCTCCCAATTCTGTATCTAAGGCATATACCTCTCCCTGTTCTAGAAAAAAGGAAACTGAGGTTTAGGGAGACTGGTTCATTTGCCCAAGCAATGCAGCTCTGAGATGGTAGAGCCAAGACCTGAAATGGATCAGCCGTTAGCAGAACCTTTGCTCTTACTGGTGAGGCTACACCACCCATCAGTGTTCAGGGCTTAAGGAAGGCAGTCTATGGCCATACCACCCTGAACGTGCCCGAGAGCTCATCTGATCTCGGAAGTTGAGCAGGCTTGGGTCTGGTTAGTACCTGGACGGGAGGATTGAAGGAAGGCAGCGAAATGACAGCAAACATGACTGTCAATAGGAACAAGCTTCCTCTGTCAGAAACTACAGCCTACCGTTCGCCAGCTCATCAAAGACACACATTTCTCCGAGTCCTGAGAGACAATACGTATAAAGGTAAAACTGCAGAGGATTAAAATCAAGAAGGCATCCAAATCTTTGACTATTTCAGTTTACACTGGAGAAAGAGGAGTATTATACAATCACAATTGTAATCCTACAAACAATTACTGTTTTCCTTCCTCTGCCTGAATTTCTAGTAAAATGGCTGCTCAAACCAGAAAGACTAGAATGTGGCCAGGACAGCTGGCCAGCTTGCTAATAAGGTGTTTCACAGCTAAATCACCTTGAATTTCTTTTATCACAGTTCAAAACTGGGCCCTCTGATTTTCAGATTTAGAAATCCAATTTAACCTCAATAGATCCATATTAACCAGGCTCACAAAGTGCCAGTTTATCTATTTACAATTATGAACGCACAATTATCACAGAGATAAGTACCCACTACTGCAAACTTTCCCTGCAGACAGACCTACATGAAAAATCAAACATGACCTGAGAGCTAAGAAGTAACAGAGAAGCAGAATTTAAGATGGTTCTTCAAATAGTATCTTAACAAAACTTATCAATGGGCCCTTAATAGGTCACATTGGCCAACTGAGGTCACATTGGCCAGATTAGAAATTGCGTATTTCCCTCTTCTAAATGGTTGGCAGTACAACCCTAGCGTGGTGGGGTAGAAGAGAAACCTTCGTACCCTGGAATTAGCTGAGACAACCACTGCCCAGCTCGCCTGTGTGTCTCGCCCCTTCCTGCGCTCCCGCGGCTGACCTACGGGAGGGATGGAGGTGTGTGTTGTGAGACCTTCGGTCAAGTCTTGCTCAACCTAGAATTAGCAATACCTTTTAAGGTGACTTGGATATCTTTGTTCTGATCAATTAACCACAGTATTGATTGTCCTTCTAAAGGGTGATCTCATTCCTCTTATTTTCAAGTGTTTGGAGGCAATCATATAGTTATTCCTAAGCAGGAAAGAATTTGAGATAATAAAAATTAATGATTTGCACTGTAGCCTTAGAGGTAAGCCTTCTTGTATGTGAACTGCTCAGTCCTAATAATCTGAATGAATTTATCAGATTTATTGAATTATAAGGACACCGGTTTGTATTTGTACATTTAGGAGGAAAAATGCTCTAGTGAAACTTGTCTTTATTTCTGTAAAAAATGGTCCATAATTTAGCCCTGGCCAGGTAGCCCAGTTGGTGGGAGCGCCATGCCAGTCTGCCAGGGTTACACACTCGCTCCCTGGTGGGGGCACGTGCCCGAGGCAACCAGTGAGTGGACGGGTGAGGGGCACAGATGGTGGGTGTTTCTCTCGTGCTCTCTCTCCTCCCCTTCCTCTCTCTCTCTCATCAACACATTCAAAAAATAAAACATAATTTTTAAATAAGCATATTAAAACTTTTCTGCAGGGCAAGCCAAGTGAGCACAGGTGAGGTTCTATGGCAAAGTCGGAAGAGGAAACCCTCCTCCGAGGGTCCAGAGAACTTGGTCACTCCTCCAAGGTCACGGTGACGGACAGCCCTGACTGCGGAGATGAGAAGGGTAGACAAGTGAAACGAGTGACGAGGACTCAGAAAGACTTAGGGAAGAACTAGGGGTCGGTCAGTTTTGGGGAATGAATATAGAGAAGTGAAGAGGTAGAAATTAAAAAAGAAAGAAAGTGTACTCTTTCGGGATGGATATGTAAATTGTAACCTGAAGCTGAAAAGAAACACAAGAATGTCTAAGACTAGAGTCCTAATGGTAAGAAAGATTTTTTCTAAAACAATAAAAAGCCTTATAAAAGCCAAGTTTTCATAGTAGCATAAAGGGTTGATGTTGTTAAACTAAAAAAACATTAGTGGATTGCTTGATGATTTCATCAGGATCCCACGGTTATCACCTGAGTTGATGGGGGGGTTTCGAATAACATCGGTAATAATCTTCTGAACCTCTGGAGTCAGGCCCGCTCGCTCCACGTCGACTGGGTAGCCCGCTTTCACCGCCTGGGACAAGTGTATGCCAACTGCTGCGAGAGGCAGAATCCTCTTCTCGGCTACACTCTTCTACAGAAACAGCAGCAAAACCACCAGTGAGTTCTTCACAGTTCCCACTGTGCGGTATGAGAATACAATGTCCACTGACCAGTAAGCAGTGCTAAACCTTCACAGAAAATTTTCATCTTAATAGACCATTTCTTTAAAACGACCTACATAACAGAACTCCACAGATTCTATTTTTTACAATTATTATACTGAATAAAATCAAATCATCCACCATTAGCTAAGAACTCAATCCCCCTCTCTCTGCAATTATTCACCTTAAAAACCTATATGTGGCAGAGAGCAGTCATTCTATGTTAAATCTAAAAGCTGCCACAACCTTTGAAAATAGAGCAAAACTGTAATCCAATATTCCATATATTTGATGCATTACATAGTGCTTTAGTTTCAGGAATTTCCAAGAAGACAAATTCCATAATGTTTAGCGATAACACAGGCCCCAGATGTATTGTATAAAAGGTTCTGGAGAAGACTTTAATAGGTGTTTTGAATTGGCTTTATTCATAAAGTAAAACAACCCACAGTTAAACAAAGGCTGTCATTATGTGCCTGGAATTGAATGAAACCTCAATTGAGGACAATGTTACATATTTCTGTAGCTTTTAAACAAATGTGGCTCCAAATCCATTTAAGGTATATATTAGGTACGACATTTTTTTAAACCCTCCAAGAGTTTGGTAATTCAGCTCTAAATTATTTCATAATACTCTCTTTTAAAAACCCTGAATATCTGAGTTTGGATGGTACTTGTGCAATGTTGACACTTTCACAGAACAGGGTCTTTAAAGCCGCATTTTCTCCCTTCACAGGCAGACTTCAAGTTTCTCTCATTGGAGACCCACCCTCTCCAGCAGACAGTGCGCACCATGTGTGAGTAATGCAGGGTTATCCGACACCAGGCATCAGATTACCTAAAACTAATTGTATGATTGCTCCTGATTAATTAGTGCTCAGGCATGTTTAGTTTTGTGGTTAACTGGCAAAACCGTCTCAGGCTCCTGGGAGCTAGAGACAATTATACAAGGATATTACACAATAATATACAACCAAGTAATAGCAAAAAACATAAATTGAGATATACTAGTCTTCACATTTTTACCCATGAATATGAAATATAATACATAAAGCCTCATATCATGGCTGAGTATTAGCGTGCACTTTATTCAGAAAATCTGAAGGCTATACCAAATTTTCCTAGAAAGTATATTCAGCTACACCATACATATATGGTGAAATTATGCCTATAAAGCATATTTAACATGTACATTTAAGTTACTATTTAAGAGGCAGAACTTCATTTTTTATTTATCATGTAATTTGTTTCAAAAACAGTACAATGGAATTATCTGCTTTCCCATGTAATGTTTTTTGTATTTTTAGTTAAGGAATTTGACTATCTTTAAACTACTAATTCTTATTTATATTGGACCTTCACCAGGATAAAAAGTGAGAAATATGGCCTAGTGGATGAAGACATGCAATAGGAAAACCATGTGTTGGACCATATAGCTCATTCTAAATCAATGTACTGTCAGAGAGGACAGGAATTCAAGTTAGTTCAACTTAGCCGGAAGCCGCATTGTCTCTAGCCCCCTAAAACAGACTCTCCATTGTGTACGGGGTGGGACGAAAGTAGGTTTACAGTTGTTTGTATGGAAAATAATATAATAGTTAATAAGTAATAATAGAAGAATATGTGTTTCATGTACTCACAACTGTAAACCCACTTTTGCCCCACCCTGTATATGACAAAAACAACTCAACAGCCTAAGGATGTATGCCAGAACCGTGGTGAAACATTAAATATGGCTATTTTTCACAGTGATCAGATTTTTTCCAAGGAGCATCAGGCATGGTTAAAAACACAAACAGTGCCAGAGGATGCGGAGTGGAAAGCAAGTCTGGTGAGTACACAGGCATGTGTACATACGAGCACACGTACGCATTTATATGTTTGTTCTTCGCCCTGTTCTGCAGCTTCCTTTTTAAAAAATTTAATGTATCTTCTAGATTATTTTTCATCTATCTATATACATACACACACTAGTAGTTTTTTAACTATTAATCCAAAATTTTTAAAAATAGTCTTCAAATGTGGCTGCGCTAATATCCCTAAGCTGTACATGTGTTTACCAGGACCCCTGATATGACCTCTATGAGATAATCGTGGTCAAACTATACTTGCTCTTTTTATCTTTTCACCTAATTGACAGAGGTAGGCTTAGCAGAAAAAGAAAATGACGTTCCGTTCTAAAATTAAACGTAAAATGAAAAACACTGTAGAATTAGAAGAAATTGATCCCGAATCACAACTGTAACAACTGAAAAGCTGAGTAGACGTAGGTTTGGGTAAGTTTAAAAATTCCCCCCACCAGGAGAGCGACACTCACCAAAGGCATCTTCCTGTCCTGGAACAAGGAGTGCGTGATGGCGGCGGACGGCGAAAGCGGGCACCCTTGGCTCTTCGCCACCGGATTTTTCTTCTGCTCTTCCTGTGGTTTTGTACTTGAAAAGAGGTCTGTCTACAAAAGTGTACACGGAGCACAAATGGTGAATAACGGTATCAGTGTAATGACAGATACCACCGTGACCAGTAGGCACGAGGGCAAAAAATACAACACAAATAAAACATCTAGGAAACAGTCAAAAATACCCTTTTGTAAGGAGTTCAAAAAGGGTTTTTTTTTTTAACATATTGATTTAAAAAGGTAAAATAAGGCTAGAGGAAATAAGTTTTTAATGAAATATCTGTAATAATAAACATGGTTGTAGAACTATAAATTCATAGTCTTCCCTTTAGCCAATAAGAGGGAATAAAAAAATGAACTATAATATGGACCACTCTTTCTTTAAATAGTAAGACCCCTAACCCCCTGGAAGTGCACATTAAATAAATAAAAATAATAATTAATATTCAAATTTATAAACGATAACCACAAATTCTGCTAATGTATCTTAAGGGAAAATGTCATAACTACACACACATGGTTAGAGAGCATACATATAAATGCCAATTCTTGAAGCATTATGTAAACCCTTAAATATAATTCATTAAGACATTTAAAAGGAAAAAGGGAGAAGGGATTAAAAAAGAAGATCAATGAAGAAAAAGCAGAATTATTTTAAAGACTGAAAGAAAGGTAAAGGCCAAGTGACAGTTACGACAGAATTGTATGATGTAGGGTTCACATAAATATATGAAGTTTCCCTCCAAAACGCCAACTTTACCTCCCAAAAGATGAGAACCAACACTAAACTGAAAGAGTTAAATCCAGCGGAACTTGGCTTACAGGAACCCACACCAACTCATTCTCCCCTGAACGGAGAGGCGGCCTGCGCACCAGCTCCGGGCACCTGGGGCAGCGGCAGCCCGGCGAGCAGAGCCGGACTCCACCACAAGGCCTACAGGCTCCGGGCTGTTTCTAGGCACCCAGACTTCCAAAGAGGAACATCTTTTATTGAATGAAAATAAAGTGCTTCCATCGGAGGCCTTAACACAGTCAAATCTGGCCTTCCATTTCTAGGAATGCTGAAAATCAAACTGCATTACCCAGATTCCTCAGGATTACAGTGCAGCCTATACAGCAACGGACACCCCTACAGCAAGGTCTCAGCATGCGACCACTAGGGGTCACACTGGCAAGCACACAGATTCAGGGTTTATGGGACAAAATCAGGAAAGCACCTGTAAATGGGGGACTAAAGGGTTAAGGAACATCAAAACACTTGGCAAATTAACACGAGAGCAGTAAATCAAAAGATGAACAGTGAAAGGACAGCAAACTCACAGTTATTAACAACCACACCTAAAACAAAAGCAAACTAAGAGGACAGCTAGATCAGGAGCAGAACCATAGAAATGAAGATCACATGGAGGGTTAGCAACCCTCCAAGTCCAAGACTTACATAGCCTGGACAATTACTTTAGTAACATCATAAAAATTAGGTAACTAACATGTTCATATTAACTGATCTACTGTACACATGATCTGAATTCATTTTCTAAGTACCTGGTGAGGAAAGGAAAATAAAGGGAGAAAATGTTGGTTTTGAAGGGCATTTTTCAAATTGTCAAAAATATTTATTCTGTCAGAACTCCCGTACACCACAGCATTTTACCTGAACACTGTTTGTTTGACAGAACTGTTTGATGACTTCCAACAGAGGGGCCAGCATCGTAGCTTTGCCTTCGGAAACACCCTCGATCCTCTTCACGTTTCCATCTGTAGTCGGTCTGCCATTAAAAAGCAACTGAAAGTCAGTAAGTCACTGAAACATTACCACTCCAGCAAGAGAGCTGATATTTAGCTGTTGTGGTGATTTATGAATGAAAACATCACCATCACCACAAAAACACAGTACTCCCTGCTAAACAGGCCATTATCATAAGTAGGCTAATGTTCTACTCCATCACTGCTCTTATCATTATTATTTTTATAACTATGAAAAGAAAAATTATGAAGTATTAACTGAGGACAACTAAGAGGCCTACAAACTCAGAAAATCTTGTGTAGTGTTTATAAAGTGTTTACCTATATCAATAAACTTAACTCAATATTTCTTATATTATCCAATATCCAAGAGACTGTATGATGTTATCTTTCTAAAAATATGTCAACCTAATGATTACTCCTTTTCCTTTAAATATGTTCACTTAATATTACAGTGTGGTCTTTGAACATTTATTTTAATGAAATAATTATTATATGCTATAAGTACTATGTAAAATTGAAACATCTCTTGGATGAAATTAAGTGACATAAGCTATTTTTTAAATAATTTTTTATTTTTCGACTACAGTTGACATACACTATACTAGTTTCAGTTGTAAAACGTAACTAGACATTTATATAACCTGCAAAGTGTTCACTCTTATAAACCTAGTACCCATCTGAAATCACACACAATATTATTGAGTCTATTTCCTATGCTATATTTACATCTCCATTACTATTCTATAACAGTAATTTTTTAAATGCTTAAAAAAATAAAATCGAGAAACTATTCTTTGGAAATAATTTCTTCTAAATATTAACTGACTACATGTTGTTTATTAGACATTGTGCTAGGTGCTCCGAAAGGCACAAACGATGAGGAACACATTCCTGTTTTCCAGAGTGGAAAATCTAGACGATATGGCATATGTATGCTCCTAATGACAAAAAAAATAAATAAAGCATTGTGTGATAAGGGCCATAAAAGCACCTTTCAAAATTTCAAAGGTTTTTAAAAAAAATATTGTATTTTTTCCATTGCCATTTGTCAACCTTTATACCCTCTTCCACCTCCACCCACTCTCCTCCCCACGCCCCGCAATCACCACACCATCGAATTTGTATCTAGAAGTCCTTTATGAATTCCAGAGAGAGGAATTACTTTGCTAATATGAACCTGGAAGACTTGATGGAGAAAATAATAACAAAGCCAGATTTTAAAGAATTTCCTAACAGGAGTTGGGGAATCAAAGAAACTACGAGGCAGAAGCAGTATTTTAAATAAGGGTATGGAAACTGAAACGGAGTCTTCAACAAATGGTCAAAAACCCAAGTAAGACAAACCACTTAAAATTCTGTGACTCAGATGGAAGAGTAGGTTTAAGTCTATAAATGAAGGGCCTGGAATTGTAAGCTCAAGAAATTAACATAGTGGGAAACTAATTAAACAGAAGTGAGACATGAAAAAGATTAATCCGGTAGTCATACATCCGATGAAACAGGGAGGTGGAAAAAGTGACCAGTTAAATGGCTTTTGCGATAGTCCAAGGGTGACAGTCCAAACTAACACAGTGACACTAAAATGAGGGACGAAGGCAGAGACAGACACACAAAAAACATTTCAATGAAAAAGTCTGAACACTATTTAAATAAGAGTAAGAAGGGAACGTACTGATAGGTTAGAGAAGTGACAATAACATCAGAGGTTTGAACATGCCTGACTGGAACATCATGGTATGACTAATGGAACATCATGGTACGACTAACAAAAACAAGGAATTCAGAAAGAAGGGCCTCAGTATTCACAGGACATCTGTGTACAGACGGTGGCGGACTATGCCCAATTTTTGTACGCACTGGATCGGGTGCTGAAGACAGCTGGCTTTTAGTCCCATAGAAATATGGGACTTTCAGTCTCATAGAAATATGGGACTAAAGACCAGAGAAAAGATCACTGGGAGCAGCACGGAAGGTTCAGAAGTCACCTGCGGATATGACAGATGTCCTATCCAACAGATGGGACTGTTAGAGCCATCGTTATTATCACTTAAGATATGTTTTATAAATCTCTTATGTTAGAACAGAAACAAATAGATAATTTACCTCATTTTGGCCATATCTACCAGTATCTTATTCGTTGCCAGAACAGCGGGAGGAACGTTCAATTTATGGGCATGTTTCTGTCTAGCTTCTATCAATTTGCCATATAGCACAGTCTGAAAAAAGAACAAAGAAACAACTCAATATTTTTTAAAATGAACTAAGAAAAATCCAGTCCTTCATGTCCAGAGCTTCAGCTTTTACATTATTCCTTAGGGTGAAAAATAAACTAAGCTCCATCTCAGACTCTTAACTGAAGGACAATTTTTAAAATACTGGCAACAGAATTTTAAGCAAGCATAGAATCATAAGCATCCCTCAACAATGACTGCCTTTTTACAGAAGGCATACCTGAGTCTCCTGCTCCTTGGCTGAAATAACAGGTTCTGAAGACTTGTAAGATTTTCCTGGTGACTGTACCATGATGCTGAAATATTGAAAAATAATAAATGATTTAAAAATTTCCTTCTGCAAGTTCATTTTTCATTTCACCCCAAAATGAGAACAGTCCCAGGGTGACAGTCTTTTCAGGTCTTATACTAACATTTATTCTTCCCAATACCAGTAAGGCAGTTGTTACTTATATGACAGCCAAGATTTTAAACATTTTGAGTCAAACACATTCATTTCAGTGGTAAGTTAAAATTACAATTGAGTTCATCAAAAATGGGAGTACTTAATCTTAACAGCATTTGCCCCATCCTCCTCCTCAACCAAATTCTTTGAAAGAAAATACCCCAACCTACACCATACACAAAAATAAAATCAAGATGGATAAAAGACTTAAATATAAGCTGCAACACCACAAAAGTCTTAAAAGAGAACATAGGCAGGAAAATTTCAGATATTCCACGTAGCAATACTTTCACTGATATGTCCCCTAGAGCAAGGGACATAAAAGAAAGAATAAATAAATGGGTCTACATCAAATTAAAAAGCTTCTGCATAGCTAAAGAAAATATCAGCAAAAGGAAAAAGTAACCAACCATATAGAAAAATATATTTGCCAATGATACCTCAGACAAGAGTTTGATCTCCAAAATATATAAAGAACTCACATGACTCTTCTCCAGGAAAACAACCCAATTAAGAAATGGGCAAAAAACTTGAACAGACACTTCTGCAAGGAGGACATACAGAGGGCCCAGAGACATATGAAAAGATGCTCAGCATCGCTAGCCATCAGAGAGATGCAAATTAAAACCACAATGAGATACCACATCATACCAGTGGGAATGGCCATCACAACCAAATCAACAAACAAGTGCTGGTGAGGTTGTGGAGAAAAAAGAATTCTAGTACATTGTTGGTAGGAATGCAGACGGGTGCAGCCACTGTGGAAAACAGTATGGAATTCCCTCAGAAAACTAAAAATGGAACTACCTTTTGACCCAGCAATTCTACTGCTGGGATTATACCCTAACTATCCCAAAACACCAATTCAAAAGAACCTATGCACCCCAATGTTCATAGGAGCACAATTTAAAATAGCCAAGTGCTGGGAACAGCTTAAGTGCCCATCAGTAAATGAGTGGATCAAAAAACTGTGGTACATTTACACAATGGAATTCTATGCAGCAGAAAAAAAACAAGGCATTCCTAGCATGGATGGAACTGGAGAGCATTATGCTAAGTGAAATAAGCCAGTGGTGAAAGAAAAATACCATACGATCTCACCTATAAGTGGAACCTAATCAATGGAGCAAACAAGCGAGCAAAATAGAACCAGAGACATTGAAATAAAGAACTGACAGTAACCAGAGGGGAGGGCGGAGGGGGATAATAGGTAGAGAAGGGAAAGGGTCATCAAGGAACATGTCTAAAAGACACTTGGACAAAGAACACAGGCAGGAGTGGCGGTCTCCTAGGAAAGAACTCCTATAGATAGGAGTACTATCTACACAGAAGTAAGATATTTTTTTTAGCCAAGAAGAATATAATCTATGATTCTTTGCTGAGATATCATCAATTTTAGTTGGTAGGGAACATCAGCATGAATCATCAATTTTAGTTGGTAGGGAACATCAGCATGAGATTAATCAAATTATTCACAATATTCTTCGAAATGAAATAAAAATAAGCCAAAGAAGTAATTTTGCTTTTGACTCCTAAAAAAAAGGATAAATAACACCCAATTAGCAAACAACATGTTATGAAAGGTACTAGGCCACAAGCTACATAGAAAACCAATTTCTATAAGCAGTATTTCTCTGATTAATTATAAAGAGGAAATGTTATAAAAGTGAAATTGTATAGAACGGCTTATATGAAAGATGATAAATTTAAGTAAATTTCCGTTGGGAGATTAAAGAGGAGAACATGTTTGTTATTGAAGACTGGTTTATAAATTTCTCTGTTGCAAGAATTCAAAAATCTGTATGTAAAGGAAGATTTCATTTTCACAATGATCATATGCTATTGCGAAAATTAACTAAAGTTGAACCCAAGGACAGATAACTCCAGTGCAAAGCACTAGTAATACCAGGTTACTCAAGACAATTATAAATTTGTTTGAAATAATATATTAACCTTCATTTTACCATCTATAGAAATCTTTATATTAATGAACTATTTGAAAATGGTATTTTAAATTAGTTCACAAATAAATTTTATCACCATACATAACAGCAAAATTCTGGGTAACATGTTCCCAAAGCAGAAACATATGTGAAAAATGTTAAATAAAATATATTTTGTCTATGAATGCTATTATAAGTACAAAGAAGAAAACTTCAAAATAACTACAATGAATATAACCAAAGAGGTGGAGTTATAGTATCCATGAAACAAAAAAAAAAAGATCACTATATATTAAAGAAAGAAGAAAGAGAGCAAGAAATAGTTCATAAAAAACAAAAATTTGATAACTAAAATGAAAATTTCATTGGATGGGATATAATATAAAGTCAAGGCATTCTCTAAGAAAGTAAACAAAAAGAGTCTGGAAATAGAAAAAAAAGTAATAAAAGGAACACTATAAACCAAGCAAAGAAGATTAAAAAAAGACAATTATTAGCATAAAGGAAAATTAAGTTAGTGGTGGTCATAATAACACAGTTTGGCTTAGTAGTATGTAACATTTGAGTAGATATAATAAAGTAAAAATAAATTATTAATGTGACCAAAACCTGAAGTATAATAAAATGAAGGAGGAGAAAGAAGGGAAGGGGCTCTGGGAGATAAACCCTAATGTACCATTACAGAATGTCTACAGAAAATTTCTAAAACTGGTAAGTCAAAAAACAGTAATCTCAGCATGCCACTTAGAAATGGTGGTAAACACCAGAGAAACCAGTCGGGGTGTTTCAGGGGGACTGCTCCTATAGAACAGCACAAACTGGGTTCGGGAAAGGCTGAACTGGTACACTTTGTTATGTGTCTCTAGGCATGAACTGACTTTAAAACCATGCACATGTATGATTTTAATGAAAATGCAAATGAACTTTAAAATAATAGTTACTAATAGGTAAACATCTTTCTTCTGTACACTAAACCCATATATTCAAATTAATTTCTGGACCACTCAGAAGGTACCTTAAACCCAGTGTGTCTATCTCTAAACTCAACTACTCAACTGCACACCCGCTAGATGCAGGGCGTCCGACCTGCAGCCCGCAGGCCGTATGCAGCCCAGGATGGCTATGAATGCGGCCCACCACAAAATCATAAATTAACTTGAAACTTCATTTTGCTCATTAATTTTTGTTAGTGTTGGTGTATTTAATGTGTGGCCCAAGACAACTCGTCTTCTTCCAGTGTGGTGCAGAGATGCCCAAAAGTTGGATCCCTCTGCTAGAGTATACATTTGGGATGGGGAGGTGGCAGGGCCAGTGGCTATGCGTCTATTATACCCCACAGAATCCCAATGCCTAGAACAGTAACTGGCACGAAGAAAATGCCTAGTAAAAACACAAAATGTTTAAATGAAGAAATACTTCGACATATTGAATGAATACATTGTTTGTATACTCCTTAAACCTTTTGTTTACATAAAACACAATTACATACTATATATCCAAACAACAAGAAACTGTTTGCAGTTACTATAAATATTTCCATCAGATCCAAAGTAGTATTGAGCATGGTATTATAAGTAGTATTTTCTAATGAGCAAATCATGAGAAAATGAGTGTTACAGCACATTAATTTACTTTCATCTAACACAGTGTGTAAACACAATCCATTTACTTTGCCGGTAAGTCCAAACAAGTTTTTCAAATTCTCCATATTAAGGCCTTCTATAATTCTTTACTCTCCCCTCACTTTTATTAAGTCAGTAAGTCATGTACTAAACTTGAAAGTACAATACAGAGGTGGGCAAAAGTCGGCTCACAGTGGCCTGTGTGGAAAATGATACAGTAAGTAATAAACAACACAAGAACAAGCTCTGTGTTCCTGCACTCACAACTGTGAACCTACCTTCGCCCACCCCTGCAGTACATCACCTTTATTCTCTACCAACTCCAATGCATGCCTCTCTATGTTGCCATAAAATCCTTTTTAAAAATGTGAGCGAGAATACATAGTCATACCAATACAATTCATTATTGTTTAGATGAGAATATATATTTCACACAAATACAAATAATTAGTATTTAGACGCTAGAGGTTGACAGATACAGATTTGAAAGTCACTCTTCCATCAGTTGTATGCCCTTGAGCATGTTAGCTAACTTCTTAACCATAGGTATCTTCAACTATAAAATGAAGATAAAAATATCAATAGTAGCTAAATCATAGGTTGTTGTAAGAATTAAATGAGCTATTACATACAAAATGTTATAGCTCATTTAATCCTTATAGCTCATTTAATTCTTATGAGCTAAATGTTATAGCAATTAGCATAGAGCCTGGTAAACAATAATACCCAGAAGTATTAGCTATTAAATTAATATTTATACTATTATTTTATAGGGCTGCTTTAATAATTATAACACTGGAGGCTTATGCTTCAACTTCCTTCCACCAATGAAATGGTCAAATGTCTCACAGGTCTTTCTCTTTAGGAAAGAAAGAAAAAAAGTGTTGATAAAGTAAGTATAGAAAATAAAAATTTTGAACTGTACCTTTTTGTAGGAATGTTACTTCCAGAAGAAATTTTATGAAATGCTTTGTAGGAATACATCTTCTCCAAGTTAGACTGCTTTTAAACATCAAAAAGTCCATTTTTAAAAATTAGAAGTTTCAAAAAACTTTTAAATATGAAGAAAATAAGGTCTCACAATGACAATTTTCCTCTAAAACACAACACCTCACAATGACAATTTTCCCTGACTAACCAAGCTCCCGTATAAATTATCTGATAAGAAGTTAACTAAAAATAGTTAGAAATGCAACATAATGTCTCATTCCTCCCAAATCTACAAAAAATATATGATCCAAAGTATTCTTTGAGACATACAAGAACCCAAGTTACAAAAATTATTCAATTACATTCTGGATAACATTGATAAAGCAGAAAAAATTCACCAAAAAATTTAATTCTGCACATTTTTCTATTACCCCAGTATTCTAATTAACTAGAGAATGCCAGTGGGTTAGTGTTTAATCTGCAATAGTTATCTAAACTCCAAACATGAAGCAAGAATGTGTGTGTGTGTGTGTGTGTGTGTGTGTGTGTGTGTGTAACTTTAATGAGAGCACTTAGAAATCAGTCTTATTTTTCTGTCAACTATTACATATCATAATATGTAAAAAACCCTCCAAGCCAAAGGAGTTACAAAACAGGTTTAAAAGAATGAAACTAAGTTGCTTTCTCAAGTACTTCTGTTTCTATTAACCTCAAAAATCATATACTGCCCTGGCTGGTGTAGCTCAGTGGATTGAGCTCCGGCCTGTAAACCAGAGAATCGTGGTTCGATTCCCATTCGGGGCATATGCCTGGGTTGCAGGCTAGTTCCCAGCAGGGGACCTACAAGAGGCAACCATATGTTGATATTTCTCTCCCTCTCTCCTCCCCTTCCCCTCTAAAGATTATAATAAATAAAGTTTTTTAAAAATCACATACTGTACATTTTATTGTTTATATCACCTCTGTTTCCATATTTTATGTTGTTATATATGGCACTATCTCCTTTAATTGGAGGGAAATTAAACTACGTAATAAAAATTTTAAATAAAACTTATGTCAACAAAACATGAAACAAGAACCACTTCTTTAATAAAAACAAACCTTCCTCTCTGCAGTGAATTCAATCGGTACTTGATGGGACAAACACTGTGCGGTGCCTGAAGATGCAGTTCCAGAACTGGAAAACGATCAGGCAAATGTTAAAAGGTAATAAATATCTAATATGCGAGTCGTATCTCTACAATCAGAGAGGCAGGTGAGATTATATTACTTTTAAAACTGATCTGAAAATGTATTTATTTTTTCAGAAAAAGCTCTGGAAAGAATATTTTAAACTCTTTAAAGTTTAAGTTTAAAACTGTTCCAAGTTTTTTGAGTTTAAAACAAAAACTGATAATCTAATGTACAACAGAGTGATTACAGTCAACAATAGTACATTATGACTTCAAAGTTGCTAAGAGACAAGATCGTAATTTTTCTCAACACAAAAAAGAATTATGGCTTCTCTGGCAATCATACTGCAATAGATTCATGTATCAAACCAACACATTATACGCTTAAGACTTATACATTGTTATGTCAATTATATCTCAATTTTTTAAAAAAATCTGATAAATGATTGGTAACATGTAAAGGTGTTAAGAAGTAGGCAACAGTGTATTCCTGTCCCACATTTCACACACAAGAAGGAAATCAGGTATATGGAGTGATCTTCAACATTGATCTCACTGTCGTTTCTTTTGTCAGTGAGAAATGAGCTTTCTAAATATCAATGTTACTCTCAACTACTTCCTATCAACCAAGAAAAGTTCTATTAGTTATCTTTCTCCCATGGGCCCATAACCCCAAAATGACTAAAAAAGATATGCCAAAACAATATCGTTCCCCATTTCACCTGTGTGGTACCTGTAAACTGAATATAATTTGAACCATTTAAACAAAACAACTACAACAACAAAGCTGAAAAATGCACCTTGGTGGAGGAAACATCCTTGGACACAATTCTTCATTAGCCTGAAGGATAAGCCTCTGAGGAGATTCTGTGCTGGCTTTATGAAGCCAGTTTTTACCCTGTTGAACACAAGAAGAGCCTTTAACGCACACGGAGAATAGTTAAATCAAACAGGCAGACTTCTACTCTGCTTACCTTTTTTGTCAGGGTGCAGATCTTTATGAACTTGCCACGCCCAGGAACTTCCACCAGGAACCCCTCAGCCTTGAGCTGATGGGACAGAGTCCTCCACCAACTCACCGTCTGCTCCTTGCCGGAGCCAAACAATCTGTGAGTGCGGTAATGATCCGGAAGACGCTGTGACGTCTGAAGTGAAGAATAAAAATCGGTACCTAAAAATGCTGATTTAATCAAAGAGACTAAATAAAACACAAAACTGTTTACTGGTTCTTTGTATTTAACATGGAATTTCAGCTTTAAAAGTCTACAAAATTTTTATCCATCCTACTTGCTCTGAATACTTAAGTCACAAATAAATATATAATCAAGATAGTGCTTCTTTTGTGTCTTAAAAGTAGTGGCAGGAAACCTCACATATAATTCATAAGCATTCCTCAATGCACAGGTTTGGATATGTTAGGAACATTTAACCTCCTCTCGTTAGACCTTTTAGGAACATACATTATCGTTTGAGAGCCGCAGTCATAATCTACAGCTCCAGACTAGAAGCATGGATGTCAAGGGCAGTGCAACCCAACAGCGAGGAATCCGTGAGTGCAGGTCAACAATTCAGTTTCCACCGCGTGGCTGTTCCTGCTGCACTGCGAGTTTACTCGATCATTTCTGATTCAGCTGCTTCACTCAGACATACCAGGAGGAGCAGGTGCATGCTAAACAGCTGCTGCTGAACCAACTTGTGAGACATTTCATCCTCAGTCAAGAGAGGACTTCAGTGGGAGACTCTTCATAGCCATCAAGTTCTGGGAATGCAGAGGAAGCTGGTCTGCCACATGCAATTCTCTTGTCCTCTAATGGAGATGACCCGGCCCACCTTCACACTCTATTTTTTATCCAGTTTGCCCTCTTACTACCTCTTTCATTCATCCCACACATTTAAATACTACTTTCAAATGTATGTAGTAGTGTATGAACATACAGCTTTATGGAAAATTGCTCCTTTCTAATGTATCCACAGCGAATATGGCAGATTGTAATTGAAGGGCCATTCTAACTTTCATCCAGTCTAACTTCTACCACAGACTCTGGGAAGTTACAAACACAATTTTTCAAACTCCCTTTCCACTAGCATCCTGAATATGACTTAAGTTCCACTAATCAGAGGCATTTACGGGGCATCTTTAACCAGAAAGTGAGGCAGGGCCGCTCCTCCGCTATTTTTGCAGGGGCGTGACGGTGGGTTGGTTAGCTTTTTTTGAGAAAGTGTTAGCAAAGAGTCCAGTGTGTAAGTACTAGCCTCCTAAGTATCACGAAGCAGCCACTTTGCGGATCCCGATCACAGCAGGTTCAGGCAGAGTGGCTCCCAGAGTTGGAAGGAAAGCCCTCCTGACTGTTCCTGCTCACTGTTGTAAATTCCATCAGGAAAGAGGTTGCATATCGTCTCCCAGTAATGCAAATTAGTGGCTGTGTTTCCGATTTCTAATCTATAAAATTAAGATACCTGCATATCTTACCACTTTTTCACATAAATATTTAAAGATAGTTCTGTGGTGAGCTGTTTAGAACGCTAAACAAAGTTCCTGGGGCAACATTTCTACTATTTAATTCCTAACTAAATTTGTGCTTCAAAAACAAAATTTTAAACTCCATTCACAAATACCTGGATGGGCTGCACAATCATTTATACAATTTAGAAAATCTTGTGTCAGAAAGGAGAATCATGCACTGCTGAAATTATATCTGTTATATAGACATACAAACATTATCTCTTTACATAAACTCCAAGAATCCCTAGTTTAAGATATTTACCACCTTATAGATCAAAATTATCTACAAAGATACTAATTTCGCCTAAATTAGTTAACATGGCCGATTTCCTTAATCCCCAAAGGAAGTACAATGACAAATTTTATAACAATATCCCAGTAGATGCCAAGATTACTGAAATAGAAGGGGGAAAAAAACTCGCCTTATTTTCACTGTAGTTAATGTCCACAAATGTTCATTAAGTGGTATTTTTAAAAAGTTTTACACTTTTATCTAGCAAGGGTAGTATACAATTTCACAAAGAATAAACTTCTTAATTTGAGGACTCCCAATAGAGACTGTCAGTATCCGCGGTCTGACTTGGTTTTCCAATAATAGGTGAAATCTGATCCCTCTTGTGACCAGTTCGAGTTGGTCTAGGAGCCCACTAACACTTATTTGTTGACACTGGATACTACTGGATTACACCAAATTAAAACAAGGATAATTTTTTATAAATTACACATTCAACTGGGATACACAGTTTTTGAAGATGACAGAAAATTTTCATAGATCTAAATTATATTTAATCTATCGCTTGCAATTTAAATTCTTTTTATAAGAAAAAATAGAACTCATCCCAGCTAAAATCAAGTTCCTTAGGTAACATTATTATTCAATTTCTAATCAAACTTGTGATTAAAAAAAAATTTTTATTCAGTACCCAAATAGTTAACATGATCTCAATATATTTCATTAAAAATATTTATAACTAATTTAATCTGTTTCTTTCTAAGCAAAATAAAAACTCAAAAAATATTTACATGAAGCTCAAGTATTTAACAAATAAATGCTTACCTAATTTTTAAAATTCTACATTCAAAGTGAGAATATTAATCTCTAGTTTTAAGTGCATTTTTAATAAATATACATATTTGCAAAGGATTCTATTCCACTTTTGATTTATTTAACCAATGTCAATATACAATATTTAGCTTTGCTTTACAGACTCCTAAATCAGGAATAGAATCATATAAATAAAAGGACTACAGAAAAAGCTTAACTGTTAAGGGTTGTATACTATTTATATTTACCTGCATTTGTTAACATAATAACTGGCACATTAATTGCTCCAAAAAAGTAGCTAAAATGACTGTTTATTGGTAAAACAAATAAAAATAAAACTTCCTTAGGATTCTAAATGCTTCTGATAAACAAAATAGAAGGAAAGAAAAAATATAGTGCCAAATATTGTTTTTACAAATAATCACCAAGATTAAAGTTTTATTCAAAGAATTTGTTACTTTCCAGGACACCAAAAGATATAATTTTGTTCTACTTGTTCCTTGACACAATGAAAGTTAACTTTTCTTAATTATCCTAAGAAAAACTAGTCTAGGGATTATCCAACTGCAATGTAATAAAACTGCTTCCAGGCTGAGGTTCAGAGCCGAACATGAGCTTGAAATATGAAAACAGCAGTAGCTGTGATATACGCAGCTTCTGTCAAAAGTAACGAACACGGTCTTTAACTGGAACTCCATATGACTCTCCAAGTTTCTAATAACTCATCTAAAGCCAAAGCCACAATTATTAAGGCAGCAGACCTCTGAAGGAAAGTGCAGCAGGAATCAAAGAACTGTGGCAGTGATTCACAGATATACTTACAGATCCTCGGAGAAATAAAATTGGAACCCCAATTCCAAACATTTCTCCTAAGACGCTGATGGCAGATAACAGCTGGAATGCTTGTGGCCCAAAGTCCCAAGACACATCATCTGAGTCATCGATGACTAAGCAATGATCCAATCTAAATACAAACAGTGTGTTAGAAGGCTTAGCTCGAACACATACCGTTAGAACCAAAAAGATGTAATAATTAGCCAAGTAAAAAAATCTCAAACGTGCCAACTGCTTCAGAAGCTACAAATAAGGTTCATTACAGCCAAGAGTATGTAAAGTATGTAAAACATGAAATACAGACAACAACACAGCATCACAGGTATGCTATACTGGCAGTTCTCAACCCCAATGCCCTCGAACCCAAGTCTCACAGGAGGTACCTAGACCACAGACAGAGGAAAAAGAAGTTCATGCAGTCTGAGAACAGAATTACAGCTTGATTACTAATCATATAAATACTGGATCTCAGTGTTTGGTTATGGTAGAAGAAAAGGTTTGGTGCCAAAACCAAATTTTTTTAAACTTAAAAACAAATCACCTATGCAATAAATTTTTGGTTTAACTCTAATGATTGCAAAATATGACACAGAGATTATAAATGTCTCATTTAAGTCATTTTTAGAAGTTAAATTCCTAAGCCATCCTTCAGGCAGATTTGAAATAGTCATTAATACAAATGCGAATCCTTTAAAGCAGGCTGAGAACAAAAGGGCTCCTTAGAGAAAATCAATGACCTGATACTGTTCAACTACCCAATTCAATTGCTTTCTTTATAATAAATATCTTTGAAATGGCAATAATATGTTTAGTATTCCAGATACAATGTGTTTAGGGGGGAAAAGACTATGTTTAGGTTTATTATCCTAACTTCTTTAGCCGGATATTTATTTCATTAATTTCCTTTTCTAACATAAGTATTTAAATTCCCACAAAGTACCACCTATGCTGTATCTTGTAAGTATTCGTGTATATTATTGTAATTATCACAAGGTTTTAAAAATGTTTTAATTTTCAGTTTGATATTTTCTCTAATCGATGAGTTATTTTAAAGTGTTATTTTCAATTTCAAATTGAATGAGAATGTGTTGATCCTCCAACTGCTTCTAACTCAACTGCACTCTGAAGAAAATGTGGTGTGTCTGACTCCAACCACTGAAAACTTTTGAGATCAGGTACAGTCTAGTACAAGGGTCAAAAAACTTTTTAATACAGGGTCAAAGAGTAAACAGTTTAGGCTTTGTCAGCCGTACGAGCTCCATGTCGGGGCTACTCAGCTCAACTCTTCAAAACAGCCACAGAAAACACATAAACGGCTGTGCCCCAAGAAAACCTCAGTCACAAACTCAGGCAGCAAGTGTGGTCCACATGCAGAGGTTGCCAACCCCTGCTCTAACACACAGCCAATTTTTTAAAATAAATAGTCCATGTATATGTAAGAAATAGTTTCTAATTCAGTGCTTCCCAGCCGGTGCACTGCCAATGTATACAGGTTTACATTGAAGGTTAATCACTGAGACGCAGGGTTCTGGGCAGAACTGAGACTGAACTAGCCTCGGGTGCTGTACAGGTGCCATCACTCACTGGGTAGGCGTGAAGAAGGACGTTTGAGATACACTGTTCTAACTGCTTGGTGCAAGGTTCTATACATGATGTGTCTGATAAATCAAACGTGTTTGTATGTCGACTGAATTTTCAATAGCTTATTAATTTTTTGATTGCCTAACCTACCAACAACTAAAAGTTTATATCACACTCTTCTACTTTTGACAGTATATTTGTTGATTTCTTCCAGCCAGTCTGTCAATTTGCGCTTTATACATTTGTACAGTTGTTTTTGTGGGGTTTTTTTTAAGGTACGAAGACCAAGCCCATCCCCTCGGTGAAGCAACCATCTGTTACTGAACATCTCCATCCTGTGACACCTGGTTTGTCTAACAGGAATACAACTACCACAGCTAGGTACGCAGCTCATTCAACTAGGTACACCATTTGTTCTTGTTTTTGTTTTTCAATCCATACACGGCAGTGAAATTGACTGTAGGTCTCTGGGTGTGTAAAGTTTTACAAGTGTAGACACATCCATGAAGTCTCCTGCATGGATTCATCGGCTACCCTCACAACAGCTAACACAACCACAATCAGGACACACAACAAGTCCATCACTGCAAAATCCTCCCTCACACAATTCCTTTGTAATCACACCTTCGCCTTCCCTAGAACCTCTGACAACCACTGATCTTTTCTTCATCCCTACAGTGTAGTCTTTAAAAAAAAAAAAAAAGATTTTATTTATTAGAGAGAAAGGAAGGGAGGGAGAAAGAGAGGCAGAGAAACATCGATGTGCATGAGAAATATCAATCAGTTGCCTCTCGCACACCCCCAAGTGGGTATTTGGCCCATAACCCAGGCATGTGCCCTGACTGGGAATTGAACCAGCAGCCTTTCGGTTCACAGGTCAGCACTCAATCCAGTGAGCTAAACGAACCAGGCCCCTACAGGATAGTCTTATGTTAGAGAGAGTACCATATAAATGGAATCACACTGTAGAAATGGCATTATTTCTTCTTGTAAATGTTGGTATAATTTGCTGTTGAAACCATTTGGGCTAGAGAATTTACTTTCACAGGTTTTGAACACGGACCCAGTTTCCTTAACAGTTGGAAACTATTCAGGTTATCTATTGTATTTCACTGTGGCTAAGTTTCGTTAGCTTGAGGTTATGAGGAATTACTCCATTTCCTCTAAATTATTAAATGTACATGCACTGAGTTATTCATAGTGCTTCCTTATTACACTTTAATGTCTACTGGGTCTGCAGTGAAATTCCTTTTATTCCTGATATTGGTAATGTGTCTCCTTTTTGATAGAAGTTTCTATCACTTTTATTGACATGTTCAAACAATGAACCTTGGGCATCATTGGTTTTCTCTGTTGCTTTTCAGTTTTCTATTTCATTGACTTATACTCTTATACTCTCTTATTTCCTTCCTTCTGCTTCCTTTTAGCTTACTTTCCTTTTATTTAATTCCTAAAGTGGAAACTTAATTACTGACTGGAAACTTTTCTTCTGCTAGAGTATGTAATGCTCCAAATTTCCCTATAAGTATTTCTTCAGCAGGGTGTCTTGCATTTTACATTTTCATTTCATTCAGTTCAAATACCTTCTGATTCACCCTGAGAATTCCTCTTTGACTCATGAATTATTAGTAGTGTGTTAATTTCCAAGTGTTTGAAGACGTCCCTGTTACTTTGTTACTGATTTCTAGTTTCATTGCATTATAGCCAGACAACATATTCTATGAGTACAATTCTTTTTGACCCAGAATAAGGTCCACATTTGTGAACATTACATCTGCACCTGAAAAGAATGTGTATTCTGCTGCTGTTGGGAGGGGTGGTCGATAAAAGTTAATTAGGCCCAGTCTGTTGATAGTCCTGTCCATCTCTCCTATCGCCTCACTGATTTTGTCTACTAGTTCTATTAACTACTGAGATAAGATGTTGAAGTCACCAACCGTAATTGTGGACTTCTCTATTTCTACTTTCAATTCTCAGTTCTTTTGTTAAATATATACACACTTGGGATTATGTGTTCTTAGATACAATCACTAACTTTATGTGTCAACTTAGATACACTCTGGCACTCAGTTGCTTGGTCCAAGTCTAATGTGGTTGCTGCTATAAAGGTATTTTGTAGAGGTGATTAACATTTACAATCAGCTGCTGTGAATAAAGAAAACTGCCCTTAATAATGTGAGGGGTCTCATGCAATCACATGAAGGCCCAAAAGAGCAAAGACTGAGGTCTGCGGGAGAACAAGGAATTGTGACTCAAGACGGTGAACACAGAAATCCTGCCCAACTTTCCAGCCTGCCAGCTTGCCAACCCCCAAAATTACATGAGCAACTTCCTTAAATATTTTCTCTGTGTGTGTGTGTGTGTGTGTGTGTGTGTGTTTCTCTGGAGAAACCTGAACGATACAGGTGGTCATCATGTAATGTCCTTATTTATCTCTGATTATATTCTTTCTCCAAAATCTCCATTGTCTGATATTAAAATAACAACTCATCTTGTTTCCATCCGTGTTTTCATGGTATTAGTTTTATCCTTTTACTTTATTTTTATTTTTAATCCTCGCCCAAGGATATTTTATATTATCAATTTTAGAGAAAGAGGAAGGGGGAAGAGAGAGAGAAACATCAAAGTGAGAGAGAAACATCAAAGTGAGAGAGAAAGGTTGACTGGCTGCCTCCCGTATGCACCTGTACCGGGGATCAAACCTGAAACCTAGGTGTGCGTGCTGACAGGGAATCAAACTCAGTGTTTTTGGTGCCTGGGATGACGTTCCAACCAACCAAACCACCTACTGGCCAGGGCTGTCCCTTCATTTTTTACCTTACCCATATAGCTGTGGTAGATTTCTTACGGACAGCATAAAGTAGGGTCATATTTTTAAACCAATCCTAATAATGTCCACTTTAAATGGTATTTTAGATCATTTACATTTAATGTAACTATTGGTATGTTTAGATTTAGGCCTTACACTTTATTATTTTGTCTTTTTATAAGGCAAAATACTCTAATATTGTTTGCTTTGTTTTCTATTTAAATAAACAAATTTTGAATTTTGTTTAAAAAACCTGTAATACATATCATTCACCAAAAATTCAATTAAGAAGCATTTGCAAAGGAACAGAAAGAGACTTTTAGAATGTCCATCTAGAAGGAGAACTCTTTACCTGAACTTGCAATTATCACAGCAGTTTTCAGTTCCCATAATACCCACGGAGGCCTTTCGTAGTTGTTTGTCTTCAAAATGAGACAAGATGATTCTACCCAAGAGAAAATTTAAAATTAAATAAAAGAACAAAAACATATATGTTAAATTCATTGCTGAAAATAATGAGGCGAAATCATCATTAATTGGTTCACTTGGGACCTCATTATTTGGCTTTGGTTTACTGAGGCAAAAAAGAAATTTGCCTTACAAATTCAGTCCATATGCAATTCCAGTGAAATATCCTTTCTAAATATTTCTAATTATTTTGTAAAACTTTCTTCTTAAAAGACCACCACCCATAAGTCTACGTGATCAACCGATGTAAAGAAAGAGATACATACTGCCGCCTACATCTGCTGGACCGAAGATATTTTTCCATCTTGGCCACCATCTTTAATTTGTATAATCGAAATGCTTCTTTTTGTAGCTCATTAAGGCGCTGCCTGTCAATTGAAAAATCCCAAGAATATGTAAAATTACATTAGCGATTTTTTATTTACTTACTGTTTATTTTTCATAACCTATAACGTCATACCCCTCTCAAGATACAGAACATTTCTATCATTCCAGAAAATTATGTGCCTCTTCCTAGTCAATGCGCCTCACAGAGGCAAGTATTTTTCTGAGTTTTGATGAAAGAATTCTACCTGTGTCTAAGCATCAATTTTCTAGCTGTCTTTGAAAAAATTTTATAAACCCTAAAGTTATTCACTTTGAATCAATTCATCAAATCAATTCATTATGACTTATACGCTACATGCTTTTGGGCAATCTTTCTGCTATACATGAATTTTCACCTTTTCCCAGTTAAAGGTTATTCTTTATTTTGCTTTATTTTATATGCAAAACTAAAAGCATCTATGTAAGGAATCCTGAAAAAGGCTCATGATGTGAATATGAGCCTAGATTCCTCTTAGCTCTTCCAAGCATATCTCAGCCCTCCGAAACTATCTCTTGTATTACAGGATGTTATGGGATGTAAGGTATCAGAATTAAGTTCCTTCCTCAGACAACTACAACTGATGTTTTCCCTGTATTATTACAGTTATTTAAAATGGTTAAGTAACTCTAAAGACTGTGTGTTTGTTGTAAAGTTCATGCTGCTGTAACTCCTCCTGCTTATACTAGTTACTGTGAAGAAATTTTGTGAATCCATCATATGATGACAATCTCCCAAACAGCCTTACATATCTTTCCAAGAATAAACAGAAGTCTGAGCTGAATATATTTCAGGTATTTCAAAAGAAAACAATGATTTACCTACAAGATCTAGGTGATACTACTGATCATCATCAAAACAAACCTCACCTACGTGTACTCTGACTATCCAAACTTCTGCCTGATAAAAATACCTCTGCACAATTCTCAAGGATGACACCACCAGGGAATCCAGTTCAGTGACTTCTGGAGAGTATGAACACACAAATGATCTCTTACTCAAAAACATTCTCATCATCTGACACCACTTCTATATACAGGCATACCTTGGAGATATCGCAAGTTCATTTCCAGACCACCACTATAAAGTGAGTATTGCAATAAAGTAAGTCATAATCTTTTTGCTGGTGGAGGGTCTTGCTTTCAATTTTGTAAAAAACACAACATCTGTGAAGCGCAATAAAGCGAAGTGCAATAAAACGAGGTGTGCCTGTAATTTCCTAAAAGCCTCTTCCAACTGTTGACTCTGGTCCCAGGTTAGCATCCGATCTCCTCCTTCCTAGATAACGGGCTGAAAATTAGTTCTTTTTTAGCTGTAGTTTGTTCATTGAGCTCACCTCCTTCTCAGAAGAACAAAGAAAATATATGCCTACACTCCAAGAACAAAATCTCTTACATATTTCTTCAGGTCCTCTCTTATATTGGTTCAGATGATCTACATTTAGCTAATCTTCTCGGTGTCAGTAACATATCTGAGAAAAAATTATAAGTCTCTACCATCAGATCGAATAAATATTTATTTTTCTTTTGAGACTATTACAATAATTAAACTACAAAATTTTACAGAATAAAAACAAGCTGAAAAAGAAGAAAATTTCTAAAAATATCATAAATAGGAATCAGTTGGAGCCAGTGGAAGGCTTATTAAATTGAAATTAATTTACAAATTATTTCCTTAAAAATGACAATAACTACTGAGTCTGATTAAAACAATAGCAAATGCAGACATTGAGACTTTGCCGATGGTTTGGCTTCTGCAATGAGAAATATAAAATTAATTTTAAAAAAAGAAAAAAGAAATATAAAATTACACATTTACAGAGATGACTGAACAAGTTGACTCTCTCACAGGACTCCGGCGTAGTACAGACTCAAAACATTTGGTGAGTCACAGTGACCTTTTCAGGTGAGAACCAGCAACTCCATTTATTCTGAAACTTTTTATTTTTCTAATGGAAGAGGTCTGTCATCAGTATAACACAGATACATCCTCAAACCTTACTGAAGTCTTTTTCATCCTGGTTAACCTTAGTTTCTATTTCCCTTAGGGGGGATACCAAGAATAACCTGTCTATACTAAACACTCAAGTATGGGTTTTCTGGCACCACTCTTTTATTACTAATCACTGTTGCTTCCTATAAATCTTAATGAGAAATCCACTTAAAGCATCTTTTGAGACCCAGAAACACAGGAACTATCTCTGTGGATGAATCAGCAAAGCCACTATATCAAAACTCAGGCAAAGTCTTCAGCGCCTTCAGCACAAAGCCCAAATAAAATGAGAACTGATAAGAATCCACTCAGGTTTCCTACAATCCCAAACTTAGTAGCAGCATGCAGAGCTGTATTCTACACCAAATATTTTAAATTAGTTATTAAAAACTTTACATGGACACCAGCATCAAGTGGAAAATAGTAAGTGTTGTGTTTAAGAGGATGGTTTTATTAACCCTATGTTAAGAAGCAAAAGCTATGGACTGCTCTTAGAAGGAAGAGTTTAAAATTTATAGCAAACACTTTTTCACCTAATTAATCCCCAATTCTTCTTTCAGATCTCAGTTTATCCCATCACTTCCTGAGGGAGGACATACTTGACCTCCTCGCCGTGGTAAACACACACTGTATTATGTACTCACAACTCAATGCAACTTTCCTTCAGAGCACTTAACAAAATTGTAATTTTATATATATTTGCATGGTCTTTTTTTAAAAAAAACTTCTAATTATTGAAATTGTCAAGCACTAGAAGAGAATAGTAAAATAAACCCTAATATCCATAGTTGTATGGTTCTGTGACTATGGGACCTATGTTACATTTCCAGTATAGTCCTGACTTAGTTCATTCTTCTCACTAAATAAGGGGTGGTTGAGGCAGGTCGTCTTCTCTGGGTAGAAGCACTCACCACAAGTGTTCTCAGATGTCCTCTGTTCTGTTTTGCTTTAAATGCACTTAAAATACATTACTTGGAATTCTGGATGCTGCCTCAAATGCTCTCAAAGCATATATGAAAAGAAGAAAAAAAGTCTGCAAGCTTGAAATACATGCTTGTACCTATTTAGGTTCATGTCTGCTGGAGCCCAGAGGACGTGACAAGAACTGGGAAGTCCATCCCGGCCAGCTCTACCGATCTCCTGGTAATACGATTCCATTTCCTTGGGAGCACCGTAATGAATGATCTTGCGAACGTCGGCTTTGTTAATGCCCATTCCAAAAGCAATGGTGGCTACAACGCACTGCAGATAAACAATGGCACAGTCTGACAAACATTAGGCAGAACTAAAATCTTACATTTTTACCTTTTAATAAGAATGAGTAGTTCATTAACTTAATTCCTCCCCATGAAACTGAATTCAATATAATTTCAACCAATCACAGAGTAAAAGATTATCTGCCCAATTTACAGATTAAGGATTAATGACCATAAAACAGGGCTTCTGTTTTCTATGAAAATTAGCAAATAAAGTGGTTCCTTTCCTATAAGTACAAGACACAAAAGAGACTCGTAAAAGAACTATTACATTAAATGAGACTTCTGTGTTATCATGAAGCTTCAAGAGTCCTCACCTGGTTGCATAGTTCCTTAGTATTTTTCTAGCACTGTTCTACGATGAAAGGAAGCGTCTCATTAAAGATGACAAAATAAAACAAATACATCTCTGCATCTTTAAAAGGAGAGAAGTGGTAGAACAGCTAATATATATCAGTATACTGAGATGAATATTTACATAATTGGAGAAGTTTCAGGGAAGAATTAATGAAAAGAACACAAAAAAACTAAACAAAAAAACTTTAAGCATTAACAGTAAAAATACGAGAAGCTGTGCAAGAAAAGTACTATAACATACTACATGGCTTAGCAATAAAAACATTTACAGAGAAATATTATGTATAAAATGTGAATATATATATTACCTAATCAAATTTTAATTTTAATATTGGGGAGGAAAGGGGTTCAAAATATATAAATAGGTTAAGGGATATGAAAGAAAACTCATCTTTCATGGGAAATCAATAGATAAGGCCTAAAACTAATAAATAGATTTAAAAAAATAAGTAGTAGCAGTATAAGCAAATGATTGCAAGATACAGCAGTAAACACCAAAAGCATACACTGAAAGAGTTGGAACAGGAAATGAAAGTGGAAAAGAAATGAGAGGCTAATGCTTTTCACTGGAAAACTATTCAGTTCTTCATGTATACGCATAACTAATAAAAACTAAAGTGCCTTTAAAAAATGTGTTAATATGGACCAACAGAAGCCAAAAAAGGAAGGAAGACAGAAAAAGAAAATGCTGAAAAAATCAAAGGAAGTACAATAACAATGAAAGGAAAGTAAATACAGGACTGGAAATAGATTAAAAAAAAGCTCTGAGTGAATATGATGAAGCAATTCTGCTATATTTAAGAGTGAATAAGCAACATAAATCTAATTTTCTTTTTTAAATGTTATTTCTTATGCAATTTTCCTAGTTTTATCGAGATATAACTGACATATAACATTGTGTAAGTTTAAGATGTGTAATGTAATGATTTCATATATATACATACTGTGAAATGATTATCACAAAAAGGTTACTTAACACGTTCATCATTGCACATAGTTACCATTCATTTGTGTGTGTGTAGAGAACTTTTAAGATTTAATTGTCATAATATAATACTATTCTTAGATGAAACCAACCTATTTCCTCAGGTGTAAATAAAGATATTTTGTCAAATAATTAATTCATAACCTCATTCCAGAAAGGGAAGGAATTCAAGCCATCTTGAAAAGGCAAATAAAATACAAAAGGACATAAAACTAAAAAGATTAAAAGTAAAAATGAATGACCATAGACTAAAAATGCAAATCCACATCCAGAAGTGATTAGATTGGTTATGAATAATCAGAAAGAAAAATTTGTTTCCGAAAGTATAAAATGGAAACTGCTAACATTCTAAGTAAGAATCATTCTACCTAAGACATTAAGAACCAGAAGGTGTGCTAGGAAGATGAGCTGTACTTTCAGGCTCACAGTAAAGTATGAACCAACTGTAAAAAGACAGGAGTGTGAATATCTAGAATTCTGTGCACATACGCATTCAGTGGGCACACGATAAATGCGCAATGGCAAGTAATCAATACCAAGAGCATTCTATGTGTGTGAGGAAATGTATTTTCATCATCTTGAGGTTTCTGAGAATTCTTGCATGAAGCTTTAGAATCATCTGTAACAGCAAAGACGGAGGGCGCTGGCCAGCTGTCAGACACAGGTGAAACCCTGATGTCAGCCTAGGGTGACACAATCAATAGTCATCTATTAATCTTCATAATGTGGATAAAAATTTGTGGCATCCTGCCATAAAAAGGAAGCATGTAACAGCACAAACGTACATGTACCCTTCGAGATATTAGGTGCAATTAGTGATCACTGCGAAGTTTTCAAAGCCATTATTTCGAAGTAATGTTTCATGAAGCTGTGTACTGGCAGGAAGCCCAGATGTACCCGACGAGTCTCCCAACACAACATACTATAGATAAAGTCTGTACTCTCTCGTGTCCTCAGGAGATATTTCTACCTAAATGAGTAATTAGTAACGAAGCATAATTGATGAAATCATTGGTCGGTTAATGGTTCAAACACGGATAGTTAAGATTCAGTAAGCAGCAGCTAATACACTTTATCTGGTCATTTTCAAGCTCCTGAGATAAGGAAATAAAAATATAGGCATTTAAAAACATGGGTAAAGTCTCTATTCTAGGCAGCTGTGGTGACAGCGGTTTGTGGGTCTGCAGAGGCAGAAAGAGAAGGGTGCTTTCAGGGGCCCGTGGGCTACAGGGTGACAGTGCACTGGGGGTTCTCCAGACAATGCGTGCAAACCAGCCCGAGCTACGCTGGCTCAAAAACACTGTCTGGGGTGGTTAACAACTACATGTGACAGGGAGGGCTGCAGAGAGAGGAAATGGATGACCTGATGCAGAGAAAAAGCAGAAGTTCACCTCAGCTGGACAGGAGGACCGGTTCACAGGCTTACGCTGACAGCGTGTGGCTATGATATTCACAGTGTGAAGCTGTGGATTTAAGCCTACTAATGTGACTGGAATTCGAATCTTCCCCAATGTTCCACGTGAACCCCATGGAACCAGGCTTCCAGTCACCACAAACCGCAGTTAGTACATAACTGCAATCACGACAGGAATCTCAGCTGGAGCACTTCACAGTAACTTCATCCACACCCTTGCTTTCTTCAGTTTTTCTCCTTCAAATCAAACTTGCTTAGTGCCACCAGTCTCCTGTTTCCATAAAACTATTATCTTGCTCAAAAACAGGGAACAGTCTGTCACAATGGCTTTCAAACTCCACTCTGTGGAGCTCTGGGGGATCATATAAGATACCCGCTGTCTTAGAGATACCATCGTTCTCCCTCACATCAACTTTAAAAAAATTACTCTACTTTAACCTATCTCCTTTGTTAGATGAAAAATTTTACATTAAAAATTATAAGACTAAAGTAGTCCGGACAAGCTAGAGGCACATCACACCAATTCCAGCCTGCCTTTTTGTAAGTGTTAAGGCCCTTTAAAAGCTGGCCAGCCGGTCCACTCCACCTTCCTCCGAGTCTCTAACAGTCCCTCCCTGCCTTCATGCCTTCACGGCAAGCCATTCTTCCTCCACACTCCCTCTCTCCAACCACTGCGAACTACTTACCACTTCCTACACTCACATCACCGTGCTCTGCACACGCTAATCCTTCTTCCTGGAATTCTGTAACCAATTCCTGGACCCTCTTCACCTGCTGGCCTTTCACACTTGAGAAACTTCTACACAGCTGCTCAGACTCTACTCAAACTGCTTTTTCCTGGGTGGACCACCCCTTTACCCAAACCCGCAGGAAGAGCTAACATTCCCTTCTCTATGCACCTAAGCATTATGTACAGGCTGCTATTTATACTAGTCTGTAATAGTTTCTTCATGTAGCTAACTCCCACATTATACTATGATTCCTTTTATCAGAAGAACTGTTTTATGCTCGATACAAAGAAGGTATTCAATAAAAGTTTGGTAAATAAATAGAGAAATATGTTTCCACTATGGGGATGATCAATCTTCACCTGAATTTCATCTCTCATGAAGCTGTGATGAACCTCTTTCCTTGAGCTAAGGTTCATGCCTGCATGGTATGTTCCACAGGCTAAGTTCAGTTTCCTAAGTTCAGCTGTAACTTGTTCTGTCATTTTTCTGGAAGGACAATAGATGATAGTTGGTCCTTCAAATTCCCAGGTAGTACTAGAGAAAAAAGAACATAAGAACAAACATATACATATACTTGCTTTATTTTATTTTATTTTCCCTTTAAAATTTTTAATTAATTCCATTTTAATTAAAGTTTACATTCAAAATTTTCTTTCAGTAAAAGACTTGAAGGAGAAAGCATACAGAATACAATGATATATTTATGTAAAAATCTAAGACATGATGGCAAATCTAATGTGGAAATGAACTATGCTAAACCCCAAACACTTCTGACTTACTTTTTGTTTAAATTTAAAACCAGAGATAAGTTTATTTAAGCAGAAGCTGTGATAAAAACTTAGAAATGATTAGAAGTGCAATTTCCATACTTTTAGAAATATAAAGCACTGGTTTAACGATTAGTCTTCATTTACGTAAGGTAAGTAAATATTTACACAGGAGAATAAATAAAATTTATATTATTCTTATTCTCTTTTATGATCACAAAATTGACTGTCTATATGTTTACAGATAAAGCAAAAACTTTCTTGTAACATTAAAAGATCACTTTTATAGTTCAAAGTAGTAATCTTCAGACTACGATTGTTATAGAAAACATCTACTAGAAAGTCTGTTTCAGAAACCTGTGCTTATTTATTGGAAGTGTAAATGATGGTTTCCATATGCCTTATTTAATTTCTTAATATATTCACTTCCATAAATACATTCATTTATACTGATTTAATGAATATTAAAATGTACTATTTTAGATTTAAGAAAAGTTATCTAATGTCTAATACATTTGCCCTTTGATACAATTTCAAGTTTCATAATGTATTTTAAAATATACTTCAACACTGGCTAAAAGATACATATGCAAAAATATTCACAGCACAACTATAATAGTGAAAAATAATCTAAACCTTCATCATTATATACATTCAATTATAAAATACTAAGCAAACATTAAAAAATTAAAGTTATACAAAATCTTTAAGAAGGACTATGGCAAAGTCTTAAAAACATAAATCTAGGGGAAAAATTAGTAACTGAAATGAGTTTCACTGAATAATCTACTCAAAGAAATTTTTAATAGTGGCCAAATGGGTTTCCATATCAAAAATTCACAGTAGGTAATTTCATGGAGCAAGAGAAAATACAAATTATTTTTTAATGTGCAAAAATTTTACTTAAAAAAAAACATGTTTAAAAAAAATTGTTCACCAAAATGTGGATATTGTAATGCCCTATACACTAATACCCCAATTTTTTTTAAAAAAGCATATAAAAGGATAGCAAAGATACTTTAAATAAAAGGAAAAAACTGCAGTAAAAAATGGACCCTCTATGAAGCTACTTCTGTATAAACTTAATACAATGAAAACTAGGTGCATTATCAGCCCAGTACAGACACAGAACCATTTATAAAGATGAATGACAAAATACCCACAGTAATTATAACCAAGGAATGGGACTGGAAGAGTGAAGTATTTTTCTATTTATATGTACATATATTGTTCACATTAATACCAAGACTATGGATCACTTTTTATATTTTTTAACAAGTAGAAAATACATTAAAATTTGAACTTATATAGCAGCAAAATCAAGAGTAAACCATTCTATTATAAAAAGATTAACTACTTTGCCAAGGAGTTTAGTGAAGACTGTTATTCCATCACAACAACTTTCCAAGGGGAAAAGGTCTGTCTTCATCTCACCACATGAGACCGGTGAGGGGCTCATCCATCTAAGTCCACCAGGAAGAGGGAAAACAAGTAAGGTCAGAGTTTAAGAAACATGCTACCTCCATGGGGGAAAATGTGAACACTGATTTTAAAAATAGCAGAATTAAATGAAGGGAAAAAATGGAAATGAAAAGCAATGCTCTGACGTCTTCATTCCCTTCATCTCATTGCTCATTAGGAGAAAAATTTCTTTCTATTTGCCTAAGATCTGGAAAGCTCTGACTCTCTATGGTTCCCTGCTACCATGACCCTTCTTGGAGGACTGAAAAATCTTTCCTGATTCGCTTTCAGAACAACCACAGTCCCATCAAATATCAAAATCTTGGATGGTCTTGAATGTTAGGCTAAGGAGTCTCTTCCTCAGGGCACAGGAAAGGGGGAGCTACCAAAAAGGACCCCAAGATATGGGGATGGCTTTGGGGTGACAAATCTGAAAATCGCATGTAAAATGCAACAGGGAACACCGAGGAGGAGGAAGGTCTGTTAGGAGAGATTATAATAACCTGGGGTAAAAAATAATCAAGACTTCAATTAGCAGCATTAACATAAAAGACCATGAGAAGAAAACATACGAGCTGCCAACGGGGACAATGCTATGACAAAGATAGGATGTCACGATGTCACAAAAAAAGTAAACACTTTCAAAAAGGAGACCGTGGTTAGGGGAGAGTGTTACAGAGATTGGGGGTAAAGTGGACTGAAAAGGATCCAAGGTTAGTGAAGTACATAATGATCTGATGAAAAGAGCCTTCTTCAAGAGGAGGATTTCTGTTCAGAGAGGAAGGGAGGTGAAGTACAAGAGTAATCACTTCACAGACATCACTCAGGCAACCAGACCACTCACAGTGTGCTCATTACATTCTTGTTCTATTCTGAATAAAGTACAGTCATCTAGTAGCAAATCCCACATTTAATCCTAAAGGCCCCCAAGAGTTATTATGGGGTTTCCTCAACCCGGAGAGGATCTTCTTTTCTTTTAATCCCTTTTTGAAAAAGAAAACACTGATGATGTTCTTAAACTCTATTTGGCTAGATTTATGTTGTGTTTGTATTGGTAGAACAAAGATTATTTCCACTTTTCTGACCTAAAAACACATTCCATAACACAAAATTTATAAGCTTTTCACTGAGCACAGATAAGGGAATAAAACTGAAAAGCTTCTTAGCAGTCCTAACAAAATAAACAGGAAACAGTTACTAGTGACAGTTTTTTCAGCTATAAAATGAAAGCCGCATGTGGTGTAAGCGCAGTTGTAAGGGTGACTCTAGATCACTCACATAAAGCCCCCGTGACAGTACTAGGCACCCGACAAAGAATCAAGAGTGTTTACTATTAAGACGACTTTGAAAAATTCTGATACTCAAGTTTTTCGTACAATTAGTGAACTAGATAGAATTCAGATATGAGATTCATTTGATTCTGTGGTTTACTTGTCAGTTATTAAGAGTGTATGTCCTGTTCAAGCAACAGTATGGAGTATAAAAATATTAAAGGAATACGTGTCCTGAAAATGGACTTTCCTCAATCCCCGCCTTGATTATATAACACCACACTTGACTTTAACCAAAGCTAAGTAGAATTTGATGTTAAATACACATTAGAAAGAAATAGTAAAAATAAATAAATAAACATGTTTTAAAACAAAAGGAAAGTTACCAAAATTTATCAACCATGAAATCCTCACCTTGTTTTTTGGACAAGAAATTGCTTCAGATCCTGAAGAATGTATCCTGTTTTTCGTCCAACTTCTAAATACAAGTTTGGTCTATCAAAACTAGTACAGGTAATCAGAGGATTCTTCAAGTTTAAGCAATGTACAATGTCTTCCCGGACGGAGGAACTTGCAGTAGCAGTGAGAGCAACTATTGGAACCTGAATGAAGTACATCAGTTTTTTCACAAAGGAGAGAGCACATTAATTCCTAAAAATTCTACTGTCTTTTTAAAAATAGATAAATACACTGGAAGGCAATGACAGAAGAAAGTGTTAAAAATGCAATTTTCAAATTATTCATTTTTAAGAAGAAAACGTTCCTGCTTATGTGTTTCTTGGCCTCTGAATACATTTACTTGTTTTAAAGTCAGGAATCATTTAAATAATATACTAAATCCATTAACTACTGGCCAAGATGGAGGCATAGGTAGATCACTTCGCCTCCTCACACAAAGATAAGAAGGATCACGACTAAGCTCAAAACAAAAAACCAGCCAGAGCTGCCAGAAAATCCGACTGTATGGAAGTCTGACAACCAAGAATTTAAAGAAATATTCACCCAGACAGGCAGGAGGGCCGGAGACGGGGAGCCAGGGAAGAGAGGACACAGTGTGGCGGTGGCAAGTGGCAGGAGCGGCAGTGGGTGGAACAGGCCATCCACATTCACGTGTGGCAATGAAACGTGGAGGGACACCTGGGGAGCAAGCAATCCCAGCCCCAGGCCAGACCACCCAGCCCAGAGTTCCAGCACCGGGAAAACAAAGCCGCACGACTTCGGGCTGTAAAAACCAGTGGGGGTTGGGGCAGCAGAAGAAACTGCCTGTCTCTCAGTGGAGTCCATTTAAAGGACCCACACAGTCCTAGAACACACCCAAACCTACCCACTCTGGGATTCAGCACCAGGGCGGCAGCTAGAAGGGAGTGTGGGAAGGGACTGGAAACAGGGTGAGAGCAGAGCAAGCAGCACTGTCCCCTCTCCGACCCCTGCCCCACAGACAGCACCACAAAGCAGTGAAGCAGGTTTCCCCACCCTGGCAAAATATAAGGTTCCACCCCTTACAACATAACAGCTGTGCCAACACAGGGAGTCAAAGCAGCTCTGCCTAACACACAGAAGCAAACAAACACGGGGAGGCTGCCAAATTAAGGAGACAATGAAATATGACCTAAATGAAAGAACAGATCAAAACTCTGGAAAAAGAACTAAGCAAAACAGGATAGCAAACCTGTCAGATGCAAAACACTGGTGATAAGGATGCTCAGAGAACCCATTCAGTATGGCAAATGCATAAGGGAAATAATGAAGGCTGTGCTAAGTGTAACAAAGAAAAACCCACAGGGAACCAACAACAAAGAGAAGGAAGGTGAAGTTTAAATCAAGGATTTGAAACAGAAGAAATAAAGAGTCCACCAGTACAGAATGAAGAAACAAGAATTTGAAAAAACGAGGAGAGAATAAGAAGACTCTGGGACATCTTCAAACATGCCAACATTGGAATCACACAGTGTCAGAAGACAAAGAGGAAGAGCAAGAAACCGAAAACTTATTTGAAAAACTAATGAGAAAACTTCCCTAATTTGGTGAAGGAAACAGACATGCAAGTCCAGGACACACAGACAGTCCCAAACAAGTTGTACCCAAAGAAGGCCACACCAAGATTCATCATAATTAAAATGCCAAAGGTTCAAGATAGAATCTTATTTTTTTAAGATATTTATTTATTTATTTATTTATTTATTATTCTTAGAGAGGGAAAAGGGAGAGAAACATCAATTGTGGTTGCCTCTTGCATGCCTCCTACTGGGGGTGGGGGGACCTGGCCTGCAACTCAAACGTGTGGCCTGACTGGGAATCGAACTGGCAAACCCTTTGGTTTACAGGCCACACTCAATACACTGAACTACACCAGCCAGGGCTAAAGATAGAATGTTAAAAACAAGAGAAAAGGAGAGTTACCTACAAAGGAGTTCCCATAAGACTATCAGCTGATTTCTGGAAAGAAACTTTGCAGGCAAGAAGGTACTGGCAAGAAGTATTCAAAGTGACTAAAAGCAAGGGCTTAGAACAAAGATTCCTCTATCCAGCAAAGCTATCATTTAGAGTGAAAGGGCAGATAAAGTGCTTCCCAGACAAGCTAAAGCTAAAGGAGCTCATCATCACCAAGCCCTTATTATATGAAATGTTAAAGGGACTTATATAAGAAAAAGAAGAAGATCAAAACTATGAACAGTAAAATGACAACAAACTTACAACTATCAACAACTTAATCTAAAAAAGCAAAGCAAAACAAAACAAAATAAACCAACAACTAGAACAGGAACAGAATCACAGAAATGGAGATCATGTGGAAGTTATCAGCTGGGAGGAGGAAAGGGGAGAAGGCAGGAAAAGGTACATGGACTAAGAAGCATGACTGCTAGGCACAAAATACACAGGGGGATGTTAAGAATAGTATAGGAAATGGAGAAGCCACAGAACTTATATGCAAAACCCATGGACATGAACTAAGGGTCAGGGGGTTACTGCCAGAGGGAAAGGGGCTACCGGGCGGAGGAGGGCAAAGGGGAAAAATAAATTGGGAAAACTGTAATAGCATAATCAATAAAATATACTTTAAATAAATAAATAAATATATGTATATCCATTAGATTTCAAAATGTAGTCTACCTTGTCTTATTAAATTAAGACTACTTATTACTATCTACCTCTCCCTTTGTTATTATTTTTTAATTTTTAAAGATTTTATTTATTCATTTTTAGAGAGAGGTGAAGAGAAGGAGAATGAGAGGGAGAGGATCCTCAATGTGTGGTTGCCTCCTGTGTGCCCTGCACCAAGGACCTGTACCAGGGACCTAACCTGCAACCCAGGCATGTGCCCTGATTGGGAATCGAGCTGGTGACCCCTTGGTTTACAGCCCGCACTCAATCCACTGAGCTACACCAGCCAGGGCTTCCCTTTATTAACATTTGTTATATTATTTATAATCATGCTGGTATAAATGGGAATATTGTTATGCCTTATTATTTTAAAGGCCCTGTTTATTTTATTTTTAGAGAGAGGGGAAGGGAGGTAGAAAGAGAGGGAAAGAAACATCAATGTGAGAGAGAAACATCTATCAGTTGCTTCTTGCAAGCACTGGAACCAGGGATCGAACCTGCAACCCAGGCATGTGCCCTGACCCAGAATCAAACCAGCAACCTTTCGCCTTGCAGGATGACACCCAATGAACTGAGACACACCAGCCAGGGCTTGCTATCTATGCCTTGTTTTTTATTAATCTATAATTCACAAATTATAAACTGTTTCATTCAATGAAAATCTAACCATATAAAGCAATGAGGTGGGTTTTTTGTTGTTGTCTCTGATTAAATCATTGGTTTATAGCTTCTCAGATCTAAAAGGAAAGCTCTAAATGACCTGAATAACCTCTCTCCAGTTTTGCTAAGTTAATCATGCCACACTATAAATAAGAAAAATGCATAAAATGAAACATCTATTATTAATCAATTCCTTGAGCAACCTAGTCATGTTCTATTTTCAGGCCAGCAAAGACTTTCGGACTGGATTAGCAGCCAGAACAAGAGGCACAACATGTACCAGGAAAAATATGAATGTGTAATCTTTCAGAAATCCAAAAGTAGGATAACAACATACATTCCAAAAACTAGATTTAACATCTTTGTCCCTATTATCATAGGGAGTTATAATCAACTATGCTATTACTTTGTAATCAGAAAAAATGAAGTAAGTCTTAAAGTTGTTCCAAAATCATTAGCTATTGTAATTCTAATACAACTTTCTTAAAATATTCTTTTTCGCCCACTACAACTATAGTAAACAATATCATCCAAAAAATAGCTCTTAGATACACTTCACCGGCCTCAAAAATCAGTTAAGCAATTCTCTTGTATGTAAGTGAAAATATATGTGCAATTTGTGAAAAAGCACATACAGACTTTGAAAAACAATTTATTAAAAACTATAAACTACTTTTACAATCAATATTGCTTTACTGAAAAATTATCTCAAAGCTCATGTAAAAAGTATCAAGTTTTGCAGTAGTTTTTTTATAAGATTTTACTTACTTATTTTTAGAGAGGAAGGGAGAAAAAGGGAGGGAAACATCAATGTGTGGTTGCTTCTCACGCGCCCTCCACTGGGGACCTAGCCCACAACTCTGGCATGTGTCCTGACTGGGAATCAAACCAGTGACCCCTTGCTTCATATGCCCCCACTTAATCCACTAAGCCACACCAGCCAGGGCTGATAGTAATTTTTTTAAGGAGCAAAAAATGACCATGTCTGGGTAGCTCAGTTGGTTAGAGCCTCATTCCCGTACACCAAGGTTGCAGATTCAATCCCCAGTCAGGACCCATCCAAGAATCAACCAATGAATGCATAAACAAGTAGAACAACAAATAAATGTTTCTCTCTCTCTCTCTAAAATCAATAAATAAATTTTAAAAAATTTTAAATGTACCAAAATCAATTTGACCAAGGTTATTGGCATTTTTGCATTCTTTATCCTGAAATTTTGTCAAATTATTCGAGAATGATGACCCCCAAGTTGACTTCATTGATTTCTGGCTTACAATCAGACAGTTCTCTGAATTTAGAGAGTGCCTGCCTATCAACTTAGAGATGAATAGGTCAATTTATTAAAAAGTCAGTTTCTCTAATCAAGTATATATATATGACATGTATCAAATATAAGGCTAAAAATAAGAGAAGTTTAAATATTAAGCATTCTCAGGACATGCACATTCAACAAAGCATTTTCGTCAATTAAGTACTTTATGGAAACAAATTATAAGTGCAGTAATAAAATACTTGCTGTTTAACTGCTTAACAGCAGTTAAAGTTTTCAGAATGAGAAAACTGTAAAAAAAGGGTTTGGTTTGTTTCTGAGTAATACATACATGAGTGGGTGGTAACGCACTTCTGAAAATGAGGAAATATGCATGAAACACAACGGCTCTTGAAGTTCATAGAAAAATCAGGCAAAATAGCAGCACACTGGTGAAAATACTCTGGCTTAGAATCAGTTGTCTGAGTTCAAATCCTGCCTTTGCCACTAACCAGATGTGAGATTTTGAGCTGCTTGTTTCAGTCTCTAACCTCTGGTTTCCTCTTCTATAAAATGGCTATAAATAATCACAAAATCTCATAAAGTTATCGTGAAGACGAAACGATATAAAACCCATTCTGTGCTGAACATAAGGCATAGTACTCAGTGAGCACGCAGAAAGTCTCAGCTATGACTGTTAGTGCAACAACTGTAAAGGACTATACAAACTCCACGGGCGCTACTCCCAGGTTTACCGCTGACTTTGGCAGGGGCTAAATTCTCCCGGCCTCAGTTTTTTCATCCGAGTAGGAGACAGACCTAGGCCAGTGTGGCTCGGTTGGGAGGAGCGTCATCCTGTAACCGAAAGGTTGCAGGCGTGAGTCCCAGTCAGCACACATACCTAGTTTGCAGGTTCAATCCCTGTTCCAGGCACGTACAGGAGGCAACCAATAGATGCTTCTATCTCCCAACAATGTGTCTCTCTCTCCCTTCCTCTCTGTCTAAAAAGCAATAAAAAATGTCCTTGGGTGAAGATAAAAATACATATGAGACAGAGAGGGCTACATAACTTCTAACAAAAATTCCTCCTTTGCCACTAGAAGCTTCCTATTCAAGTGACATGCTAACAGTGAAAAAATCACTATAAATTCAGTCTTTATAAATCAGTCTTTTGTTTCCAACATTCTAGAAAGTCACAGTTAAGAATGTTGCTTCCACAAATACAAAATGGAACAATGTAACAGAATATATGAAACTTAAGGAAACAATAGGTATTTACTTTCACTTCAGAAATGAACAGAATCTTTTCTCTTAGAAGCATGTTGTGCTGTACAACACTTAAAATTTATAAACTAGGGTGAAGCTTAAAAACAACACATAGGTGGCTTATGAATTAGGTGACCGTGCATCCTACTTTGCTGGGACACTCCAGTGTCTGCTGTTATCACGACACTAGTAAGAGCTTGCACCCTTTCATTGTCAAAAGTGAACTGGTCTGGACGATGAATTCTACTGTCACCTACTGTCACCTACTGCCACCTATGTCAAGTTCTTAACTCATACAAATCCGATACTTGAAGCTGGCAAAAAAATTGTTTCCTTGATAATAAGTGTCAACTTTGTTAAAATAAGTAATAAAATAAAAATTAATCTGGGATTATAAATTTAGGAATGGCAGTCATATACTTCAATGGTGCAGAACCTATAGATCCAGAGAATTGTAACTCTTCCACCTGCTTCTAAGTTTGGGTCATCTTGCTAACTCTCACTCTGTACTCCGTAAGACCAGGCCTCATCTATTCATTCATTCACTCATTCCAATTAGTTATTGAGTGTGCACCAGACACTGATCTTTGTGAAAGGACTGGGGAGAAAGTAACAAAAAGAACCAACATGCCTGATGAATCTCATAATTCCTCTTATTTGAATTTTATAGAATTTTGAGAATGACATAAAACTTTCTGCCTGGCTTCTCTTTTTATGGAGACTCATTTTACCCGGTTCTGTCCAAACTGGAATCTGAGTGCCAAACAGTGTAGTGATTCCTCTGCCATTTCTGAACTTACTGAAACAATGTGTGCGAAGCACCACAGGTTCACACCAGCTGTCCCACTGCAGTAGCAATTGGGAGGCAGAAAAAAAACACTGAGGACAGCGAAGAAAACGCCAGTCTCACAACTGCCGGGTGGCATTTCTCACCACTTAGCTAATCACAAGGACCGGGACAGAGAACTCAAGGGCATGGACAACAGCGTGGGAACTGACTGGTGGGTGGGGCGAGGCAGGGGACCATAATGAGGAAAAAGGTGGGACAACTGGAACTGAACAAAAACAAAGAAATAATAAAAAGATACAAAGGGTTCCTGAAAACACTAGGGAAAAAGATTTTCTCAGCTGCTGCCTGACAAACACTCTGTGCTCAAATGAATCATCCCAAGAAATGAAAAGGACCCAGGGGAGTCCAAGGCCAGACATGACAAAAGACTAATTCAGCACTCACCGTGGTTAAGAACTGCAAGGAACAATCAGAACTTCTCTAACACAATCCTTCTAGAACCAAAGGCCTAGGCAAGGATGACAGAGAGCAATCTTCCTAGTTTCCACAAGCTTACTCTAAAACCATTCTAATGGAAAGCAGTCAAGGTAGCCTTGTGACTTCCAGCAAAGACCCTCTTTTTCTATTATTACATGCACTATTAACAGAACTTATCTTTCTGTATTATTTGTACTGTTCCATGTGCCATTTATTGTTTGGTACTATTACTTTTATTTTTACAGGTATGAATTTACACTCCTTTACTGGACTATCAACTACCTTAGGGCGGAAACTATGTTTTATATTTCAAATTATCTGCTTTAGAAACAAGCAGTGTCCCACTGTGTAGCTACTGCCCAACTCCACTACTCAATGCATGTGTGAGAGTTACTTCCTGACTCTCAGCTTCCTCGTCACATTCATTTACACGTTTAACCAACTGTTTATGGAGCACCACTATGTGCTGGGTACTGTTCTAGATTTCATAAACCCAATCCACCAAAAACTCCTCCCCACAAAGGATATTCTAGTGGGGACCGAAAGACAACAGACAAAATGAATGTTAAAGGCGAGGTTAATTTGAAATTTTTCATGAAATAGCATTTCCACAAAGACCAGAGAGAAGAGGGGATCACCCCATGTGAACTGCCTGGGTGGAGAGTATTCAGGGGTAGGGAAGAGCAGGAGCGAAGCCTGAACACAGCAACATGCTTGACTTGTTTGAAAATATCAAGGAAAACAGGGTGGCTGGAAACTGGCAAATTAGGAGACAAATACCAGAGATGAGGTCGAAGACACTGAACTTGGCAGAGCTTACCGATGGGAATTCTGCCTTCAAGGAGCCCAAAGCCCTGAATGAATTTCTAAAGTCATGTCCCCACTCGGAAATACAGTGAGCCTCATCCACAGCAATCAGTGTGATGCCTATAAAAAAAAAAGAAAGAAATGGGGAAGGTAAATTAAAGTACAAAAACAAAGGATATCTTCATCTAAATCAACATCACCTTCTTCACTTAGAATATAGAAGTATCACAGAAAAAATACAGGATCGAATCAAACCAATATTTGGTAAATGTGAAAATACAAGCATAAATGACATCAGGTAACACAAAAAATCATTACTGAGAAGAAGAGAAATGAATAGATTAAAATTATATGGATAAAAGAAGGAAACACTTACATGTTATTCAAATGCATGTTTATCAGATTTCAGCTTTTATCATTATTCCTCAGAAAAACAAACTACTCACTATCTCCTGTCCTCTGGAGTCATTCGCCCTGGACGCAGAATGTGGCTCCGCCCCTGAGCATTTCCATTACCTGAAGCAAGTTACTCAGGCTTCCCAGTCTCTGCTTCCCACAGGTAAAAGTAGATACCAGCCCTAAATGTATTAGTTACTCTGAAAATCAAATTAGATCACTCTCACATAAAATGCTCTGACAGGGCCTGGTATAAAAGATATCTCAATAAAAAAGTATTACTATTATTATACTGTTATTAAATGCCTACTATGAGCCAATCCTTTTCTAGGAATAATAGTAAGATTAATAAAATGCAATCCATGACCTTGAAGAGCTAATAATTCTCAAAGAAGAGACTGACATGCAAACAAGCAATTTCAATTTATTGAGATTACCAACTATAATAAAGCTAAAGGAGAACGCAAAAAAGAAACCTACTAAATATGAGCAAAGTTGGTGATTAGCAGCAACATTCTCTGGTTCATACTGAGGGGCTGGAAAAATTCAATGTTACCAATGTATTTATTTTGGCTTTAGAAACTAAATGATACAGATTTTAAATTAAATATGTTAACACAAAGATGGTGGCTCCTCCTTTATTTTAAAACCTTCCTTAAAAGCACAGGTTTCACTAACTGCCTTTGAATAAAGCTGATCTTTGTCCTTCACAATGAGTTTGGGCTTTTGCCAACTTTCACTTTAAATGAGCAAGTCCAAGTGTCTGACCAGGTTCTACACCATTTCGCTGTGGCATGCTTGTCACTCAAGCCTTATTTCCAAAGTTAAAAGACAATTATAGGTGTGTCTGGTTTTAAGGAGTCTCCATACAAATTATGTTTGCTGCTTGTTATAAATCCATACTACTTAAATAATGTAACATTTATCATAAAAACTAAACACTGATTAGCTAAATGTCAGACTACTGTACAAATAAAAGAGTATATTCACTTTTACAAGCATTTTACAATTTCCTGCAAACAAAAGCCAAAGAAAAATATTTCAAAAAGAATATATCTCCTTTTTTCACCATTCAGTAAACCAAAAAGAACATTTTCATCTGCCATATGCAGAGTATTCCTCTGCAATGCTTGCGACATTCATAATCCAATCCACTACAGAAAATATAGAGAATTAGAACTACCTGTCAAAGGATCTAAGTACAGATGTAAGCTATTATTAACTCTACCATTAAGTACAGACTTAAACGTTATTATCTCTATCACAGAAATAAAGAAAATACTAAAATAGAGCACAACATATCCAGACCACTATGGAAACAGATCCTAGCTTTTACAATAAAACCAAGCAATTTGTGTCTCTGAGGTAGTTAGGCTTAATTTAAAGTAAAATACAAAAATTTCATATGACCTAATAAGGGACACAATCAAATTGTTTTCCATTAAAGACAAAAATATAGTATTCCAAAATGGGAGTTTAACAGCTGAGGAACGTTCTCTTTTTTTAAAATTTTATTTATTTATTTTTAGAGAGAGGGGAAGGAAGAGAAACATCAATGTGCAGTTGCCTCTCACATGGCCCCCACTAGGGACCTGGCCCGCAACCCAGGCATGTGCCCTGACTGGGAATTGAACCTGCGATCCTTTTGTTTACAGCCTATACTCAATCCACTGAGCTACACCAGCCAGGAAGAATGTGTTCTTTGACAATATATTTAATCATGTTAATTTCTGTCCTAATTCTCTTACTAGTATTTAACACATACTAAAAGAATACAAATTTGTTTTCATTATACTGTTAATTAAATTGTTAACTGTTTTCCTAGAGTTATGTGCAAGTAACCATTAAATGAGACACCACAATGTTAAAAAACCTTCGCTATGTGGAATTATTTTAATACATAATGATACAATAAGATTATATATTATTGGTTGGTTCAACTGAAATATGTACATTTGCAATAGAAGCCTGGATAAAAACTCTTGGGCAGCTGAGCCTAACCATCAAGAAGGAAATAACAGACAAAAATTTTTAAGAACAAAAAAAGCAGTGTCAGCTTCTGACTAAATCTGTATTTAGATTTTCTACAGCAAAAACTAACTCATCTGTAATTTGGTAAACTAATCATACTTACTGGTGGCAAATAATCAAAAGTCCTGTGTCTTCCAACACTGAGGACACATTAGGGTCACTTCTGAAAAACTAGAGATGCTGAGGCACCACCCCTAGGCATTAAATCAGAATCTTCAAGGTTGAAAGATGCTATATTTTCTAAAGTTTGAAAGGTGATTCTCTTGAACAACAAGGGTAGAGAGCCATTACCCTTGATTTAATTTAGATTCAAAATATATTTTAAAAAAAGGAAAATTATAATTTCATGAATCTAAGACTGAACAGTTTGCAACGATACACCTAAATGCCAACTATGTGTCAGGCACTGCACTAGGGAAATATAAATGAATAAGAATTGTATTTTTGACCAAAAAAAAAAAAGGTTATAGTATAGAAGAAAACACATATAAAACACATATAAAGAGGTAATTATAACATAGGAGCCTAATTTCTACGGCAGAAGGAATTACAAACTCCTTCTATGGGATAAGACAGGAGAGACACCCAGTTGGAGAGTCAGAGATTTCCTGGAAGAATTAATGTTTGAAATAAACTTTAACAGAAGTGAAATCCAGGATCGTCCATAAGTTCAACTTGAAAGGATAACTCAATTCAGTAAATTCTTACAAGGATCCTATGGGACCACTTACCAAGCATGGTTTCAAGTTCCTGGAGGAGGTACAAGTTACCCAAACAGAATTCTGGAGTTAAGTACACAATCTGGTATTTGCCTCTATAAAAACAAAACAGAAAAAGCAACAGGAGAGGAAATGTACTACAATAAAGAAAACAATAACCCGATGAATTACAACTTAAAACCATTATACCTGACATATTTTTAAAAAACATATTATGCTCATTACTAAAAACTACATGAATACTGATGTGTACATACTCATATCCACATAAATTGTTCTCTGATTTCACTTCAGCATGTCAACAGAGAAACTGGCGATGCCTGTCAGGGAGAACTCAGCATTAAGGTGACAACAGAAGCTTGGTTCTGACTTCTAGTGGTCCAGCCCCCAGATGACAGGGCCTGAGTTACAAGATCAAGCCTGTAGTAAACCTTTCGTGTGTTAGCGACCCACCCACACACCGCCCTCCTTCTGCAGAACTGCAGCCATGCCCACGCCATTCCCCACGGTGAACCCACAGCACGCATGTCTCCCTATGCGTTCCGCTCTGCCCACATCCTCTCAGGCCAGGGTTAAACACAGTATGAAAATCAAGTCGATGGGTCTCTGTCCTAGAATTTGGGGGTCTGATTAAGAAACAACCAGTCAGTCTCAGCAAGTGGAAAGACCAGAAATGTGTAAAAAAGGGAGTTGCAAAGCAATCTTCTATTTTGTGACTAAAAAAGCTAAGAATATTTATCTCCTCAGAGAAAATAATGAGTATAACACATAGAGATTATAGATTTAAAAAAAAAGAAACTACTCTAAAAAATCGGGCAGTTTCACAAAAAGTAACATAGAATTACAGTATGGTCCAGCAATTCCTCTCTAGGCTTATACACAAAACCACTGAAAACGTATGTCCATTTAAAAACTTGTACATAAACATTCAAAGTACCATTACAGTCATAACAGCCAAAAAGTGGAAACGACCTAAATGTACATCATTGATGAATGGATAAATAAAATATGGTATGTCTATTAGATAGAATTATTCATCCATAAAAAGAAATGAAGTACTGATAATATTGTGCTAAGTGAAAGAAGCCAGACACAAAAAGCCACGTACTATGTAAGTCCATTTATTTGAAATGTCCAGAAGAGGCAAATATAGAGACAGAAACCAGATTAGCTGTTAAACGGGGGTGAGGGAGGGAGCAATGGGGACTGGCTGCTTAATGGACATAGAGGTTTGGGGGGTTGATGAACATGTTCTGGAATTAGTAATGACAGTTGCACAACGTTCTAAATGTACTAAAAGCCAAGGAACTGTACCCTTTAAAAATGGTTAAAATAATAAATTCTAAGTTATGTAAATTTACCTCAATTAGAAAATAAAACTTCAATATTTATCTACCACATGACACTGTCACTCCGCTCCTTGGTTTATAGCAATGGAATCAGAGCCCACGATACCCAAAGTCCCACGCACAGCAGCTGCTCAGAGCAGCTTTCCATGGACAGCCCAGAACCGAAAACAACCCAAACGCCTGTCAGCAGATGAGTAGATAAGCAATTGTGATACATCCACAGGTGGAATCTAGTCTATTCAGCAATAAAAAAGGAATGAACTATTGACACATGTAACAACACGATGAAACTCGAAATAACCAGGCTTTGTGATATGAACCAAAGAGGAGCACCTATTGTATGACTGATTCTGTTTATATGTAACTTTAGAAAACATAAATTAATCTACAGTTGCAAAACAGGTAAGTAGTGACCTGGTGAGTGGGGTGAAGAGGTAGGGAAAGGTGGAAGGAATAAACTACAAAAGGTATAAATAAACCTCAGGGATAATAAATATGTTCATTATCTGGACTGTAGTGATGTTTTGGTAAGTGTTTATATACCAAAACTTAGCGAATTATACATTTTATGTATGAAAAATTTGTGTGTCAATTATACATCAATAAAGGTGATTTAAAATGTTTAGGAAAGAGAAAACATGTTCAAAAGAATATTTTAAAAGAATATACATAGCAGCTTTGTTAGTAAGAGCCCACAACTAAGAATAACTTAGGCATCTATCAATGAGGAAATTAAAAGAAACTGTGGTATTTTCATACAATAAAATGCCACTTTAGTATTAAAAATAAAGTACAGATGCACGCAACATGGAGAATTCTCAAGACATTATGCTGAAGGAAAGAAGTTTTACACAAAAGGGTTCATACTGTACATCACTATTACATGAAGTTCTAGAACAAGCAAAACAAAAACATGGTTTGCTTTAGGATAAAGGACAACAGAATAAACTGGGGGAAAACATAAAAGAACTTTTGGAGTGACAATAATATTATATATCTTGATAAGGGTTTGAGCTACATTTTAAACGCATTTATCAATATTTGGTAAGTACATGTGTGCTTATTTGTGAGTTAATATACACATATGTTATTAATATACATATTTTTGTGTGTGTCTGACAATTTTACTCTTGTAAGGAATTATGTCATAATGAGATTAGTGGGGCAAGAGATCTAGAATCTAGTCTCTGCTCAGCCATTAATTTCATCGAGTAATTTGGGGCAAATTACTTTGAACCTCAGTTTGTTCATCTGTAAAATGGAACAAAACCAGATGCTATCCAAGTTCTCTTCCAAAACCAAAATTTTACAATCTTGTGATTACAATGTTAGCATTACAGTTGAGAACTGGAAATAACAGATTTCTTTCAGATTGAAAGGTTTTAAAATTCATAGTTCTGTAAATGCTATAAAAACAAAGTACAGTTTAAAATCATAGGCATTTCGTTCATGCATTAAGTAGAACTTTTTGTGTATAAAATTCACTCACACATCATAGAAACCTGACTATATGATCAGAAAGCATGTAAATTACTCACGATTTTACATCCTCTAGAATATGTTTTGACTGTGCTGATCCCAGAAAACAAGCTGAAATGTTGGACATTCTACAAGAAAAAAAACACACATCCTGAAGCATATACACTTTACAAATATCAACTTCATTCTTAAGTGAGAAGCAATAAATATAATTCTTTAAAAATTACATCCCCCTCTGCAATCCTCATTCTTTTTGTAACTCACTAATTCATTACACAAATTCCTTCAAGGGCCATATTAGAAGGTAGGTTGCTAAGGTGGGTTTTTTCAAAAAGACTGCAAACTGAAAGATGCTTAAAACTTTTTCATAACTAAAATATAGGCTTCTATGAATACACTTTGTACCAAGCTAAAGGGCAAGGATAACTGAAAGAGAACAGAATTTTAAGAAATGCAATTTAAACTGGCAGTCGTTTACTTTTTAAAAAAATGTTTATTGTGACCACCTGGTACCCTTGAATTACAGAGAACCTGAGAAAGGTTTCTTCCCCTAACATGTCATTTATTGCTTATAAAGATAAAGTAACACTTACATAAATGTGTTACTGGGAACTCGATTTTAAAATACATGACAGATCAGGTGTTTCCTTCACAGAAAGAAAGAAAAAGGTGATAAGGTGGCAATGAAAATATTACTCACCCGAGCTGGAGTACTTGGTCCTCCATCAAGGAAATCAGAGGAGAGATGACGATGCCAATCCCGCCTACATAAACCGGCGGGTACTGGAAGCACAGACTCTTCCCATAGCCTTGAAATAAAACGAACGCTCATTGAAATAAAAACAAAGCCTCAGTATTTTGATTTCTTCTTACAATGCATTTGAATGAGATGATCACTTACTATGATGCTATTGCATTGGCCAAACAGTTCATATGGTTTTTTCTGTAAAAGATGCTTTGTTTTGTTTTCACCAATAAATTTAAAGATTTGGGTATTTTGAGTATGTTGGCCTTCTACATGGTATAACACTGATCATTCTCAGTTAAAGTCTCAATGTGATCATTATCAATTTCAACTTGTCTACCCAACCATGGAGTACTGTCCAGCGATAAATTTCTAGTACAAAACTTTGCAAACCGCTTTCAACGAATTTGATCAGTCACAGAACTTTCTCCATACACTGCAAAAATCTGTTTTGTGTGTTGCAGTTACATTTTTACCTTTCTTGAAGTAGTAAAGATAATATGCCAAAAATGTTGTATATTTTCTTCCCTCTTCAATATTAAAATGGCTACACAAAAATTCACCAATTTTTTTCTTCACTTTATTTTTAAATATATTTTATTGATTATGCTACTACAGTTGCCCCATTCTCTTTTCTATCCTTTACGCCCCTCTCCCCAGTACCCCCCTTCACTCCAGCATTCCCCCTAGTTCACATCCATGGGTCATACGCATAAGTTCTCTGGCTTCTCCATTTCCCATACTATTCTTAACATTCCCCTTTCTATTTTGTACCTACCAATTATGCTTCTTACTCCCTATGCCTTTTTCCCCATTCTCTCCCCTCTACCTCCCCAATGATAACCTTCCATGTGATTTCCATTTCTATGGTTCTGTTCCTGTTCTAGCCGTTTGCTTAGTTTGTTTTTCTTTTTGTATTTTTAAGTTCAGTTGTTGATAGTTGTGAGTTTGTTGTCATTTTACTGTTCATAGTTTTGATCTTTTTCTTAGATATGTCCTTTTGACATTTCATATAACAAGGGCTTGGTGATGATGAACTCCTTTAACTTGACCTCATCTGAGAAGCACTTTACCTGTCCTTCCATTCTAAATGACAGCTTTGCTGAGTAGAGTAATCTTGGACATAGGTTCTTGGCTTTCATGACTTTAAATACTTCTTTCCTCCTTACCTGTAAGGTTTCTTTTTGAGAAATCAGTTGATAGTCTTATGGGAACTCCTTTGTAAGTAACTATCTTATTTTCTGTTGCTGCTAAATTTTAAGATTCTCTCCTTATCTTTAATCTTGGGTAATATAATTATGTGTCTTGGCATGTTCCTCTTTGGGTCCAACTTCTTTGGAATGGAACTCTCTGAGCTTCCTGGACTTGCATGCCTATTTCCTTTGCCATACTAAGGAAGTTTTCCTTCATTATTTTTTCAAATAAGTTTTCAATTTCTTGCTCTTCCTGTTCTCCTCCCGCTACCCCTATGATTCAGATGTTGGAATGTTTAAAGTTGTCCCAGAGGTTCCTCAGCCTCTCATTTTTTGAATTCTTGTTTCTTCATTCTGTTCTGGTTGAATGTTTAATTTCTTCCTTTTGTTCCCAATCGTTGACTTGACTCCCAGTTTCTTTCCCTTCACTAATGGTTCCCTGTGAATTTTTCTTTATTTCACTTTGTATAGCCTTCACTTCCTCCTCTATTTTGTGACCATACTCAATCATTTCTGTGAGCATCCTGGTTACCAGTGTTTTGAACTCTGTACAAAACACTGGACCATATTTCGGCCATATTTCTTTGTCTTGGCACACCAGTCTGGATGAATGTTTCTTCTTTAACTCTTTGGTTGTCGGACTTCTGTGCAGTTCAATTTTCTGGCAGTTCTGGTTGGTTTTGGTTTTAAATTGGTTCTTTCTTTTGTTTGTGCAAGGGGGAAAGTGTACCTACCTACCCCTCCCTCCATCTTGGCCAGAACCTGATAAGCCTTTTTTTAATGCACACTGATATGACAGCTGTCACAATACAATCTAACAAAATTATTTTGAATAAAGTTAAAGAAACTAAGCACTACTAAAGCCATTATAAAAAAAAACAAATAAACTTTATATCTTAGTAAGAGCTAATTCATGCATAAATTTAAGCATCTACTTTCAGTTCCCTCTCTTCTGTATTTTACCCCATTTGTATTTGTATAGCTGTCCCTGGTACCCACAGGGGATATGTTCCAAGACCACCAATGGATGCCTGATACCAAGGATAATACCAAACCTGATACATAGAAAACCTATGATAAAGTTTAATTTATAAATTAGGCACAGTAAGAGATCAACAATAACTAATAATGAAGTAGAACAATTATAACAATATACTGTCATTAAAGTTATGCAACACAGTCTGTCTCTCAAAATATCTTACTGTAACGTACACACCTGTTCACTTAAAGGAAGCACTTTGCAGCTTCTCTCTGGCATATCCAAAGTGCCAGCAACATTATTCTTGCACCTTGGGGCCATTATTAAGTAGGATAAGGGTGACTTGAACACAAGCTCTGCGACACTGTAACAGCAGTTCTGGTAACAGAGACAGCTACTAAGTGACTAACGGGTGGGGGAGCATCTACAGCATGGATGCACAGGACAAAGGGACGGAGGATGCACGTCCTGGACAGGACAGAATGGGGCTGAGAAGATGTCATCTCACTACTCAGAATGGTGAGCACTGTAAAACCTATGAATTGTTTATTTCTGCAATTTTCCATGTAATATTTCGGACCATGGTTGACAATGGGTAACTGAAACCACAGAAAGTGAAACTGTGGAAAAGAGGGAACTACTGTATTTGTATTCTGCGAGTTTAATGAAAGATCAGGCATTTAAAACCCTTTAAGTTTTTTTTAAGATTACGTTATTTGCTTAAGTACAACTTACCAGTTGCCATGACAACAACATTATCTCTTCGTTCTTTCAGTACAGAATAAATCACTTTCCACTGAACCCTAGAAAATGAAAACACAAAAGGCTGGTTTTTTTACTAACAAGAAACCCAGGGGACCAATTGAAAGCCATTTAATTTTTCTACTTTCTCTAACAGAAATTCTTCTACATTCCTGAGCTTCAATATAAAAATGTACGAACCCTAGGAACTCTAAATTTAGGTTACATGGATGTACGCATGTGTACTTAAGATTTGCACATGTACATACACTTAAGGTCTGACCATTTCCTTGCATGTAAATTTTACACCAATAAATAAATAAATATTTTACTATAGTTAATTATTTATATGCCAAAGTATTTATGAAGAAGTATAATGATGTCCATAATTTATCTTGTGATGCCTTTTAAAAACTGGACTGAGCCCTGGCTGGTGTGGTTCAGTGGACTGAGTGTGGGCCTGTGAACCAAGGGGTTGCTGATTTGGTTCCCAGTCAGGCCACATGCCTGGGTCTCCCAGGCCAGGTCCCCAGTTGAGGGCACATGGGTGGCAGCCACACATTGATGTTTCTCTCCCCCTCTTTTTCCTTCCCTTCCCCTCTCTCTAAAATATAAATAAAATTTATTTTTAAAAAATGGACTAAGGAATAGGTAGAGGGATGATCGATGAATGTGTTATTGTATATAGCAAAATGTTGAATATACAGGTATTCGTAGTAAAAATTCTTTCAACTTCACTGTTTATCTCCAAACATTTGTTTAATAAAACACTGCAGGAAAAACCAATTGGAAAGTTATGCTGATAACAACCTATGCTTTCTTATCCAAATGCTGGTTACACGGGAGACCTCATTTGGGAAAATTCACTGATCTGTACATTTATGTGCACTTTGCTGTATGTAGGACAAAGTTAATTTTTTTTTATTTCAAGATCAAAGGGAGAGAAGAAATAAATGCCTCCATGGATTCAAGTTGAAGTTCCCAGAAGACAAAAAAAAATCCAATCTAGATATCCACATTCTTATTAGTTTTATTCAAATGTATTTTGTTCCTCATCTCATATTAACACTTGTAAATGTAACTACTTAGATGTAAATATATTTGAATTACATTAAAAATTATACTATTATGACTGTTCTTCAAACTATTTTATGAATTTCTCTTATATCAGCATGCTTGAACAATAAGCTTTATAGAACAGGCACACAGATACTTATTTAATGAAAAATAAGTCAGCATTAAATTAAGATTCATTTACTAATGTATTAAAGGAGTTTCTATCAGAACTCTCTATGGTAAGAAAAACCATTTTTCCTTGTTATAAAAATAATTTGCAGCCCTGGCTGGTGTAGCTCAGTGGATTGCACACAGGCCTGTGAATCAAACAACTGGGGTTCAATTCCCAGTCAGGGCACATGCCTGGGTCCCAGGCCATTTCCCAGCAGGAAACGCACAAGAGGCAACCATACATTGGTATTTTTCTCCCTCTCTCCTTCCCTTCCCCTCTAAAGATAAGTAAATAAAATCTTTAAAAAATAAATAAATAAAAATAATTTGCAAGCATGAGTTTTATGTGAATATTACTTCAAACTAACTTTGTAGACACAGGAAATACAATGTCACATACATAAACTATAGTGAAATTGTGTTATTTCTGTTAAGTGGATGAATTATTTGCTCATTTTGCCTTGTGAAGAAAAGAATAATATGCAATTTAACTAACTGAGAATATACTCACGGCTTAAACCTGGAATGGCCAAAGTAAGACTTGAGGCAAATAATTTGCTCTGCATTTGGTCCTGGTATTGAATGATCTTAAAATAAAATAAAATGGGTACTTATGTTAAAATAGAAGTATATGTAGTGCGAGGGAATAAAAGTTTTATTTCATTGGCTTCTTATAAAGAATAGAGTGGTAGATACCAAAGGTTACTACTATTTTCTGACTTTTAAACCCAACCAATATAGGCCTCTCGCTACCAGTCTTGACTCCAACTAAACACTTTGGTAATTACCTAATTCCAAGGATCAGAACTTTGTTGTGGTTCACACTTTGCCAGCACTGTAAAAAAATGATGTTTTGGTATTTGCTACATTTCTAAAACTGAACATTAGACTCAACCATGGCGAGTAATATACCAATGCAAATTTTATAAGATACCCAACCTTCAACTAATGGTATAATCAGAATTACATTACAATCGCCAATGAAATCCATAAACTCTTTCTCTTACTTATAACTCCATCAAATCTTTCACCAAAATCTAACTGCATAGCACAAGGAAGATATGTTAAATTTACTCAGCTGATTTGCATTTTCTACTCAGGTTGCAGGGTTCACAAGTGGCCAAGAAAGAGCAACGCAAAGAATCAACATAATTCATCTCTAAACAAATAAAAATTCATCATTATAGTTCTTGGCTTTAACAATTCTATACAGAAAACTAAATTGGAGATGTCATATGTGTACTTAATACAAGAAAACAAGTAGGGAAACACTTTTTTAACATCTTCATATACCCCTCACCTACAAAATATAGTTTAGATTTTCACTTTATGACATTGATGAAACTTAGCTCTAGAGAGAGTTCTACTTCATGAAAAGACCCCATAGTTTGCTACAATATTCTATTCTATTATTTACATTTAAATAACAGGAGGTTCACTTAGTGGATTCTTTACTATATAGTTAGCATACAGTATGAAAATCAGTCTATTTTTGCTATTTTACATTGTGCCACTTATCTGAATAAGCTCCTGCAAAATAGACATTATATATCTATGCTATTTATAATAATGTTTAATATCAGTAATTAATGATTCTTTACTAATGATTTTATAATCTTGACAAACAAAACATAAAATTCAGGATGAAAAGTTTCACGTCACCACACTCACCAAACAACACAGAACTTTTATTATTCTACTTTTACAAATAATACGATAGTGCTTTATGATGACCAAAAAACTAAGGGACCTTGACCTCTAAAATGTTCAAAAACTGAACCCTAAATTTAAAGTCAGTGGTAGGTATCAGAGGAGGGTCATTTCAAACACAGTACAGTGCTTACTTTCATTTTCTTCTTCTTCCTCTTCAATAGCTTCATTCTCATCTTCATCAGCTTCATCCTCATCTTCATCTTCTTTAACAGAATCATTCAGATTTTTTTCCACTTCTGTGCATTTTGAATAAATTGGATCGACTCTGGCCCTGCTTAGGTTTTCTAAAGACTGAAAGTTTAAAAATAATTTTAAAAGCAAAACCATTGACAGTGTCGTATCTTTTTCACCAAACATAAAAAGAGTATCATTAACAGAGCCTACAATTTTGTTCAAATCTGACAGATGAGCAAGCAAAACCACAAAAGAACATGTGTGCTCCAGTTTAAATACGTGCTCAAAAATGGTTTCTAAGGCACAAGGCCAAAGCTGGAACATTTTGGCATACGCAGGGGTCATTAAGAGCATACAATGAAATGTCTCGAGGGAGAGTTACCATAAAGTTTGAGTTTAGATCATTTAAAACATTATTTCTGTATCATACTTCCATGTTTTCCATTCCCAAGTGGCAGACGCCGATTTTAATGTTATTTTTGCAACGAGTTTCTCTATATCACACATCAGCCACTGTCTTTTAAAGAAAGCATATGGTTTAAATTATAAGAAAACAATAAATGTGTTTTGGAAATTGTTAAAACAACAACAAAAAGATTCAAATAATTTAAGAAATATTACAAATGGGAAATAAAGTTTTTTGCTTTTATTTTTTTCTGACAATATCTGATTTTCTTCCTTGACTGAAGATTAGCTATTTAAAGAACCTTAGGTTATTCCAAAATTGTATCATTTGTAAAATTTTTTACTGAGAAGTGACAGAAAGAAATATTAAACCACAGTTTCTACTTTTCTTTTTTATGAAAACTTCCATTTAATAAATTTGACTTTAAATATTTTTTTTAAATGTATTCATTTCAGATCTGGAAAAGGAAAATAAAAGTTCTGTTTCTGATTATTTATTCAAGTTAAAAATGTACTTCAGAAAGCATTTTGAAAATCAAGTTCTCTTGTATGGGCATCCAGGTCGCCTCCTAAGAGGTGCGATACATAGCATGTTTGCAGAAGTCCACAGGTGTACTATAAACGCACTACCTAAATAGCAGTCCTCAGAGAAATGGTTAACCAATAAAGGAATATAATTTAGCATTCACTTACTATTATTACTGTTCGCTAATCTTTATTAAACACTTACAAAATGCCAGGCTCTTCTAAGCATTTCAAAAGGACACCTTAAGTAATGATTACAATTGTTAACTGAGTATCGAAGAGGCTAAGAAACATGCTCCAAGTCACACAGCTACAAATGGAGAAGCCGGGATTAGAATGTATCTGTAAATTCAGAATCCACACTCCTAATCACTACCACTACTCTGTCTCAAAACTAAAGAATCAGAAGCCTAGTCTCTTTTCATTAAAAAGAATCTTATCCACCTAAAAAAATTAGGAATAAAAAGTATGCATAATTGTGAACTTCTACATATGCATTTTCACTTCATTTGGCTAATTAATTTAGACTTTTCATTCTTACTGCCCATCCTTGGTTCATAGGACCTCACAAAGAAACTGGAGGTTGGGTTAAGATAGAGAAAATACATAAATTATAAAGAAAATAATTTCATTTGCTAACAGGAGAAAATGCAAACATTTAAAACATTAGAAAGTTATATATAATAAATATAAAAAATTCATAGTATATAAAACCAAAGAAAGAAAAAAGAAAACTGAATATGAAAAAAAAAAGAGAACTTCCAAATAAAAAGCGAGACACATGAATGGGAAGAAAGGGAAACCTATTTCAACAATGGAGAGCTGAATCACAACCCTCACTCCACGAAAAGATCAAAAGATTAAAAGAAAGGGATCTAAAAGGGAACACAGAAAACATATTAGTATGTTCTCTAGTTTGTAAAAATTAGTACACTACTACTAAAACATTATTCATAGACCATATAAAAATATAAAGAATGATGAACTGGAAAACAAAGTCTAGGGTTACATAATTGATAGCAATCTCACTGTGGTGAGTCCAGTGCAGAATTAGGTAATGTTTTACTTAATTAAATGACCTTTGGAAAGAACTGGAAGTAATCTTCCATAATGTTAAATATACCTTAAGCATCTCCATTTCTAAATCTTCATCACTTTCAATTATATAAGACGTATCTTCTTCATTATCCTTGGAAGATAAATAAAAGAATGTCAAACATTAATTTCCAGTATAATTGACCCCATACCCTCTTTTCTACAAAACAGAAAAATTTGTAACACATATTTTATATGTTTATATGATAATAAGAGAGAAAGAAGGGAAAGAGGGTAGTAGGGGGAAGAAAGAAGGAGTAAACATAGAAACAAAGACACAAATAATAAGAGAAAGAAAAATATACAATTAGAAAGATGAAAAAGATAGATAAACAGACTTGAAATAAAGCCTACACTCTAAATGAGAATACAAAATACCAAGTTCAACTAAACAGCGCCAAACTGTGTTTCCCAAACTTTTTGAGTATAAGAATTTCTTTGCAAGATTGAAAAATTCTCTACAAACCCAGGGACAATAGTTGTTCTTATCTACCCACTTATTTTAAAAAGATCCAAAAAGCACTATGATTATAAAAATATCTTTAAATAATCAATATTTTACAACAGCACCTACATATGTTTGAAAAAGAGTGTCAGTAAATTATCCATTTTAGCTATTGCTGACACTTAGGTACGAGGAACTTTTACAAAAATCTGGCAGTCCCCAGGAAGCAAGTGCCCCAAAACATAGGAAACGGCACAAAGAAATATAAAAGAAAGACCACCCCAAAATGTCTACCTTCTAAATTGTAAGTAGGAAAAAAAGTATAGCCTTAATTAACCTGAAAATATTAAGCTTTAAAAAAATTTTTTTAATTAGATTTATACAAAGAGAAAAAAAACTTTTACTTTTTAAATGAGGTCTTTCATGGATGAAGAAAAAATGCTAATAATTATTACATAATAAAAGTAAGAATAATTAGGGTAAATGTCAGTCAGATCATGAAATCCTGATCATAATTCTGTGTCATCATATGAAACATCATTTTAAAGTGCAGACATGATAGGAGATTTCTAAGAAATCAAAGGGCAGAAAATTTTACCCTTTGCAACAGTATGGATGGGGCTGGAGAACATTAAGCTGAGTAAAATAAGCCAGTCAGAGAAAGACAAATACCATATAATTTAACTCAATGAACAAACTCAACTAACAAGCAAAACAGACACAGACTCATACCTAGGGACAGCTGCGGGGAGCAGGGCATTGGAGGGGGCGGGGCATTGGAGGGGGCGGGGCATTGGAGGGGGCGGAGGGATGGAACAAAACAGAAGAAATGAGAGACCAAACTCATGGCCAACAAGGTGGTGATTGAAGGGAAGGGGTGCAGGGAGGGTGGGTGTAGATGGAAGAGGGTACAGCAGGGATAAATGGTAAGGGAAAAAAATACAATAAAAATAAATTAAATAAAACAAATTAAAAGGTCACACAGATGTTAGCAAAAGATATTTCCTAAAAAGGGAATTTGTTTTATAAACCACTGGTATGAGAATAATTTGAAAACAATTTTAAAATAAAATGCATTCACATATTGATAGAAGTGATTGCTAATTATTGGCCAAAATAAAGAGAATTCTTCAAGTACTGAGACTTTGCCATTAGAAAACTGAGGGGGACATAACCCTATTAAATTACTTTTAGATCAAATTTCTAAAAGCTTAGAATAGGTTTATAAAAAAATGTATAAAACTCTACCGAGTGAGTAGAGATTTTAAATCTCTACTGAGATTTAAAAAATCATAGGTAATTTTTTTAACTAATGAAAAATGAATGAGATAAAACTATAAGACTATATGATGTCTCTTTTTATTATCTGTCTTTACAATAAAAGAAATATGATTCCTCTAACACAACTTAATTATTTTTAAAAATACGCTTAACTTAGCCAGGAGAAAAACAAAATCTCACAAATTAAACTAATCTAATCAAAATGTAATAACTAAAAATCTAAACATGAAGTTGAGAGGGAATATAGAATGTTTAATAACAATCTATCATGAAAAAAACATAGATTACCAACTCTCCCGATGACAGCAAGGTTAGTGTCAAGCAAAAGCAACAGTTTATATAAGCCCTCTCACTATAGCAAATAAAGAACCTCTGTATGAGAAAATCAAACTACTCCGCAAAGTTTGGGAGAATAAATACTAGTAGATATGTAGGGAATCCAAAAAAGAAGGTAAAAATATTTATTAGATAAAAGGCAGGAGTAATGCAAAAACAGTAAATTACAATAAATGTAAATTGACACTATAAAATGTGTCCACATGAAACTGAAGATGCCGCTTATTATAGTAAGTTGGGAGTAGCAATATATGATGGCTCACAAGCCAAATCCAGCCCACTTTTTGTTTCTATCAAGTTTTCCTGACACACAGAGAAGCTGATTTGTTTATATTTGTCTATATCTGCTTTCACACTAAACTGGCGGCATTCAGTAGTTACAACAGAGACTGTGCGGTCTGCAAGGCCTACAATATTTACTATGTGCCCCTTTATGTAAAAAACTAGCCAGGCCCTATGGCTGAACGATAACTGTTTCCTCTTTACTTAGTACCTCAGAGTTGCACGTAACATCACTAAGATGTTTTTCTTGAGCCTGCTGTTCCAAAACTTGGAGTTCATATTCTGTAACACCCAATGACATCAAACACATTCCTTCTGTATCCTCTTTCAACTTATTGTCTTCCAGCCCATCTTCAAAGCCGTCTTCTTGTTTCACTTCATTTCCAAGCATAATTTCTTCATCGTGCATAAATAAATTATCAAATGCTGGGTCCCATGTCTCCTCTTTTTCAGGAAAAACTTTATCTTCTCTAATTTGTTTTTGTTGCACTCCACTAGCAGCTGGGCCTTCCAAAGGCAGCAAGTTAAAATTACTGCTGGGCCTCAGGTCAGTCTCTGCAGAACCAAGTATCGCCTTTCTCAGGGAACATAGATTTTCTGAAATATCCTTCAATAGTATAGAAACCCTTAAAAAATGAAGAAAAGTTCATTTAACTTCAACTACATTAACTATAGAGACAATATGTTAATGCTTTTAATGAGTAGAAACTTTCTAAACTGACTTCACTTCAAGGACATGTTTTATTTCTCACTTACACACTGGATTAAATTTGTTCCTCATTGCCTAGTGCCCACTATACACTTACGGCTGGTGGACTACTCCCTAATACAGCCACGCACCTCTGCACTCAACAGTGGACTTGCATGCTCATTCAGTGCAGCAATATTTGGTCCCATAGTAAATGTTCATACCAGCCATACTTTTTATGCTAATTAATTTAACTAAATGTAAATCAAATCATAACCACTATCATCAAATGATACATAACCACTAAAAAAAACCCCACCATTTCCCTGAATTTTAAGTTGAACATGTGATGTGGAAAGACTTAGCAAATTTTCTCTAAAAAAATAAAGTTCTGTCTGATTCTAGTTCAAATAACGGTAACAGTTTGGAGGAATAATCTTAGGACTCTATTAAAATTGCTTCAAGTGTCTTAAGCTTTCACTCCATTTGTAAAATGTTTGACATTTTACAGTTTCTGTAGAAACTGAAACTGGAAATTGTAGATGATACATATGGGTATGTTTAAACAAGAAATATTCTGCAAAACTCCACATATCAGGCCTATATTTAATGAAAAAGTCCTGATGTATATCAAAAGATTATAAACACACATACCTTAATATGTTAAATTAAAAGAAAATGTTTATGATCTTAAATGAACTGAATTTAACTTCTTAAATATAGATGATAATATAACATTTTAACTAAGAAATAGCTATATTAAAACCAAACCTGATTAACTAAATAAGAAAACCACAGCTAGACTGTAAAATGAGGCACACTATCTTATCTGTTGGTTATAGGGCTTATTATAACAAATTTTAGTTACTTCATAAAAATAGAAATGAAAAGGAATATGTTGAGAAAAGACAAATTTTACTATTTAACTAATGCTTTTGTTTAGCTCTTCCAATTTTTCTGTATTAAAATCAATCCTTAATAAAATCTGACATAATTTTATTAAATTGATGGAGGTGACACTGGTTCGTAAGATTATGTGACTCTTAAGCGTACAGTTCTATGAGACACAATCTGTACGTTGCATTGTGTGTTCACCACTCAAAGTCAAGTCTCCTTCCATCACCATTTGTTTGACCCCATTCATCCTCTTCTATCTCCTCCACCGCCCTCCCCTCTGGTAACCACCACACTGTTGTCTGTGTCTATGAGTTTTTGTTTGTTCGTTTGTTCATTTGTTGCTTTCTGGTTTACATCCCACCTGTGAGTGAAATCATTGGCCACAGTGACAATAATCAAAACAGCATGTTTTGGCAGAAGAACAGACACACAGACCTATGGAAAAGAACCGGGAGCCCAGAAATAAAACCATACATATAATGGCAAATAATTTTTGATAAAGGAGCCAAAAACATACAATGGGGAAAAAAAAAGAAAAAGAAAGCCTCTTCAAGAAATGGTGCTGAGAAAAACTGGAAAACCACATACAAAAAAATGAAATTAAACTATCTGTTACCACACACAAAAATTAACTAAAAGTACATGGAAGAAAGCATAGGCACTAAACTTACGGACCTCGGTTTTAGAGAGAATTTGATGAATTTGACTTCAAAGGCAATGGAAGTCGAAGCAACAATTAATGAATGAGGCTGCATCAGACTAAAAAGTCTCTGCACAGCAAAGGAAACCACCAACCACACAAACAGGAAACCAACCAACTGGGAGGATATATTTGTAAACAATACTCCTCATAAGGGGCTAACATCCAAAATACATAAAGATTTCATATAACTCAACAACAGAAAAATACAATCCAATTTAAAAATGGGAGAGGACCTGAACAGACTCTTCTCCCAGGAAGACTTACAAATGGCCAACAGATACTTGAAAAGATGCTCAGTTTCACTAGCTAAGAGGAATGCAAAGCAAACCACAATGGCATGCCAACTCATACCTGTTAGAAGGGTTATTATCAACAAAACAAGAAATAACAAGTGCTAGAGAGGTTATGAAGAAAAAGAAGCCTTCATACACTGCCGGTAGGAATGTAAACTGGTACAGACGCTATGGAAAACTGTATGAAGGATCCTCCAAAAATTAATAGAACTACTATAGTAAACACCCTTTTCCGGGTATCTACCCCAAAATTTTGAAAACACTTATCTGTAAAGATATGCGTACTCCTATGTTCATTGCAGCGCTATTCACAGTGGTCAAGGCATGGCAACAACCCACAGGTCCTCCAATGGACGACCGCACTGAAAGATGCGGTACACACACAGGGGAATGCCGTACTACTCAGCCCTAACAAAAGATGACAAACTGCCATTTGCAGCAACGTGGATGAGTCTAGGGTGTCCAACTTCATGGCGTCTCTGGGCCACACTGGAAGAAGAAGAGCTGCCCTGGGCCACACATTAAATACATTGCAACGCATAATCACAAAAATAACTCATAATGTTTAAGTAAATTTACAATTTTGTGTTGGGCCACATTCATAGCCATCCTGGGCCACATGTGGCCTGTGGACTGTGGGTTGGACATCCAGGGAGAGAACATCATGCTAAATGAAGTCAGACTGACATGACTTTCGAAGTTCTGTATTGATGATTCAGATAAAGATTTGATCATTCATGGAAATAAACTATCAAAAGTCCTGAGTTATTTTATGAGTTTTTAAAAATTTTTTATTGATTGATTTTTGGAAAGAGAGAGAGAGAGATATCAATTTGTTGTTCCACTTATTTATGCATTCATTGTTTGATTCTTGCTGACCGGAAATCAAACCCTCAACCCTGGCTTATCAGGACAATACTCTAACCAGCTGAGCTACCCAGCCAGGTCTCTTTCACGACTTATTTTCACACTGAAAACAGCACCATTACCAGTACTCCAGAGTTGAGCTGAGTTTAACCTGACAAAGTCTACATCAAAAAACCAAAAGCAAAATTAAATTCAAACCTAAAAGCTCACTAATTCTAACACTCTAAAACTCTTCAAACCTTATTCTAATACAAATATAAAATCTGTATGTAAATACATTAAGGAAACAGGTATGTGCCCCAGTATAACTGTTACATGCAGAGGGAACGCTGTGACATACAAACATAGCAACGGTGGCACACAGACTGATTGACAAGACCGTAAGGACTCATTTATTCCATGCTAACACCAGGGCATAGCACGTTTCATGTAAGGTAACTGTTCACTCTGAATACATCAAAAGCTGCCCTGCCTTCTTCAATAATGAATAGTGTGCTTTCCCTTCTTTCACGGGATTGTTATTACGTATTAGTAGCCTGCAGACAACCTCAGCACCCAGCAGAATGTCAAGCGCCTGAGAGCAATACAACAGACAAGTACTGAATGTAAATCGAAGACTAAGTAGTACTGTACAGTCCAATACTTTCCCATGTCCCTGAAGCATAGAGTTGTTTCCTCTTGTAACAAACCTCAGACTGCTCTGTTTTAAGAGTTTTTAAATTGTATAATTTTGTCCTCTCCTTCAGAGATAGCCGACTGCAACTTCCAGCTGTTGTACTGAGCGTAACATTCCTTATCTATACCTGGTTTTCACTGTAACTGGATACCCAAGCTTGTCAAACTCTATCTATAAACGAAGAGCAAATATGCTCTGACTGTGGTCTCAAGCACTCCACTGGAAATACAGTTAAGTGAGCCTGAATTCACGTTCACAGCATGTATTTTGGCTGTTCAAAGGCCTTTTTTGTTCCCTTCCGGTTCTTAAGTACAATCTAGATATACCAGGTAGTACTGTCGAGTTGTTACAAAAAGCATTAAATTAGAAATTTAACTAGTTCTTATCTTGACATTAAAATTTTACAAGATCTGTCTTTCCTAAAAATGAATCCAGTATTTTCCATTCTCAAGTTTTAAGGAAATCTTAATGCCAAATCTTTCTGGCATTACAAAAAGCATTCACAGAAATTTTAATTACTAGAACAAAAATCTGAAATACATATATACATTATATAGTGATTTTTTCTTCTTTTATGGAGGAAAAAATGTAAAAATGAATAAGAAACAGCTTTATTGGTATCCTTCCCCATTTGAGAGGTGCATCTTTCAGAAATTCTCAAAGCTACATAAAAACTACTTACACAAATTGCTAGGGGGAAATGACTTTGAAAATGAACTGTATTTCTATATCATATTTTGAAATCTCCTAATGAAAATATACCATAAATCTTATCCAACAAAGAATACATTAACATTCATTTTGTCAAAGTCAGAATTGTATTGCAACTAACCGCCTCCCATTCCTACAAAGTGTCCTTCAGCAGAGGCTTGGATAAAGAAGATGTGGTCCATATATACGGCGGAACACTACTCAGCCACAAGAAAGGTGAAGTACTGCCATTCACAACGACAGGGATGGATCTTGAGAGTACTATACTAAGTGAAATAAATCAGTCAGAAAAAAAGCCAAGAGCCATATGATCTCACTCACATGTGGGAAATAAAGCTGAAACTCAGAGACACAGAAAGACAACAGCAAGGCAGTTAACAGAGGGAAGGGTTGGGAGGTAGTAAAGGGTAAAGGGGGCCAAATATATGGTGATGAAAGATGACCTGACTTTGGGTGACAGGCACACATGCGCTACACAGATCACGGATCACAGAAATGTACACCCGAAACCTACGTGACCCATGAGCCAAGGTCAACCCCCCAAATTTATTTTTTAAAGAATTCTATTTTAACTAAGTCCTTCATATTTCTACAAAGTATTTTTGCCTCAAAATTACAATGCCACATTGTAATCATTCATTGTTTAAGAACAATCCTGCTTTTAGAGACTGAACAACAAAGTCATTTAGCAGTGAAGACTAGGGCAGGCCCTGGTTTTGAACAGAGCTGGCTCTGCAACACCAGTCAGTGGTACCGCGTCTGTTACAGTATACAGATGACGTAGAACTCTCATAGGACAATCAGGTAACAGAAAAATGAAGCTAGCTACTAGGTACAAAAGTTTTTCATTTTAGATTTTTTATTTCATCTATTTATAAATGTTTTATTTACAGAATTTTTAACCGATTTCAAGTGACCAAACTAAATATAATTAAATGAAAGATGCTCAAAAACACAAAGAAAAAGACAAGTTTGAATTTTAAATATTTTCCTTCACATGGACTTATGAATTTTATTTTGTTTTGTTTCATAAAACAAAGCAGACAAAAAAGCCTGAAACTTTCTGATGCATAACTCAACAACTGGAAAGATATTTCTCAAATGTATATATCTATACGTATGCATCTATATGTAGACACATTTACATGAGTCTACCTTAATGAACAATAATTTCTTACAGATAGGAAAATGCAGTAAGAACAAACATTGATTTAAAAAAGAACAAAAGATGATACTTCACCTCTGTGGATTTTCCAGTTTCCTGACAGTGTCAGGCAGATGCTTAGCCAGACCCACCATGTCCTCAGACATTGCTGTCAACTGCGTCCTCACATCACTAGGTGTTACTTCTTCTTCTGAGGGAAACAAAGAGTCAATATTAATTTGTAAACCACAAAGCAGAGATACCTAGTTAGCCATTTATTTAAACAGCATTAGGACTCACATTTTTATTTTCTTCCTTTAAGTAAATTGCAACAAAATGACTTCCTTATCCTATTTCCAAATCATTTGTCACTTTACTTCCCTTTCAAATTTTTGCTATTTAAGTTTTAGAATAAATTCAGAATGATCTGCATTCATACATATTACAACCCAGTAGTTATCCACTAAGGCAGAAGATAGAAATGAGAGTCTGAACCCTCTGCACTATTTTAAAATCAGAAATTGATATTATACCAAGTGGGCTGCTTGTTAAACACAGTTGATAAAATACAGCCTTACCCATCAGCCATGGCTTACTGGCCTCACAATCAGTCTTCACCAAAATGAAATGCAAGCCTGTCTAATCACTGATCATCTTCCGAACTCTCAACTTCATTCTGTCTGGCACGTCATTCTCCATCTACACCACAAACCCACTCTCTTTTTCCAAGCCCTTCACCAGCTTAGAAGTCCTTACTCTCCATTACCACTTCCCTTGCCCTTCGAGTAGCCCAGCTCCAGGGCTAGTAGCCCTGGGAAGCATGTAACACCTGCTATTCCTGACTGCTGCAGTTACCTTACCATCTCACAACCACATCTCGTTCATTGACGATTTTAGCGCCTGGTTCACTGTCTTTCCCTTCACTACCATCCTGTGATAATTCCTAGTGAGTCCAACATTCACAGAGATGCTCCACCTAAAAGTGTGGGCTTTTCAGCTCCTTGATCCCTCCATTTCCTCAACTGACCTCAGCCACCCATCCCCACAGTTATATACCCTGACTTCATGACTTCCACTGAAGTCACCACACCCAAACTTGAATGGGAAGCACTCTACCCTCTACAACAGCATGATCTCTTCCTTTCAAACACACTTTCCAAAGTACAGCAATTCTTCCCCCCTTTCACAGCCAAATCTACTGACTCTCGCACCTTTTCCTCACCCATTATCCCTCCCACTCCCACTTATCACCATATCTTACTTTCCTTTTTTAAACCTATTCCAGTAATCACAGGTTCATTTGGACTCACTCTTTTGCTCATTCCTCCCTGCATGGTACTTACCTAGCTAAACCCCTACTCTAATTAAACCCAGCTTTTTTACCTATTTGATGCCTTGACCCCCGCAGTTGAATATAGCTGAAAATAAAACACAACTATGATGACTCACCTCACCTGGTTTTAAATCCATGCCACAGATCTCAAACCCTCAGTAATGATTGTTAATCATTCCACATTTCCTGCTTTCCCAATCTCAAGATGACGATTTCATACCTCTTCCTTCTCTCCAGCCTCCAAGAGCAGCTTGTCCCTCCATTTACTCAGGGGACGGCTCAACTCTTAGTTCAATAAGAAAACAGACATGCAGAGAAGAGAACCATCTCATCTTCCCTCCCCGATCTGCCACTTAGTCTGTGTTAGTATCACTACTCCCATTTACAGCAAGATGTCTTGAAAGAGGTGTCGGCACTCGCCGTCTCAAATTTCCCCCTCCCATTTTCCCCTACTCTGACTGCAAGTAAGCTTTCCGTCCCACCAGGACAGCGCAGCAGTGTCTGTAAAGTCACCAAGGAACTCCCACTGTCAAAGCCAATGGTTAATGCTGGTTTCTCATCTCACTCAAACTCTCCAAGGCATTTAAAACGCTAACCTCCTCTTACTTAAAAAATGTTTTCTTCACTTAGTTTCTGAACACACACCTCCTATACTTGCTCCATCGTTACCAACCCTCCTCGGTCCCCCTTGCTGCACTCTTGTCTGCCTGCATATGTATATGCCCCTGATGTCAATACCTGGGCCTCTTCTGTTCTTGACTCCATTCACTCTGCGTTTTATCACATCCAGTTTCACAGTTTTAACCACACTCTGTACACTGATGATTCCCAGAGTTGCACCTCCAATGTCGACCTGTCCCTTAACTACAGAATCACACTGCCAACTAAGATGTCTTCTTAGATATCAATAGGCATTAAAATTTGGCATGTCCGAAACTTAAACCTAGGTTTTTGTCACCAAAATCTTCTCCGCCATAATCTTTCCACCAACTGGTCCTTCCACTCATTCAGTTAATCCAACCAAAGTATCTTTATTGTTTGCTCAGTCTTGACATCTCTTCCCTTATGGAGAATTCATCAACAAACCCTTCACAATATATATCTTCAAAATATATACTGAATCTATCACTTCCCATCTCTATTGCTACCAACCTAAACCAAACAATTATCATCTCTCGCCTGGTCTATGACAATAGCCTCCTAACTGATTCCCTTGCCTAAACACTTGCCCTCTTATAGCAGCCAGAAAAATCCTTTTAAAATAAAAATTTAATCATGCCATTCTCCTGCTCCAAATCCTGTAAGGGTTTTTCCATCACTCATCATTGCATTTATTTTAATTAATAAAATATGAAGTCAGATTCATAATCTATAAGGTCCTAAATGATCTGGCTCCAGGTACTTTTTGAGCCGCATTTCCTCCTGCTCTCACGTCCTTACTTCGCTTCGTTACACCTCCTCTTTCTCCACAAGGCAGCCACCGCCCTCCCAGGCGTGGCTCTTCCTTCCCCTCCGCCTGCGACACCCTCCCCGGGACGTCTGTGTGGCTCCTTCCCTCTCACCTCAGTCAAACAAGTGAAGGGACGTGGTCTCTTTCGTTCAGTGAATTTCCCCAGCAACCGGAACAGGGCCTGGCCCATAATAAACACCCAACAAATTCGTTATATGAACAAATACATGGATATTCCCTTTCCAAACCAAACTTCTGAAAAAGAAGTTGTCCCATCATTCCACTACTGCCCTGTTGCTCAGGTCATCACACCTGCTCTTCTGTTTTAATAGCACACGCTCTAATGACTCTTCCTCACTGAAACACTCTTTTGTCACGTAGTACCTCAAAGCTGCGGTAGTAACAGGTTACAAATAACTGCCATGTTGCCAAGTCTAACGATGAATTCTAAGTGGTCAGTGTCTCAGCCTCTCAGTGTAATTTAAACCTGTTGATAACATCCTGCTACTTAAAACATGTTCTCTGCTTGGCCTTCTACACACCACACTCCTAAGTGTCCATATGCCTGTGGCTACTCCTCTGCTGTCCCCTCCTCCAGGAAAACATTAAATACTAAGAGTTCCTCAAGCTTCTCGGCCCCAGTTCTTTATCTCCAACTCCCAATTCTTTATTTTTAACGCAAACTGTCTTCTGAGTTACAGCTGTATATCTAATGCCTACCGGCCCCTTCCATTTTGCTATCTCCCAGGCTTCCTCCCTCTAACGTACCTGAAATCAACCTTATGACTCCTCACCCCAAATCTTGCTCCTCCTCTTCAATGTTCTTCATCCCCGTTGCTCACACCAACAACACAGAAATGATCCCTGACACGTGGCTCTTATTATCATCACATCAAACTCCGTTGAGTCCACAGCTCTATAAATCTACTCTGAATCTATCCACTTCTCTCCATCCTCCCTCCAACCAAGCCAGTTAACCATCACCTCTCACTTGGCTTCTTCCCCGTGACCCTTGCCCTCCTACAATCAACCCATCTTCTGCTCTGCAGCCCAAGTTACTAGTTAATGTATTTCATGTCACCCCTGCATTTAAAACCCTCGATAGCTGTTCTGCTTTCCTTTTTCAGCTTCTCCTTCATTTCTCACCCTGTCATATTCTTAAAATTTTAAGATTTTATTTACTTATTTTTAGGGAGAGGGGAAGGGAGGGAGAGAAACACTGATATAAGAAACATTGATTGGTGCCCCGACCTGGGACTGAACCTGCAACCTTTCACTTTGTGGGATGACACTCAACCCACTGAGCCACACAGGTCAGGGCCATCCCATCATATTCAGTGTTTCACCACACCGAACTACTTCCAATTGCCTACCAGTACCACTTCTCTTACCTCTGAAACTTTGCACCTGCTGCCGCCTGTGCCTATGACATTCTTCCTCTACTTTTCAGCTAGCTAACTCCCCCGCTTAATTCAGGTCTGGCCTTAAATGTAACTTCCTCCAGAAAACAGTCTCTAGATCAGGGATGTCAAACTCATTTTCACTGGGGGCCACCTCAGCCTCACGGTTGCCTTCAAAGGGCCGAATGTAATTTTAAGACTGTATAAATGTAACTACTCCTTAACAGTTAAGCGAGAGCTTGGCACTGCCGCTGGGTAAAAACAAGGTGCTGGGCCAGATACAACACGGTGGAGGGCCGGATTCGGTCTGCGGGCCTTGTGTTTGCCACCTGCGCTCTAGTACCTCCAAATGTGCACTGGGTGTCTCTCCTACGTGCTGACCATAGCACCCGTTTTCCCCACATCAAAAGACTCATCACCCCTCACGGCAACTGCCTTTTATGTTCATCTACATCCCCCTCAAAACTGGAGGTTTTCCTCTTAGGAAACAGATTCATGCCAGTCTTGTTCACTACTGTACCTCCATATCGTAAAGCACTCAACAATATTTAATAAATGAATAAATATGTATTTAACTACTATATTGTTTAGAGCTTATTCGCTACCATTTTGGAAATAAGCTAATATTTTAACAATGTGAAATAACGTGTAAATATCATTTTATTTTCTGTTCTAATCTATTAATAAGAAAACAACATAACCTTATAACATAAACCAAACATGGCCATTTGAAAATATCATCTATAGATAAACCACAGAAACCGAGAAAGGTGAGGTCGATTCATCTTAATAACAGGATGGAGGGAGAGGGGGAAGGGGGCAGAAGACAAGGAATGCTAATCTTAGTTACAGCTCACTGGGATACTGGTCAAGTTACTTCACTTCAGATGTCATAATATACATACACATATAATGTGAGAGAGAATAAACGTGAGGGTCAAAAATGTAGTATTGCAATGACAGGTACACGGGTACCAGGACTCTAGTACTGACATATAAATATATGTTACTTCAGTGAAAAATATCTGAAACTTTCCTCAAAAGCATTTTCTTCAAAGACAAAACTGAAAGTGTAACCTACGAGCAATTCTGCAAACCAGAAAATCAGGAATTCCCTCTGCTGAATTGAAGTCTATTATGAGTTGAATACATTCTTATATTTTGTTCTCTAGATCAACTTCATAAACCTACCGTCTGCCTTAGCTAACCCAGGTAATTCCCAGCCACATTACCTTTGGCTACAGAGAGTCAGCAGGCACTCATCAGAAGAGGGTTTCCATTGAAAAAAGTACGAGAAATCTTCTACCTCAACACACAGAGGAGGGTCAAACACAGAGGGCGTGGGTCCCTTCTCACAACAATTATAAAGGACGTTATATAATTTCACATGAGGAGGTCATCCCATAGATTTAAGTTCATTTAGCAAAATCACTTAATTTAATTGACATCTTAACACACATGACTATTTAAAGTCTCCAAAAGGATGCCACAAGAATAGTAATAAGAACTCTATACGGATCAATATAGGTGCTTTTAACAGCATGTCCCTTTTAGTGCCCACAACTATCCTATGAAACAGATATTATGCTGCCCTGGCTGGCATAGCTCAGTGGGTTGAGCGTGGGCCTGCGAACCACACAATTGCGGTTCGATTCCCAGTCAGGGCACATGCCTGGGTTGCAGGCCAGTTCCCGGCAGGGGACTCATGAGAGGCAACCACACATTGATGTTTCTCTCCTTCTCTCCTTCCCTTCCTCTCTAAAGATAAATAAATAAAATCTTTAAAAAAAATTAAAATTTAAAAAAAGACTAATTTGTACAACCAAAACTATTTTTTTAAAAAAAGAAATAGATATTATGCTATCACCCACATTCTTAACATAGGGAAACAGGTAATTCCAGGTCATGTGGCTGGGGCTCACCACTGGTCCACGTGACCAGAAAGCCCACATTCTTCCACTCTACTCCCGTCTGCTATCACCAACCTAATGAGATCTCTGAGAAAGGCAGGCAAGCTGAATGAAGTGGCCATTCTTCTTAGAGAAAAACAGCAGAGCTGTCCTACCCTGGAGAAAACTTAAGAAATTTAAACCAGGGCGCACTATAAAGCATCTTACACACTTTATTTGTAGAAAGGATATATTTAGTATAATCTCTACATGAGGAGGTAGCTAGTTTTACCATTGATGTTATAAAAGCCACAAAGTCTCAACTACAGAAGCCTAATACGCAGCAATGCTACAGAGCAAAAGCAGTAAGTCCTGCTTTGCCACAAGTAACATGCCTGAAACCCTCAGCTTTGGCCAAATAGGTGTCAACCAAATGTCGAAACTGCTCAGACACTTAAGAAGTTGTAATAATACTAAATACTTTGCAGGTGTGAATATTGTTTTTTGGAGCAAAACCTCACAAAAGAGTACATTCAAATTTTATCTTTTATTTTTAGATCATAACATACCTTTATTTATTGAAAACAATTGCGCAGCATCACTCAAAATTTCTAATTTCTGATAAATGATGAGACCAGCCTATGGAAAAACAGGAAAATGAAAGATCATACTAAATAACAATCACCAAAATTATGACTCATCTTTACAAAAATCCAAAACAATAATTCCCAAAGCACCCAGAAGCTGAATTCAAGTTACACAAACATTCGGATGTCTTCATCTAGTCACCACACCAACTGTGAGAGTGGAGAAAGCGGTCTATGCTTTAAAATAAGTTTCAGCTTTCGTGTTTTAACATGTAATATTACAAGAAGGTATCCAAATCAAATAACTTACAAATGGAATCTGACAAAATGCAATCAAGTAAGAGAAGTATGTTTTGACTACAGGTATCTAATTCCACATATCTCATTAAATCAGCTGAGAATGTTAATCAGTGTATAAACAGTCCTTCTTCTAGGTACTGCTGATAGGGTCAAGTCATACTATTCATGACTAAAAACACTATGGAATTTGAGCTAGTTCTCAACAAGTTTTATATTTTTTTAAAAAACAGAACATGCCCTGACTGGTGTAGCTCAGTGGATTGAGCGCGGGCCTGTGAAGCAAAGGGTCGCCGGTTCGATTCCCAGTCAGGGCACATGCCTGGGTTGTAGGCCAGGTCCCCAGTAGGGGGACACATGAGAGGCAACCACACATTGATTTCTCTCCCTCTCTTTCTCCTTCCTGACCCCTCTCTCTAAAAATAAATAAATGTATTTTTTAAAAATTTAAAAAAAAAAAAACAGAACATAAAAGGTTGTGGGTTCGATTCCCAGTCAGGGCACATGTGATCAATGCCCAAGAGGCAACTAATCAATATTTCTCTCACACATCAATTTCTCTCTCTCCCTCCTCCCTCCTTCTCTCTTCCTCTTCTCTCTTTCTCTCTCTCCCTTCCTCCCTCTCGCCCCCCATCCTGTCTCTCTAAAATCAATAAACATATCCTTGGGCGAGGATTAAAATAAATAAATAATTAGTTAAAAGTATGAACTACAGAAAAAGTAATTCACTGAGGCATAAAATACACTTCACACAAAAAAAAACCCAGCAGTGCTGTATATAAAGATAAGCCCAGATTTCACTATGTACAAATATGCAAATATGAAAACGCATTAGACTAACAGCAGTGAGAAGCTAAATCTGGAGGCAATTTTTCTAAATTTTTACCACATTTTAAATATAAATATAAGAAATAAGGTCAGCTTCAATATAGAAACTGTCTTGTAATTATTTTTATTCTGAAGATGCTTACAAATCAAACACATCATCAATACCATTTGTGCACACTCAGTTTCAGCTCATTAGCCTTCCACGTTTTCAGCAAGCTCCTACTTTTTACATACAAATTGGACATTATTTTGGCTTCATGACAATAAAAATAACTGGCACTGAACAATCTGTTGGTTGGTACTTTTTAACTAATACTGAGAATTAACAGCTTCGCCAAATGCCTTCCTAAGCATTTTACTGCCAAACTGATCGAAAGTATCTTAGTTGAGTTTGTGCCGCTAACCACAACAATATTTTCCTAAAGTCATTTATTATAGGTTTAAAAAACACGTCAGAGTCTAAAGATCTTCGGTACGTACATAAGCATCAGTGGCTGCGTACAGTTTCTGGTCCTCGGTGAGGGGATAGTTTTTCCAGTTGCTGCAGCGGAGGGCACGGTCTTTCCGAAGCTGTTTACCAAAGAGGTGTTTCACCAAACCATTGAGGCTCCAAGACTCTGCAGATTTTAGCTAGAAATCACGAACAACCAACATAGCAAAAATCAGTCCCTTCTATTTCCATACATTCTTAAAAACCACCACATGATCATGCCACAAAATGTTATACCGAAATAAAAAGCATAGATAGTCCTCACAGACTTCCTGTCATTAAAAACATTATTTGCCGTCTACCCATCTACATAATCAGATTTAATTCTGGAATTTCCCCAAAGTAGTTACTAAAAGTCTTGGACTATAAAACTATTGTTTCATGGGGGGGGGGGGAATGGATAGATTGGCAGGCTTTCTACCCCCCAGCCAATTAAATACTTAGCTAAATACGAGAATTCAACCTAATGACTATATTTATAAAATACGTTGAACACAGAGGACGAACTGGTGGTCAAACTTCACAAACAGCATCATACCACAAGAGCTGCATTATGCTCTCCCTTAAAAAAAAAAAAGGTGTTGGGCACTGATGTAAATGGATTAAAACAGATTAAAGAGATAAACTTAAAACATAATATTTAAATTTGAAAATAATGAAACAGTGAAATAATACTCATACAGGGGAGGTACTTGCTTAAAGAAACTATTTGCTAAGGCAACAGGTTAAAACTGAAGGTTTTCATTATGAAACACTCATTTGAGACTTATTACAAAAACTTTTTGAAAAAAAACGTCTAACAGATAGGAGGCACATTCTGTGAAACACAAATTTATCTTGCTTGGGAAAATACTATATGTATTGTCACTACCTTTTCATTGGCAACATCTGTTAGTTCCACAAAACCCTTCAATTTGATGTCAAAGTCCCGTAGAAGTTTCCACTGATCTCCTTCAATTCCAACACCTGCCTTTTTAACTGCTTCATTTTCAAGCAACATTTTTAATCCCTGAGGAAAAACTATAACATTTTATTATTATTTTCATAGGTTCTATTAAGCATGACGGATTTTTCTACTTCTTACACATTAAATGTTTAAATTTGCATTAATGTTCATGTTAAGTTAAAATTCAGATAGTCACTTTATTTCTTTTCTTACCTAAAGCAAAAACTCCTGGTTGATAAATGACAAGAAAACCTACTAGTTTGAATGCTACCCCTGCTAACACTAACAGTGCATTTCTGGTCATTTAGCCTCTCTAGACTTCGTTCTTTACTCTCTAAAGCAGGAATAACATCAACGTCTGAAAGAAATGTGAAAATTAAATAAAACAGGATATGAATGAATCAGGTGGAACACAAATACTTACATAAGTGTAAGGTAATGAAAGAAGTACCAGCTACATCAAGAGCTTAATTTTATAGGGATACAACTGACATAATTATCTACCACACAAAAATGGAACAAAGAAAAGAGATACCAACCTGACATAGAGGAAATATGAAACAAGTAACATTTGCTCTCCGACACACACAACTGAATTAATGCAACTCGGCTCAGTTTCCCTTTGCGGTATATCGGGGGCCATTCCATGTCAAATCCTATCACGTCTCCCTCAGAAAGACTCATTCTACAGCGGAAAAACAGTGTAAGTTAATTACACTGGAATGTTAACTTCTGTGTAACTAAAGACCTCATGCAAAAAGTTAAAAGACAAGCCACAGTTGGTAGAAGTTATCTGTGATACATATAACTGCTAATGAATAGCCATAAAATATAAAAATTCCTTGAAAAGTCTATAAGAAAAAGACAAATAATCCAGGAAAAAAAGAGAAAAATGCAGATAATTCAAAAAATGAAATCCAAATGACCAATACATCAAAATAAATATGTGAAAACATGGGACCTCATTAGAAATCAGAGAAATGAAAATTAAATCTATACAACATTGCATCTATCTGACTAGCAAAAATTAAAGCTGCACAGTAATTAAAATAATTCCGCTTCGGGTAAAGATGGAATAACAGTGATCAGACAACTGTTTCCTCCCTGAACAAATTTAAAAAATGGACAAAATATGTACACAATAGTTTTCAGACACTAAACAAGCAGGGCTCTCTGAGGGAAGGGAAACCAAGGGTGAGCTCTACAGCTGCCCCGCTTTCCCCCTGGAACACTTCCAGACGGCAGGACGGGGAGGAGACTGTCTCGCACTGCTCTGCATGGAGTAGCCAAGGTCTGAGCCAGACAGATGGGGGAAGTTATGGGTGGAGTTCTGGAGCGCAGGGAGCCAAGCAAGTAGGGACATTCAAGCACAGAGTGAAACTGTGAGGCTGGACAAAGAACAGTCAGTGAAAATTAAGCTTAACAATTAACTCCTAGGGCTTACATAGAGGTAAGAGGCTTTAAAGTTCTGAACAGTCAGAATAGGGATTCTTTTTTTTTTATCTTTTACATATTTTATTGTTGATGCTACTACAGGTGTCCCAATTTTTTCACCCTTTGGCCCCCTCCTGATTGAAAGTAGGGATTCTTATTGGTTATGTAGGGCAGTCAGCAAAGACTCCAGAAGCGTCATACCTTATTGTACGGCTAAATTATATCCAGAGTAAAGGCTACTGTAGAAACGTACCCTGATCAAGTTTAAAAATAAGCCTCAAAATATAGTTAATACTGTCTGACAGAGCAAAGCTCCTTTCGCTGAAGAAAGACAACAAAGTCTAACATTCAACAAGATAAAATCACAATGTCCAATCGAAAATTGCCAGCCATGTGATCCATAATCAATATAAAAATCACTTAATAAAAAAAATAATTAGAATGGAATTAACAGGCAATTAAACGTTATTATAAACACATAGAATATGTTCAAAGATTTAAAATAAAATATGAATATGATGAGAGCCAAAATGGAACATATTTAAAAAACAAAACCACTTCTAAAGAAAAATACAATAAAATTAAAAATTCACCAGATGGGAAAACAGCAAATCAGAGACCAAAGAACAAAATAAGTGAACTGGTAGCCATTGCAAAAGACATTATTCAAACTGAAACACAGAGAGAAAAAGAAAGAAAAGCAAAAAAAAAGACTAAAAGAAAAGAGAGCCTCAGGACCAATGGCACGGTGTCAACCAATCTAACTTGTGTATATACAGACTGCCAGAAAGAGAAAAGAGTAACAGGATAAAAGACAAAAATATTGAAGGAAATATTCAAATTTGATGAAGCTATGATCAGATTCAGAAAGTTCAATGACTCCCCACACAAGATAAACACAAACTACACTAACAAGGGCACATCATAATCAAATGGTTATGAAAACCTGTAAAAGCAAAAATCTTCAAGACAGCCAGAGGAGGTAGGAAAAAAACCTGCCTGCCTTCCACAAAATGCATACAAGTCATCAAAACTACATTGTACAAATGACTTATGACCCCTGTCTTCAGATATGACACACTAAGATGGTAGAGTTAATATATACAAGCATAAACAGCAGACTTTACCTTCTCAGTGGAACAAATAAAGTTCTACAGGAGACCCAAAAGTGGCCAGGTAACTGTAGTGAAAGTGAGGCACCGGACTGCTATTTCTAGAATACATCTATCATTGGCAGACCATTCTTTAATAAATAGCTTAATTTACCTCTCCTTCAAACCTAATGTATAACAGTTAATTAAAATAAAAACAGATGTAACAACTTCAAGAAAGATCTTAATGAATTCCCTACTATTTCTCCTTGTAAAATGACTCAAGAGGCTTAAATTGAATTACTGCTGATCCTTAATTTAAAAGATAATTTTTTAAAATACTAACAATCATTTCAAATGTTAGTTTAAGTGTCATTTGCTATAAATATTAACTAAATGCAACAGAGCCAACCACAACCATTATTCAGTATTACTATGTTGGTATTTTAATGAAATATAAAGGGGCACTTAGAGTTGGAATAATTCTTGCATTTTTTTCCAAATTGGTGAAATAAGCATGTATTCAATAGTTGTATACATAACATCTTAAGTGCTGAAAGTAAAAGAATATTAGCTAAAATAATAAAAAGGTTTATGAATGAACAAACAGGCAAACAAGTAATTTAATTCAGTGATTTCAGGTTTCTATTTACAAAGAATTAAAACTTGTAGGTGATATTCTACATGTATAAATAATTATCTATTGAACACACCTCAACTGTAAAACTCAGCACACTTCAAATACTACCATAATAGTAACCTTCTAAGGTTCCAAATTCCAATGAAACTAGGAAACTCAAATCTCTTACCTAATATCTTCTGACAGGAAAGAACAGTCATTAGGTTCATAGCTGTATACGATGGATCCAGTGAATTCCAAGAATGGAAGGCCATCTTCAAAAACACTCTTCTGAACAGACGCCTTGAGTTAAATAAAATTCCCAAATGGACCAAATAAAGTTCACACTAATAGTAAACGTTCACTGAAATAATAAATCTCACTAAAGCATTCAAACTGTAGTTCTAAGTTTGACAAACTAATGCCTTAGAGACCAATGAAGACACAAGGACAACGCAACAAAGACAAAGCCATCCACTGTAAAGTCATTTTTCTAAGAAGTTTATTTCCAAACTTCTAATGCTATTTTCATAACATCTATTTCACTGATTTTTTTCCTGAAATTGTATTAGTATTGTAGATAATGTTGCCATAAAATGCTGAAGACTGGTTGGTGAATCTTAAACATATGAGGACCTAAACTTGCTCAACTATAAAAGTTCAGCCAAGTAAACACTGTCTATATTATCTGAATTGCAACAAACTAGTAAGGTCAACCATGGAAACTGGATTTAAAAAGCAAAGTACAGAATAAGAAAACCTCATTTGTAAACCCAGTCAAGATGTGATCCCATGCACCCTTTCAATGATTAGATTCTGGTGCACTCACACAATAGCTACTCCAACCGAAATAATAACCTGAAGTTTAAAAGTAAGGACTGACTCATGTTACAGTCAAATTTACATAAAATTTCCCATCTGAAGGAACAACTGATAAACTACATACCTGCCTTTCTTCAATAGCACATCTCTTATTCTGCATAGACATCCATTCAGTAAGTTTCCGCTGATGTAGAGTTTCCAATTTTTCTTCATTCATCTTTAAAAGGATCTGTTGCAAAATCTAAAAACAATTACTCTGTAACTAAATAAAGTACAATCTTTGAAGAAAACTCAGACATAAGCCTGTCAATATTATTAGAGAAATAAACATATTTACGTAAAGTCAGTTACAGCCTCTAAGCCCAAATACAGGCTATAAGAGCTGGAACTGAAAAAAAAACAAAAAACAAAAACAAAAACAGACATAATATGCTAGATCTAACAACTACACATTTAGCATTTCTTCTTTGTAAAATAAGTGAACCAGGTTAACTGAGTTCTAAGGCTCTAGTAGTTTCAAAATCCAATTCCTATATGATTCTGACCCATTCAAAGAATAATCTTGACCTCATTAACAGTGAGAATCCTTGGGTGTATAAATTGCTATACTGGTTGTCCTAAGATCTCAGTAAACTCAGCAAACTGTTAGATTTGTTCACAAGTCTACTTTAAAAGCAATTTTGTGTCAGATAAAAGCTTTTCTATATTAGGGATTTTTTTTTAATGCTCTTGGCCCAGCAAATGAATAATTTTCCCAAACAAGCATTTGCTAGAGGATATTTTTTTAAAATCTGTTAGTAGCCTTGAGGGCTCTCCTTACTGTAAACTGAACTTCAAGAATGATTATAGAAAATAAAGAAAAGGAGAACCATGACATACCCTTTCTGTTAAAGGTGAAATAGATCCATCATGTGACTTGTGTATACTAAATTGAAGTAGCCTTAGTTCTTAATAAAATTCTACAAACCCTTCACTTAGTTTCGATTATTTCAAATTTCCTTTAAAGCAGCAGCAATTTTGAATATACACTTGCTGATTCTTATGAAACATAACATTAACATAAAATAATAGAAATAACTATTTATGATTTAGGGAAAACCTGTTATCCCTGTTGACATTTAGCAATAGCTGAACAAATTATATAATATCTAACAATTATGCAAGCATAAACCCCACAAACAGAGAATATTGATTATCTACAGAAGAAAGATTTTAAAGATTACTTTAGCAAAATTTTCCACGTAGAACATGTTGGGAACCACCCTGCCTGGTTTCAGAAACTGTAACCCCTCGTGGCTAATGCTGAGTAAAAAGATCTTGAGACTATAAGCTACTTAGTCCTCCACTTTACCAGCTGAGCTATCGAAGGGAGTGACTATAAGCTACTTAGGAGACAAAGCTTAACTTCCTTGCAGGGTTACCGCTTTACCCTGCTTGGCCCTGGGCGGATGACTGGTTAGCCAATGATGGGTAAGATTCCTCAAAGGAGAAACAACCTAAGACAAGCATGGTCATGAAGGGGCCCTCAGGGAAGAACTTGGGGGGCTATAGAAAAAGGGGGTGATGGACCCTTGCCCCTCAGCTTTGACATAGCCCGAGTCCTCATTCTGTCTGCAAGAAGTCTCCTAATCTCTTGGCTGCCTTACTCCCCCTGCCTGACTTAAGCCTGAAACAATCCCTGAGGTGGGTGTGGCCCTGTGCTGGAAAGGCCGGGTTTCCCAGAGCTATTAGGCCTAAGAAAGAATGCATAAAATCCTATGAAACCTACTTTGCTAATACCCTCAATTTAAATGATAAGGGTCCAAGCATGAAATGACTTTGTTCCCCAAAGTTTTATGGCCCTTTAACTATCTGACCCTGACTCAGAACAAGCCCTCAGAGTTCTCTGAATGGTTATCTATTGTTTGATCATTACAACCTGACAATGATTGATGAGCTTTACATATACACCCTGTATTCTTATGCAAATAAACCCAATAAAAGCCCATTGAGGAACAGGCTCCTAGCCCTTCTCCTTTCAGAGTTCAGCCACCTTTCCTCCCCAAACAAATCATGTCTTTATAGACTTATTCTCATCTATGTCAGCTGGGGGGACCCTGCAGGCAAAGACCCCCCCCCCTACAATAACAAACTCCACTACCCTTATGCATTGGGAGGGAAAGGGTTAAGAGCAGGCTACTATCTCACTCTCCCAGCTGGGGAGGAGGAAGAAAAGACTTCACCCAGGATCCCAGTAACATTCTAATCACCTCAAACCAGATGGTAGCCTTGTAAACCTATCAGTGTTGCATCAACAGAAAAATACCAAAGAGTGCCTACTTAGACAGGCAAGGAAGCTCAGTAATTAAGAAAATAAACAGGAGATCCCAAACAACTTCCTTTGTGCATTTTTTTTTGGCACACTTTGCCCCAAACTACTGTTATTCCAAAACCGTAGCATGTCCTAATGCAGAACACAAGGGCATTTTTGGAATTTGTGTCTAACCACTTGGAGTTCCTCCACAAAAAAGGAATATTTCACTTGGAGTCCTCCACAAAAAGGAATATTTCACCTGTATTTGGTGCTTTGCCTATATTCTTTGAATCATTAGCAAAGTTTGGCAGTGGGTAAGATCTTTGATTCACTGAATCAGAATTGACAGCTCAGGTGTTGGGTGTTACCCCATGTATTATAGGTAACAAAATATGTAAAATATGTATGCTTTATTCAACGTAAAGCATTTTACAAATGTTAGTGGTTATTAATAAGTTTATATTTGCCACAAAGGAAAACCTTTGACGGGAGAATCAAAAGTTGGTCCCAAAGTGAGTGTGTGTGTGTGTGTGTGTGTGTGTGTGTGTGTGGTGTCTGTCCTTAATCTTACATCTTTAGGAAAAACCTAAAACCTGGCTTTACAAAGCCAGAACACTAGTCGTGGCTAAACACAAACCAGATCATTTGCAAAACTGCCAAAAAACTGAGGTTTCTGCAAATAATACACACCTGTATAAAAACAAACCATAAAATTTTAGGATTCTGTAATTCATTCATTCACAATAACAAAACAAAAATAAACTTCTATAACTTTCCCCTGCAACAACCTGCAACACTAAAATAATTTTAATTTAAAATGTCTAACTGTTAAATGTAAATACTTTTACACTTAAATTTCTGTCTAGATGATTCTAGGCAAAGCACTGAAAGTAAACTTGTTTACAAACTTAACATCTTTGTCAAATTTACTTAGATCTTGGGACAGATGAAAAACATAAAGAATATTAAAGTTGTAGAATAATTCACAATAGGGAAATTCTTCAACATTTATGAGGATTTTAATAATTGATTAGCTAAAGGTTATACTCTTAGAAGGGATTAAGTCATTAAATAATATAGAATGCTTATTTGTATGGCCATTTCATCACTGAATAAGAACTTTGACACATCTTCTTCTAGAATCAATCCTTATCATCCCATAATGCTTCATGTTGTGCCATTAAAGGATCTTAAATTCCTCTGAAATAAGTAACATATTTTGATTTGCTTTGGACTTCTCTGGAATCCTCTTGCCTATCCATCTAACACTACCTGCCACTTTTCAACCTTTATCACTTTTTTAAAGATTGTCATCTCTAAACAACAAACACCCTGAATTTCTCTTATTTTTCTGTTTTGTTTTGAATAGTCCAATTTGAACACATCTGTCTTTCAATGGAGAAATTCATCTCATTCACAGTTACTGTATGAACTTGAGTACTCCTTTTCATCTGACTTTGATGAGTATCTTACTTTCTTCAGTGCCCTCTTTATTCTTTTTCCATTTTTTCTGACTGGATGAAATTATCATTCGTATTCTTTTTTCCCATCGTCAATGTTAACATTTCACTTTTTTCCATCCTATTGTTACTATACTATCTCAAGTGACACCTTGAGAAGGACTCCTTCCCAGACTTTTCTTAAGATCAAAAAAATGTCCCCTTGTTATGGACTGAACTACGCTTATCCTTCCCCAAAAACAGTATATTGGCATTCTAACCCACATTACCTGAGAATGTGACTTAATCTGGAGTCAGAGCCTTGTACCACAGAGGTAATCAAATTCCCATGAAGTCATGAGAGTGGTTCCTATCCAAAATGAGTGGTGTCCTTATTAAAAGGGGAAAGTTGCATGGAGGGAAGATGACATAAAAAGACAAAGAGAGAGGCAGCCATCTACAAGCCACAGAGAGAAGGCCTGAAACTGACTTCCTTCAGAGCCCTCAAAAAAAACCACCTTGGCCAACAACTCCCAAACTGCGAGACAAGAAATTTCTGTTAGGACACCCAGTTGTTGGTACTTAATTGTGTCAGCTGCAGCAACCTAACACACCCCCATCACTAACCTAGCTACCAACTGCCACATCTATGCCTTTATTTCCTTCTACTGCATTTACTCACAGGCTAGTGAATTTCTTCCCACATGAATTTCTTCTCCAGGTCTCTATTTCTTCCTTCCTAACTACCACCTCTTTAATTTTGTCCTGTATTTTAAAATACTTCTTCCACTTACTGGCAAGATGTTCATTTCACTCTCAAAAATGATACTCCTCTTTTTCAGTTTGTCAAGAGAATTTTTACAATGTTAAGATCTTATTAGTTCTACAAAGTTTCTTTGTCCTCTAGTTGAGTATCCCGAAATGTGTTTATTTAATTCATTTGCAAAAATTATAATCTAAATATTTCAAAGCTCTGTTTCAATACAAGTTTCCTATTCTATATATTCTAGTGCTGTTTCCACTGATGCTGGATTCCTTACACAGACTATTATTTTACTTGGCCTGTGTAACTGTCTACCATCAGCAGTCATCAGCTCTTAGAATCCCTCAGGAGGCAGCAAACAGGAGATCAAGAGACTCTAAGTTTTCTGCTGAAGCCTTAGGATGCTAATACTCTGGTCACAGGTCTCCAAAGGCGGCATCTCAAGGTCTGGCCCACGACTGACCCCATTGGTACAACTCCGCTGGAAACCCTCTGACAGAAAAGATCAAGGAAGCTTTCAAGGACGTATCAGTTGTTCAGTTCATTCAACAAACACCTACTTTTCAGCCACATTTGCCCTACCACAGTAATTCTATTGAGTATTTTATTTAGGGAATTATGTTCTAACTGCCTTCTTATCCTCCAATTTTCCTTTTCCACCATTTTCTGTTCTTCTATAAATACATGTTCTATTGAATCTATTGATAATATTTATAGGAACTTTAAATTCATTTTTGTTTATAAACTATTTTTTTTTATCAAGGGTCAACTATTCCACTTAGTGAGCTTGCTATCTGTTGATTTTTTCCAAATGCATGATTCTCGATTGCCCACTTAGTTTATAAATGAGGGTCTATACCAGAAACTGACAACATGGCACATTCAGAAAATGAACATATTTTTATGACACACTGGGAATGGCAACTGGAAATATGAATAAAAGTTTGTAAAACTTTTATTGTATTTTCTTTATAAAATGAAATATTTCAGACTCTTTAAGTAAAAAACTTGGAATTGTTTACATGAACATCGTGTTTGTACACTAGGTTTTATGCTTTAAAACGCCACCCACCCCTAGCCAGTGGGCTTCAGCTGGTTGGAGCATTGTCCCATAGACCAAAAGGCCGTGGGTTCAGTTCCCGGTCAGGGCACATACCCAGGTTGCAGGTTTGGTCCCCAGTTGGGGCACAGGTGAGGGGCTGCGGGTCGATGTTTCTCTCACATTAATTCTCTCTCTCCTCTCTCTCCCTCTCTCTAAAAGCAATGAAAAAATGTTCTCAGCTGAGGATTTTTTTTTAAGGTGCAAGGCCTTTTAACATGCTCTTAACATTCTATATAGCAACCATCACAAAGAAGCTTTATTAGCACAAGTGGTAGCAAATGGCAAAGGAGGTGGTGGCATTGTTCCAGTACGCTGAAAACTCCTTCTTCCAACCTTCAGTCTCTTTAAATTGCACTTCAGGAGTGCTGAAATCTTTAAACCTAATAGTTCCTCCCTTTCTTCTGCTCAGAAATATGTCAACTCCTCTGATGATGTAAATTTTGAATATAAATGAATTTTTTATATCAAGTATTTCAATATAATGCCAAAGCTGTCTTAGACACACAGATTTTACTAGTATTAACTCTTTTTTAGAATTCAAATAACACCAATTAAACATCATTTCTAAAACTAGTTTAACTTCTTCCAAAGCTGAATTTTTACTCTGAACCAATGAACTTCATCATTTTTTGAAGCCAATGACTATATGTCAACAAATCTTCAAAATAAGAATCATTCACATAAAATAATTTGAAATTTTCCTTTTAGTTTATAAATCTTCCTTTGGTCTGTTGACACATTTTAGTAATTAAATAGCTAATCACATTTATTCACCCAAAGCTGATAAGAAGGAACTGTAGCAAAATGGATTTCATTAGGTTCACCATTTTTATGACATCATGAAATGTGGAATTCAGAACTATAGGCTAATTTTAATATTACAAGAGCTTCTCTGTGAATAAGATGTCATTTTTTTAAGTATTGAACTTAAAATAAGGCCTTTATAGTTCCTGTTAATGCCAATTCCAAACTTCCACTGTTCCATAATATGTTGTACATCCCCAAATATTTTGTCTGAAATCCCTACACTTCCTTTGAATCAGGCTGATAAGTGAAGAATTATGGAAACACCAAATCTAATTCGGAGGTAATCTTTTACTCCCTATTTATTTATTAAATATTTACTAATATGTTGAATCATGGCTCAGGTGGTATTAATCAGCATATTATACATTATAGTGAGAAAGTAAATACCTATAAAATTAAATGTATTTGAATATAAAGTTCTTAAAATACTATAGGTTTTTTAATTCCTTAGGAAAAGTATTTTGTCAATTTTTAGTTTGAATTCTTATGAGCAATCTATACAAACAACAAATGTTTGTATAGATATTTACAAAATAGAAAACAAAAACTGAATGTACTGATATACTTATTTCCACTTAGTTTAATATTAAAATTTTAAGTAAACAAAATATATCTCTGGGAAATCAATATTTCATATGAATTTTGACAGTTTAAAGGCCTATATTTTCTTTATTGAATAAATTAAATTATATATGTTCAATTACTAAAGTTCTTTAAATTCTATATCAAACATATAATGAATCCTATCAAAATCAGGTTTGATAAATTGTCACATCAAAAGTCTGTAACAGGAAGGACTTCCAGCCAAGATGGAGGCACAGAAGATCCGCTGTGCCTCCTTGAACAACCAAAAGAGTACAACAACAATTTAAAAACAAAAAACAACCAGAACCTACAGAAAATCGAACTGTCCAACAGAAAGTCCAGCAACCAAGGAGTTAAAGAAGACACACTCATCCAGACCAGTAGGAGGGGTGGAGACTGGCAGCCAGGTGGAGAGGACTCGGGGCAAGGTTGTGGCTGGAGGGCTGGGCTGGGCAAGGCTGCAGCTGGTCACTGGGCTAGACGGCAACTGGTGGAGTGAGCTGTCCCACATTCGTGTGCAGATAAACTGGGAGTAACAGCTGGGGAGTGAGACCAGGCAACCCAGGGCCCCAATGAGGGGAAGTAAAGCCTCAAACCTCTTATTGAAAACACCGGTAGGTGTTGAGGTGGCAGCAGGAGAAACTCCCAGCCTCACAGGAGAGTTCATTGGAGAGATCCACAGGGTCCTAGAATGTACACAAGCCTACCCACTGGGAAATCTGCACCCAGAAGGGCCCAATTTGATTGTGGGTAGTGTGGGACGTGACTGAAAACCTGCAGAAATCGGAGCAAATGCCATTGTTCTGACTCAAATTGGACCCCTCCCCCACATACAGCATCACAACCCAGCGACTTGTGTAGCCCCGCCCTGGTGAGCTGCTAAAGCTCTGCCCCTCACTACCTAACAGGTGTACTGAGAAAAAAAATGGCCCAAATTAAAGAACAGATCAAAGCTCCAGAAAAAATACAACTAAGCAACAAGGAAATAGCCAACCTATCAGATGCACAGTTCAAAACACTAGCAATCACGATGTTCAAAGAACTGATTGAATTTGGTCGCAAATTAGATGAAAAAATGAAGACTATGCTAAGTAAAATAAAGGAAAATGTACAGGGAACCAATAGTGATGGGAAGGAAACTGGGACTCAAATCAGGGGAGTGGACCAAAAGGAAGAAAGAAACATGCAATCAGAAAAGATGAAGAAACAAGAATTCAAAACAATGAGGAGAGGCTTAAGAACCTCCAGGACATCTTGAAACATTCCAACATCTGAATTATAGGGGTACCAGAAGGGGAAGAGGAAGAGCAACAAGTAGAAAAGTTATTTGAACAAAAAATAAAAGTGAACTTCCCCATTCTGGCAAAGAAAATACACTTTCAGGAAATCCAGGAAGCTCAGAGTCCTGAAGAAGTTGGACCCAAGGAGGAACACACCAAGGCACATCATAATTACATTAGCCAAGATTAAAATGAAGGAGAGAATCCTAGAAGCAGCAAGAGATACGGGGACAGTCACCTACAAAGGAGTTCCCATCAGACTGTCAGCTGATTCCTCAAAAGAGACCTTACAGGCAAGAAGGGGCTGGAAAGAAGTATTCCAAGTCATGAAAGGCAAGGACCTACATACAAGATTGCTCTATCCAGCAAAGCTTTCATTTAGAATGGAAGGGCAGATAAAATGCTTCTCAGATAAGGTCAAGTTAAAGGAGTTCATCATCACCAAGCCCTTATTATATTAAATGTTAGAGGGACTCATCTAAGAAAAAAGATAAAAAACATGTACAGTAAAATTAGAGCAAACTCACAATTATTAACAACCACACCTAAAACAAAAACAAAAACAAACTAAGCAAACAGCTAGAACAGGAACAGAACCATAGAAATAGAGAACACATGGAGGGTTAACAACAGGGGAGTGGGGGGGGGAAGGCATAGGGAGTAAGAAGCATAATTGGTAGATACAAAATAGACAGGGAATGTTAAGAATAGTATGGGAAATACAGAAGCTAAAGAACTTATAAGTATGACACACGGACATGAACTAACGAGGCGGAATGTGGGTAGGACAAGGTGTGCAAGGTGGAGGGGAGTAAAGGGGGGAAAATTGGACTGTAATAGCATAATCGATAAATATATATATATATTAAAAGTCTGTAACAAAGCCTTGGTTGAGTGGTTTCTTTGAATGAAGCAACACTATGTACACCAAAAGGCTGCAGGTTCAATTCCTGGTCAGGGCACATACCTAGGTTGTGGGTTCGATCCCTGGTCAGGGCTCATACAGGAAGCAGCCCATCGATGTTTCTCTCTCACATCATGTTTCTTTTTCTCTCTTTCTCTCTCTCTCTCTGTAATAATCAATAAACATATCCTCAGGTGAGGATTTTTTTCAAAAAGCCCAGAACAAAGAATTAAAAATCACGTAACAAGCAAAAAACAACAAAACTGTTTTTCACTAAAGAACACCAAATAGCATACAATAATAATTAGCTAATAATTATGTTCATATTAGCAGTAAAATTATAAAAATTAAGACAAATAAAATTAAGAGAATCTTATTTACACAAACACATAACTTTCCTGATGACTAATGACATATGCACGCACAATTAAAGTAATAATTGGATAGGAAATCATTTTTATTGGACAGTCATGAGAAGTACTACGTGATACAGCCACAACTCAACTCTTTGTGAGCATGTTTACTGCACAGTCATACATGTTTTTAGATTCAAGTAGTCTACAAAGGATCCACATTAAAAAATGTTCAAATATAATTTCACCTATTATAAATCTGAATGTTTAATAAAATGATTGTAATGTGTTTCAATATAAAAAACATGCAACCATCAAAATCTTGCATCACCTACGCCCCATATCACTACACTGCAGCACCAACAGGAAGCCACTAACTTCGCTCCAGCTAACTCTTGCCAATAGAATGGGCCCAGCGTTGCAAAACCTTCCAATTTTTCTAAAGAAGAGAAAGACCAGGACGTTACTATGCTCTCTTCCATTTGATATCAATTTCTGAGACCCCCTCTGAAAACCAAAATTTGGCCTCTTGGCCTCTCAATTGTTAACTTCTGCTGTAGACAAATCAATACTAGCAGCTGGTATGGGTATCCCTAAAAAAATTTTAAAGCGATACCTCTATACAGATCATTTTTTGAGTTAAGAACTTGGGTACATTTTCTGCACCTTACAGAATGAGTGATGGCCAAAGAGAACATGCTAAAAAGGGAGTTTATTTCAAGAGGCACCTACTTAAGCAGAACAGAAAGTGACTTATCTTAAGAATGGAACACACATCTCCTTTCCTCACCCCCAGGGGAGACTCAGCAGATGCTCAGACTCTATAGTGCCGGCTCATACTGGCCTGGAGCTTTACTCCACTCTATGGCAAATTATTTTCTTTCCCAACTAATTATTTATTTTCCCAAGATGCAGAGCTGTGATTAAAAAGCATTAACCCAGCCCTGGCTGGGCAGTTCATTTGGTTGCAGCATCATCCCATACACCAAAAAAGTTGTAGGTTCTACCCCCAGTCAGGGCAAAAGCCTGGGTTACTGGTTCAATCGCTGATCAGGGTGTGTGCGGGAGGCAACCAATCGGTGTTTTTCTCTCACAAAGATGTTTCTCTCTCAAGTCAATGAACACATCCTCGAGTGAGGATAAAAAAAGACATACGAAGCCAGAGTAGAGCACTGGACCAGTTCTTCTACTATGTCAACTGTAATTATCAACCATGTGCTTTACAAATTGTCTAAACTGATTTGACAGACTGGTCTAATGGTCTACTACAAAAATGAGTGTGTCCAACCAGAGCCGAGGCTAAGTGGAAGGTGAGCCATGTTCCTCATGAAGGCAGGCAAAGGAGGTATTTTCATGCAATGCGAAGATTTCTCTCAAAATACTTCTCTAGTTTTTAAACAATTTTTTCCACAGTTTCATTTTTAAGAACTTTACTAAAATAACCAGCATTCCTCTGAAAGATTTATATGCAAGGATTATAATCCATGTTATATACTATGTCTAAAATATGCACTGTACAATATTTAAATATGAAATATAAACTAAATATATAAAGTATATATTAAAAATGTAATATATAATACAAGTTCTGTATGGAAAAAGTCCAGCCACTGTTAATATAATGAAAACAGTTTGCGCAACATGAGTGTAACCTGGCAGCCAAGGAGAGTGAGCTGGAATGTGCATGTGTAAACAATGATGACTTCACTGTGGCAGACACAGTTGAGTGAGCATGTGCACTATGCGGCCATTGCAATGAAAATGACTGAGTGAGTAGAACAACGAATGTGTATCAAATTTTGCATTAAGCTTAACATTCCTCCACATAAACTATTCAGATGATTCAGAAGGCCACAGCTATGGCCAACAAGTGATTGGCAGCTTCATCAGGACAACACCTGGCTCATGCATCACATCTTGCGCAGAGTTTTGTGATGAAACATCAAATCACCCAGGTGACTCAGCCCCGCTACAGCCCAGGATTGGTTCCCTGCAACTTCTGGCTTTTCCCAAAACTAAAATCACCTTTGAAAGGGAAGTGATTTTAGACTATTGATGAGATTCAATAGTCTAAATTGAATAGTCTAAATATTTAGACAATAGTCTAAATATGATGGGGCAGCTGATGGGGACTGGGAAAACTGTGTGAGGTCCCAAGGTGCCTACTTTGAAAAAGACTGAAGTGTCATTGTCCTATACACAGTTTCTTGTATTTTGTATCTTCTTCAATAAATGTTTCTATTTTTCATGTTACCATATTTTGCCATGTGTAATGCACTCCTGTGTATAATGTGCACCCACATTTTTGGCCCAAACTTTCAGGAAAAAAGTCTTTCACTATAATTTTTAATTACATTTTTTTTTATCAATGTATGGTTGCCTCTCATGCGTCCCCTGCTGGGAATTGGCCTGCAACTCAGGCATGTGCCCTGACAGGGTATCGAACCATGATCTTTTGGTTCTCAGGCCCGTGCTCAATCCACTGAGCTACACCAGCCAGGGCTAATTACATTTTTTATTTATTTATAATTAGAAACAAAACCAATTATCGTATTCTAGGTATTACTTTGCATACAAATATCATTATTGCTTTCTAGAGCTATACTTTTAATGCAAAAGCACAAATAAAAGAATTAAAAACATTTATATAGATACAAAATTAGTACTGCCCATGTATAATGGACATCCTTATTTTTCCCTCAAAAATTTGGGCAAAAAAGTGAACATTATACATAGCAAAGTACAATACATGGCTGGACATCTTCTGGATAGATCTCATATTCATAATAAAAGGAGTTGAATACAGACTATATATCCAACATGGAAAAATGGTTAAATAAGAAATTATTCCATTAAACAGAATACTATGCAGTTATTAAAAACATATTCTTATAATTTTAAAAGTGAAAAAAGCAAGTTATTGTAATTTATACAATAAATATGTGTATTTTTGTATATGCATAGGTACACACATAATATATAATTATGTAAAGATATACATTACACATTATATATTTGTAAAGTTATAGAGAAATACATATAAAATATTAATAGTTATCCCACAATTGCAGATGGTTTTTAACTCTTTTTTCACATCATTTTATTGTATTTCTTCTATTATTAATTTTCCTCTTTATACTTTTCTACATGTTCCAAACTTTCTAGGAAAAACTGTGTTACTGTCTTGGCCGTGTGGCTCAGCTGGAGCATTGTCCCGTACACCAAACGGCTGCGGGTTTGACTCCCAGCCGGGGCGCACACCGAGGCTGCAGGTTCAATCCCCGGTTTTAGGACATGTATGGGGGGCAGCCCATCAACACTTCTGGGGCAGCCCAGAGTGTTCCTCACTCTCCCCCTTCCTCTCTCTCTCTCTCAAATCAATAAACGGACTTCTGGTCAATAGGCAGACATGGCTCAACTCTTCACACAACCTCATCAAAATTACAACTAAAATACAGAACCACCATCTCTCAGAACATTCAGATACCGAATTGAATGGAAGTCTGACAACTACTGAATTCAAGAAACCACATCCATCTGGACTGGCAGTAGGGACTCAGACAAGGAACAGGCTAGTCCCTTACCCTTGCATGGTGGACAAAAATTCGAGAGGGAAATCTCGTGAGTGAGGAGTCCCAGCCTACACCAGTCTCCTGGCCCAGGGTTCCAGTGCCAGGAAGGTAAGTCTGCAGAACTTCTTGCTGCTAAAACCAGCAGGGATTGAGTCAGTGGAAGAAACTGCTGGAGCCCTAAGGAGTTTCTATTAAAAAACCCACACACAGACTCACCTACTCAGACTCAATCCCTCTGAGCTCCAGCACCAGGGTGGTAGCAGCTTAAAACAACACACCAGTGGTATACAGGGAAAAACTGAAGTGGCTGGCATCAAGACAAGCAGAGGCCACTGAATTCTTCCCTTCTTTTCTAAATCCTTCCCTCACAGAGACAGCAAGCTGGTGCCATATCTGAGACTCTATCAACCTGGCTAATACTGTTTGACCTCCTCTTGGCAATCCCCAGAGTCTCTGCACCACCCAATTCACGGCCCCACCCAAGCTGCTTTTCCATATGAATAATGGTCTTGGCTCATGCTGCACAACTTCATAAATCCTCTCCAATAAGCAAAAGCAAGCCTCGGGGAGCCCCAGGCCCAGCAATAGCAGCAGCCAGCCCAGATTCACAGCTTGACTTCACCTGGGAATCTCCAACCCCAACACAAGTAGCAGCCATCTCAGATTGCTTCATAGCTCAGGCAGGGTGGCCCCAGGCAAAACATAGGTGGGGGCCAACCTTGGCCTACATCACCCAGGAAACCCCAGGGCCAGCACACCCAGTGGACAGTTACAGACCACATCCGGGCACCACCACCCTACCCCTGCACAGCTATCCTTCACGAGGAATAAAGGTTGGTGGTAAGTGATCACACTGGTTTATACAGCCAATCTTGCAGCTGACTGACCTGGGTGAATCCTTCTCATTAATCTGCCAACAGCAACCAAGGATCAACTACAAGAAGAGGGTGTTCTCAGCCCACACAAAGGCTGTACCTTGAGAACCCAGCTTGGGTAATAGGCTAGGTACTGCCATTGGATCCTATAGGACACCTACTACATTAGACTACATTACCAAGACAGAGTCAAAGCAGCTCTACCTAATATATTGAAACAAACACAGGGAGGCTGCCAAAGTGAGGAGACAAAGAAACATGGTCCAAATGAAAGAACAAATCAAAACTCCAAAAAAAAAAAGAGTTAAGTGAAATAGAGATGAGCAATCCACCAGTTACAGACTTCAAAACACTGGTTATAAGGATGGATGCTGAAAGAACTTAGTGAAGTCCTCAACACCATAAAAAAGACCCAGTCAAAAACAAAGGACACACTAATTGAAATAAATAGCTTGCAGGGAAACTATGTTAGAGTGAATGAAGCTGAGAATCAACTAAATGATTTGGAATTTAAAAAACAAACAAAAAAAACACCAATTAGAACTTGAACAAAAAAGAATCCAAGAAAATGAGGATGGTACAAGCAGCTCATGGGACAACTTCAAGAGGTCCAACATTCAGATTATAGGGGTGCCAGAAGAAGAGAAAGAGCAAGAAACTGGAAATCTATTTGAAAAAATAATCAAAGAAAACTTCCCTAATTTGGTGAAGGAAATAGACATGCAAGTCCAGGAAGCACAGACAGTCCCACACAAGATGGACCCAGAGAAGACGACACTGAGACTTAATTAAATGCCAAAGATTAAAGATAAAGAGAGATTCTCAAAAGGAGCAAGAGAAAAGAAGTTAGTTACCTACAAGGGAGTTCCCATAAGACTGTCAGCTGATTTCTCAAAAGAAACTGCAGGCTAGAAGGGATGGGCAAGAAATATTCAAAGTCATGAAAAGCAAGGGGCCTACAGCCAAGATTGCTCCACCCAGCAAAGCTATCATTTAGAATCCATGGGGAGATAAAGAGCTTCCCAGAAAAGAAAAAACTAAAGGAGTTCATCGTCACTAAACCATTATTACATGAAAAGTTAAAGGGTCTTATTTAAAAAAAAAAAAAGATAAAAACTATGAACAATAAAAATGGCAAAAAAACAAAAATAAATCTATCAACAACTGAATCTAACAAACTAAGCAAACCAGATCAGAGACAGAATGTTGGACAAGGAGAGTGTTTTGATGGTTGCCACATGGGAGGAAGGTATATGGGCAAATGGGTGAAGAGGTGAGGAGATTAAGAAGTACAAATAGGTAGTTACAGAATAGCCATGGACATGTAAAGCACAGTATAGGAAATGGAGAAGCCACAGAATTTATACTCATAACCTACGGACATGAACAATGGTGTGGGGATTGCCTTAGGAATGGGGAGTGCTGGGTGGAGAGGAGCAAAGGAGGGAAATCAGGATAACTGTAATAGCATAATCAATAAAATATAATTTTAAAGTAAAATCAATAACCATACCTCGAGTGAGGATTAAAATAAAAAGAAAATTTGTTTCACAGCAATTGGGAATGGCGAGGGGGAAGTCTGCCAAAAAAAGAAGGAAAGATTTTTCTTCAGTGAACAATTAAGGCTACACTTTTTTATACTATAGAACAAGAATCAGCAAACTTTTTCTCTAAAAGGTCAGATAGTGTATATTCTAGGCTTCATGGGCAAATTGTCTCTGTAGCTACTACTCAAGTATAACGTTGTAAAAAAGCCAATAACAATATTTGAACAAATAAGCATGGCTATGTTCCAACAGAGCTTTATTTATAGTGAAGTATAAATTTATAAAAATTCCATGAACGATTATCCTTGTGGTTTTTTCAGCCACTTAAAAATATAAAAACCATTTAGCTCAGGATCAGTACAAAAACCAGCTGCTAGTCCAAGGTGGCCTACTGGCAAATTTGCTAACTGCTGTTAGTGAACAGAGACAAAATGCTCTAAGCCTGGAAAATGTCCAAAGAGGCTGTTATTAACAATCCAGCTAGTTTTTACTCACCATAATGCAGTCATATTATCTACTAAGAACACAAGTCCTTAGTAAAGGCTTTTTAAAAAAACAGTTGCAAAATGATAGCTAAATTAGTGGGCTTACTATAGGGTTAGTAATATTAGTCAATTAAATGTTAAGAGCTTATCTGCCAAAATTATAACATACTTTAAAAGAAATACATCTTGAGTGATTTTATTTAATAGCAGTTAGATAGTAAGAGAAAGTGTCTGCTAAAGCTACTTATAGTTCCTGTCAATAGAAATCGCAGCAGTAAAGTTTAAGTTAGAACACATTTAGGAAAATTAAAACCAATTGCATTCCAAATTAGCTAAGAAACAATAGATTTTTAATCATCTAGCTCACAGGTGGCAAACACAAGGCCCGAAAGCTGAATCCGGCCTGCCCTGCATGTTGCGTTATCTGCCGGGCACCTTGTTCCTATCTGGCAGCAGCGCCAAGCTCTCCTTTAACTGTTAAGGAGTGGTTACATGTATACAGTCCTAAAATTACCCCCTTGGAAGGCTACCGTGAGGTTGATATGGCCCTCTGTGGAAATGAGTTTGGCACCCCTGATCTAGCTTTTAAACCATATTCTACTTCATTCTCGAAGACTAGAAATTCATCTCAAGAGCACAATATTTTTCCACCTAGAATGGTGTTATCTCCTAAAGAGTGGACAGATTTAACACCAGTCTCAAGAGAAAAGTGGGTTTCAGTGGATTAGCTCAGAGATTTCTCTGTTCCTAAAACCGTTAAGGTAAGGAAATTAATACTTACTGCTACCATAGTAACTGACTTGCCTAATTTCTTGAGTGCTAAACTGAATAAAGTATCACAACCTTTCTAAGATCAGTATCCAAAAAAAAAAAAAAAATCACACTGGTAAGTTCAATGGCATGTACAAATAACAATTTCAATTCCGGGACAAAATTATCAGTAAGTAGTTCAATGCTTGGCACTAATAGGCAATTATAATGTTTAATGTGGATCAATCTTCACTAACTACCTAAAATATATCAATTGTATTTTGTTTAAAATATGTAAAGGCTAATCCGCTGAAATACACTGTTTTATAAAATCTTGATTATTTAATTTAAAATGGCAAGAATGTTTACAACTGCTCTGAAATTTGCTAACAAAATGCCATGAGAGAACTATCACAGTCCCCAGCTACCACTTCAATTTCTCAATTTGAGCACTTACGCAAACTCTAATTACAACACCCATCGACTTTCACAACGGTTCTCTGAAGAAGAAAGTTCTATCATCAACACTGTGCACAAAAGAAAACTAATAAACACTAGCTGATACTGCAAAAGTTAGCAGACTGCTCTAGCACTAAAAATTACACTATGCAAAAGCAAAGAATTAGAGTAGAAAGATATCAAGACCTAGAATCAGAAAACTTGGGCTCCAGTGTTGTTTTGTGTAAAAAAAAAAAGTATCCAAAAGCTAAAAGACAAAGAACAAAGACAGGTCAGTATCCTTTGAATGTCACACAGGAGCACAAAATCACCCAAGGATTATTTCATTAGGAAACATACCTTTACTTGACTCATTATCTACTACTGATTAAAAACTCAGACTCTATGAAGTTCCATGTTAACTTGTGACTTTTTTATAAGATGCAACTAAATTCTGTCCAGTACATAAAATCATCTCAAAGGCTATGGCTATTATTGCCCTATAGGACAGCTCTGCATCTGACCTATCAACCTTATCCCAAAGTCCTTTCTCCAATATCTGTATGTGATGGTCAATTTTACGTGCCATCTTGACGGAGCTAAGGGTTACCAGCCCAGAGCTGGAAATACACTATTTCTGGATAGTGTTAGCATCTGAATAGGGAGACTGAACAAAGAATAATACCTTCACCAATGAAGACAGATGTCATCTAATCTGTTGAACAAAAAGGCAGAAAAAGAGCAAACTGCTCTCTGCTTAAGCTGGGGCACCCATCTTCTCCTGCCCTTGAACATCAACACTCCTGGTTCTTGGGCCTTTGGACTGGGAGCAGGACTTACATACACCATTGGCTCCTCTGGTTCTCTGGTCTGCAGGTACAGACTGGAACTACACCACTGGCTTGCTGATGCCAGATTGTGGAGCTTCTCAGCCTCCATAACTGCATGAGCCAATGCATGAGCCAATCCCTTGTAATAAATCTCGTTTTACTTACATTTATATTTATATTTATTTTATTTCTGAAGAACACTGACTAATACGATGTATAATCTTGGTTGCTCTTTGAACCAATTTATCTCTTGTTGGTTCCCTGCATAAATGAGACATGTGTCCATTCTATATTTGTATGAGAAATGGTCTTCAATTTTTGGAAAATTATACTTTGACTTGACCATTCAGTGTCCATGTGAATTTGGACAAGTCCCTTCACTTTTATAAGTTTTCATTTTCTCATCTGTAAAAATGGGATTAAATCCTGATTATATTACTTGCCATACTATATATACTACATTATTATTACATCTGAGTTGCCTTACTGATCACAGGATTAATGTGAAGATAAACAAGACATCACATCTGTTAAACTGCAATTATACATGAGCTAGTATAGATCAGTAGTAACAGGTCTTTTGCTGCTGTTATACCTCATCCCCACAAGTGTACTGAGAGGTACTGAGACTCTGTGGGTTCAGATAGAGATACCAAAACTATACAAACTAGACAAAGTAAATAAATATATCCAAAGTTAATTAAGCAATGAAGTGCTTCTCCAGAATATTTTAATGTTCTTTCAAATGACACATTCAAATAGAGAAGAGAAATTATTCATTTATCTAAGACTTCATTTTTTCCCATCATACCTGACCCAAAGAGTACTGAATTTCAATATGCATCTATTTCCTTTTTCTAGTAACTATATTTAGAGGGTTTCAGACTATAATCTACATTACAACAGTAATATTCACATACTCATCTAATTTTTTCAGGAACATAGAAAAAATATAGAGAAAAAATTTCAGTGATTAATACTAGATTGGACTGGTAAGTATTTTCAATAACCTAACACAGAAAGCTTATGAAACCAAAGCAGCTTAAATGCTTCAGCAACTCAATTTGGTTAACAACACCCTAATTTTGGTCAGACTCTTTGCATTTTATGTTTACAATTATGGTATTTTTACCAAGAAAGGCAGCTTCTAGTTAAAAAGCCTTTCAAATATAATCAACAATGCAATGAACTTTTAAGAATCTGGGTTTGATATGATTTATAATAATATATATTTTCTGAAAATGTAACCTTGTCCTTTGAGTATATCTATACTTACCATATACATATACTATATATAACTATATATATACTATATGTTAACTATATATACTATATATGTATAGCTACATATATAGACACACACATATACACATACACATAATTTCTACACTTTATTGTAGAAAATGTAATTTATATGATATTATTTATTCTTATTTTTTTAAGAATCCCTTCTACTTTTCAATGAACTAACAGAAATAGAAGTAGAGAAAGAAAAACAAAGAGGAACCAAAGAATCTACAACAAAAACCTCACTAAATTCCCTGAAGAGATTTTCAACATTTATTAATTTAATAATAGATTTATGCTAATCTTAATTTCCCTCAAAATGACCTAAGCAAGCATACTCAAAAAAGCTAAATAAAACTACCTATTAGCATTGATTTGGCTATGTAACCCACTGCAATTTTAAAAAGTAACAGGATGGGCATCAAGACAAAAAAAAAATAGCCCAAACAAAAGAATAGATCAAAGCTCCAGAAAAAATATAACTAAGCAACGAAGAAATAGCCAACCTATCAGATGCACAGTTCAAAACACTGGTAATCAGGATACTCACAGAATTGGTTGAATTTGGTCACAAATTAGATGAAAAAATGGCTACCCTAAGTGAAATAAAGGAAAATGTACAGGGAACCAATAGTGATGGGAAGGAAACTGGAACTCAAATCAATGGAGTGGACCACAAGGAAGAAACATCCAATTAGAAAAGCATGAAGAAACAAGAATTCAAAACAATGAGGAGAGTCTTAAGAACTTCCAGGATATCTTGAAACACTCCAACGTCCAAATTATAGGGGTAGCAGAAGGAAAAGAGGAAGAGCAACAAGTGGAAAAGTTATTTGAACAAATAATAAATTTCCTTCCCCGTTCTGGCAAAGGAAATAGACTTCCAGGAAGTCCAGGAAGCTCAGAGAGTCCCAAAGAAGTTGGACCCAAGCAGGAACACACCAAGGCACATCATAATTATCCAAGATGAAAGATAAGGAGAGAATCTTAAAAGCAGCAAGACAAAATGAGAGAGTTACCTACAAAGGAGTGCCCATAAGACTTCAGCTGATTTCTCAAAAGAGACCTTACAGGCAAGAAGGGGCTGGAAAGAAGTATTCTAAGTCACGAAATCCAAAGACCTACATACAAGATTGCTCTATTCAACAAAGCTTTCACTTAGAATGAAAGGGCAGATAAAGTGTTTCTCATATAAAGTCAAGTTAAAGGAGTTCATCATCACCAAGACCTTATTTTATGAAA